TTTGCATAGTGTGTGTATATAATGCAGTGTGTTTGTATAGTGTGTGTATATAATGCAGTGTGTTTGTGCAGTGTGTGTATATAATGCATTGTGTTTGTATAGTGTGTGTGTATATAATGCAGTGTGTTTGTGTAGTGTGCATTATATACACAGTGTGTTTGTGTAGTGTATGTGAATATAATGGAGTGTGTGTGTGTGAGGGGACATTTTTTTTATTAAATTATTATTATTTTTTAATATTTAATTATTATTTATTTTTGTTGTCCCTCCTCCCTGCTTGTTGCCTGGCCAGGGAGGGGGGGATATGTTAATCCCTGGTGGTCCAGTGGCATTGGCTGAGCTGTGGGGTGGCCCGCAGGTAGCGTTTACTCACCTCCCAGCAGCTCCTCCAGCTCCCCACTGTAAGTCTCGCGGCTAGTGTGCCACGCGGAAGTTTGCCATGGTAACCCGTGGCAACGCTTTGACGGCCGCGGGTCTCGCGAGAATTACACTGGGGAGCTGGAGGAGCTGCTGGGAGGTGAGTAAACGCTTGCTGCCTGCCCCCACCCCAGGACCGCCGGGCTTGTAATGAGCCCGGCAGTCCTAGGAGGTATTATTGGCAATATCGGTATCTGAATTGGCCGATACCGATATTGCCAAAAATACAGAATATCGGCCGATTATATCGATAAAACCGATAATCGGTCGATCCCTATATTGAAGTATGTTCCCAGTGATATTTTATATTTTATAGTTCACCTGGGTGACTAGGAACAGGAAATTGTTCAACCATGATTTCCAGTATCAGAGCGGTAGAAATATGAGGTTAGACATAGGCGACATTCTCTTACTCATTCATCACAATGGGTATTGGGTAAGACCAAGGAATATAAATGTGATGTGCGGCAAAAGGCTATTGAGCTTCACAAAATGGGAAGTGGCTATAAGAAAATAGCAAAAACAATGAAATGGCCAGTTCCAGTCAACCAGGAAGTGGACGTGTGTCTATATTGTTTCAACGCAATGTAAAGCAGGTGGTTTGAGTAGCTTAAACATATACAAGGATCACAGCTGGAGAATTGTAGAAGTTAGTTGAGTCTTGGAGTCAGAAAGTGGTCAAAACTACAACCTACATCACCACAAGTTGTTTGGTAGGGTTTCAAGAAAAAAAAAAGCTTAAAATCTCATCCAAAAACAATCAACACAAACAATGCAAGTGTCTTCAGTTTGTCAGACACTACTGGAACTTCACATGGGATAAGGTTCAAAGGTCAGATGAAACCAAAATAGGGCTTTTTGGCAGTAAAAACCAGCAATGGGTTTAGCACACATCTTTATTGTTTTGGGGATATTTTTCTGCTAGAGCACCTAAACATTTTGTTAGGATACATGGTGTCATGGACTCTATCAAATATCAACAGATACTAAATTAACACTTGACTGCCTCTGCCAGAAATCTTAGAATGGGCTGTTTTGGAACTTCTGGCAGGACAATGATCCAAAAACACAAAAATGGTTTACTGACCACAAAATCAACGTCCTGCCATGGCCATCCCTATCCTCTGACATGACCTCCATAGAAATTTGTGGGGTGAACTGAAGAGGAGAGTCCACCAGCATCAACCCTTAAAATTTGAAGGATCTGGAGAGATTCTGCATGGAGGAATGGTCTCCGATCCCTTGCCATATATTCTCATCATGTATAATTGGAAAAACTCAGAGCAGTTATCTTGGCAAAGGGAGTTATCACAAAGTATTGACTAAAAGGGTGCCAATAATTGTGCCACACATACATTTAACTTTTTTTTCTTTACAAACCTGAGTTGTGTGTGCAATTGTTTGATATCCATGAGAGTAGTGTGTTTTTGTGTATTTATTGAACAAAGACAATTTTTTTTTTTTTTTGCTGATATTAATGAAAGGTTTTATCAACAATATTAGTGGAGGTCACTGTATATACTTATAACATAATAGTGTTCCATGGCAGCTTTAGAGTACTACGAATCCCCTAACAAATTAAAACAATAAAGAAGAGAAACTCACCTCTCATCTAGTGGTGTCCTGTCTGTCAATGCTTTGGAAAGTCAATGCTTACATTTGTCATCCTACATGGAACAAATCTAGGCAGAAAGCATTAAAGGACCACTTTAGTGCCAGGAAAACAAACTTGTTTTCCTGGCACTATAGTGCCCTGAGGGTGCCCCCACCCTCATGGCCCCCCTTCCACCAGGCTGAAGCTGGAGGAAGGGGTTAAACACTTACCTTTTTCCAGCGCCGGGCTCCCTCGGCGCTGGGGACTCTCCTTCTCCTCCTTTGGCCGTCATCGGATGAATGCGCGCGCGCATTCAGTCAGTCCATAGGAAAGCATTCTCAATGCTTTCCTATGGACGCTGGCGTCTTCTCACTGTAAAAATCACTGTGAGAAGCGCAGAAGCGCCTCTAGCGGCTCTCAATGAGACAGCCACTAAAGGCTGGATTAACCCTATTGTAAACATAGCAGTTTCTCTGAAACTGCTATGTTTACAGCAGGCAGGGTTAACCCTAGAGGGACCTGGTACCCAGACCACTTCATTAAGCTGAAGTGGTCTTGGTGCCTATAGTGGTCCTTTAAGTTGTAGTGGTTTTGGTGCTTAGTGTGCCCCTTTAAGTCTCTAAAAAATTTACAGATTATTATGTATATGTTTTAAATATGTAAACTTGTATCTATAGTACATTGTTTGTGCTTCCTGGAACATAGTTGAAAACATGAGCAACCTCAGTATATTCTTCCTGGTAAAATATTTTCTAAATAAGGGAATGGATATGTTTATGTGTTGTGGTTAAAGGTTAGTTTACTCTAATGTAATTTCTGTATTTTGTAATAAACACTACCAGCAATACTGGACCTCATAGGGCTGAGCTCTTGGCATGTTAACTAACAAGGGATTGGATTTAAAATATCATTGGCTAATTGATGGTTAGAAATATAAGTTTTTTTCCCATATAATTTATTCACATGTATATATAGCCTGTGATTTTAACCACTTTCTCATCTGCAGAAGGTATCACTGTGGTTTCAGAAACTCATGAACAAACATTAACTTCTCTGTTTAATGCTGATCATGATCCCGCAGTAGATACCACAATCTGCAAACCTTGCATTTTAACATTTCTTTTCTCAAATGTATCATTTTTACAGGATGCAGATGGATAGTTTTTCATTAGAGGTTATTCACTAAACATTGGATTGAAGTGAACTGGAAGTCAAATTGCAACATTTTGACAACTGATTTGGCTCAAGATTGCTAACAGAAGCTCTGACACGAATAGGAGAGGAGAGGGGCAACACAGGGAAAGAGGGAGCAGGCACTTATTGCGTTATAACTGTAGTTGTTATGGTACTTTGAGAGTTCCTTTCATTTTGTGATTCGGTTTTTGGTATACTGCAAGTCAGTGTTTAGTAAATAAGCTCATTTTTAAAGTGGATAAAACTCTTAGCACTTTCAAGTCCCTGCTTTGAAGTACTCCTCATTACATTGCGACCTGGTTTTATTATTTTTGGTGGGGGTGCTGGATATGGGATACATGGTGAATATTTTTCAAACTACTTGTTTTGTGTAAGAAGGGGTTACGCTAGGATAAGCTAGGAAGGGGGTAACTTTACCATCAAAGCAAAACAAAGCTCAAGAGAATATTGAGAACGGACAATCCAAATCACTTGTCCTTTTGGTGACTATCAAGTTTTTGCTCAACTTGTGCCATTACAGAGAGAACCTAAATCATTTGCCTATCATGCTGATCCCACCCTAAAGTCCGGATCCAAATTGTTGGCAGGTTCTCTCTGTACAAGGGATGCAGCAACCCCAGACAATTACTTCATCATTAGGCACAATGAGCGAGGGGTTCCACATCTCAGTTAACCTTTTTACCTTAGGGCCTGTGTGCACAAAAGGTAGATCCCCAGATGTGGTAGAGCCACAATGCCCATGATGCTTTGCATGCCTTTAAAATGACAAAGTATCATGGAAGCTGTAGTTTTAAAACATCTGGAGATCTACCTTTTGGCACCCCTACCCCTAGGTACTTTAAAAAATAAACAAATAAATAAACAGAGTACAAGGATTTGAGAATTCAAATTTAAGGCCAGAGTAGCTGAACTTAAAGCATTGCTGACTAAGAGATTTTTTTTCAGTTCGGCTATTTTGACCTTAAATTTGAAATTGACTTTAAATTCTCACTTTGGTGAATAAGCCTTGTACTCTGTTTTGGTTGGTTAGAAAAATACCTACAGCTTCAATACGTTTCGCCCCACACAGAGTACTCATAAGCAATGAAAGGAGCTGTACAACTTGCTCATATAAAAGGAAAAGCCAAGATTGTTACTGCTGGGGGAAACAATCAAATAACCCTAAGATAAAGATGTAACAGAATGGGAGCAGAAGCAGAGAACCCAGCAATGTGGCAGCACGGATAATAACAATAAAGTGAAAGACATACAATGTGAAATAAATACATAACAAAGAAAATTGAGGGGGGAAAAAAATAAGAAAATTAAGACTAACAAAAAAAACATACAGTAACAATTCAATATTCATACAGAACTATAATGTATCTAGTTATATTAGAACACCACCGTTCAATGTAGCCAATGAGGCAAGGACAATGAAGGTGAATAAATTGTCCAAAACCCAAGGGAAAAGTTACTAAACAACTACCACAAATGGTAACACAATGGTTACGGCTCTGGTTTAGTGTGACAATGATTTACTTCATATATTAAAAACTACGAATAAAGGAATATTCAAAAAAACAGAAGCACTAAAGTATGACATTACACTAAATAAATAAGAAAAGTTATATATTGGATTGTAAAATATAATGTGTTTATTAAGCATTTAGACAATCGTCAACAATGAAATTTTTTTCAATACAGATGTCATACCTATGGCAGTGATGGCCAGCCCTAACATGTGGTACACGAGCATAAACTCGTCCCTCAATCAACCTGCACAAAACTTCCAGGGACTTCAAGTATGTGCCAACCAGCCTGCACGTCTGTTTGAAGGTAAAGGCATCATGCCTCCTCCACCCCTGCAGGTTTTGGTGTAAAACATCTGAATCCATGCTTAAAATCTCTCCATAAGAGTGTCAGGGTGTTGTACAGATTAAGAGAGATCACGTAACTGCGTTAAATGTTAAATAAGCTTGTTATTTGGACTCGATTCTGTAGCGTTATTTACCTGCTGAACACCGAGTCCTCCCCCACATCAGGTTGCGTGGGCCGAATGCTCCACGCGGCTGTGCATCCTGTAGAAATACGTACTGATATGTTGCTGGCGAACCACTCCTTCTCTAGGTCCATGTGGGCTTCATCCACCCCTTTAGCCGCTACTTCATACTCCGTGTATTCATTTGGATACTGTTCGCCCCAATAGCGTGTCTTTATTAAATTCACGTGACGTCACATCCTCGCTTAGAGTGACCACGTAATCTAGGCGACCCCATTTTAGTACTTTTTTGGGGTTGCAGAGATGACGTGGACCAATCAGAACATTTGTAAGCCTATATAATGCTTGTATGGGCCCTTATCCGGTGCCCTATTGTGGTTTCTGTCTTCATACACATTTAGTGCTTATAGTAAGTCTCTCTTGATATTCTGATATTGACCTTGGTTTGTATTTGACTTTGAGTATTTCTGGAATCCTGACCTGGCTTGTTTATTCACATATATGTATTTTGTATTATTCTGACCTTGGCTATTACTGAATTTGTCTCTTGTTAACGTTAAGTTCGGCCACTATAAGGCCTGGTAGTATGTCTATATTAGAACCTCTATTTGTGTGATTCCCCATTTCCTGTAAGCTACTAAACTGGTTCATGGATTGTGGGATAAAACTTACCAGGAAAGGTTAAAGTATCTTAACATGTATAGCTTGGAGGAAAGGCGAGACAGGGAGGATATGATAGAAACATTTAAATATATAAAGGGAATCAACACAGTAAAGGACGAGACTATATTTAAAAGAAGAAAAACTACCACAACAAGAGGACATAGTCTTAAATTCACCATGCGACCTACTCAGTCTCCATCAGACCTCGCCCCCCAACACTATTTTAAACTAAACCTTGTATGAATTTCCTGCTTATAGTAATGGTTATATTGATCATTGTATCACTTGTGGTGGTGTGGATGTGCCATAATATTTAGTTTTTGGAATATTTTATGTGTTGTAATTATAAATCGCTGGATTTACCACTTTGGACTAAGCATCACTGAAGATCTATACATTTCCCATTCCAAAGAAATACAGGCACCTAATTTGGTACGCTCTCAATTCACTGTTGTAACCATTCTTGTCCTCAACTCAAACCCAAACTCTGATACATAGATATTTGACCTGGTTAACGTTTTCTTACCAACAGCTCCGTCAAACAAATATTTTGGCCAGCTGGGATAAATCTGAATCGTACAAAATGTGATTATATTCTGCAATCACAAGCTCTAGAGAAGGTTAAAGTCAAACTGAATTGGATGTCATCTACTGTAAAGTAAACCTTAAATTTCCTGAAATATCCTCTAAAAACATTTGCTGGTTCAGAAATGTGCCTTCTCCTCTCCTCCTCAATTTTTCCTCTCTCTTTCATCCAGTAGATGTACTCTATGTCCTTTCCAAAAATATCATATGTTCAATTTCACCCTCTATTCTCGGAGTTACGCAGGTTTTAGCAGTTTATGTTTTAAAGTAGCTGTGCTGTTGGACAATTTCCACAACTATTTTTTTCTTTCTTCATCAGATGTGTTTTTCTTTGTATGAAACAACTTCAACACAAAATTATATTTTTTTTATGCTGCTACACAATCAAAATAGAAATATCAATTACCTCCACTGGAAGCAGGTAGAACACTCCACTTTCAGGTAATGGCTGGATAAAGAAGAGTCAGTTTGTGCCAAAGAGGAGTTCATGCACTCGATCTGTGACACAGTACTAAAAGACGGAAACATGGTTTTACTGGCTGATTAAAGTGGTGCCACAGAAGCATACAGCCTCTATTGTTAGTTATGGTCTGCACCCATTCCACCTTACTCTCTAACCCTCTAATATTTTTTCCTAATTGGGTCTATGTCCTTGTTGTCAGTTCCCACATCTCTGGGCCTTCATCTCTGGAAATCCTTAGCCCTTAGAGGAGCCCTTTCCCAACTGGCCTCTTGCCTTCCCCATGTCTATCCACACCTAATCTCCACTGCCATACAATACCACCTTCTGTTGAAACACTGCTCTTAATCTCTCACCAAACTTGAATCCTGCCTTTATGCCCTTAAAATATGCCTTTATATGACTATGGTTGTTACTGTTACCTACTGATCACGTGAAGGATTTGGAAGTATATTACCGACACCAGGCATTTTCATAACTGTTTCACTGTTGGTGAAAAAACTCGCCAACAACATTTAGTTTATTTCCATCATATAAATACCCATCCTTTAAATCTAAAAAGAAATCCTCAGTGTCCCACTCCCGCTGAGCTGAAGGGGTTATACACTTACCTTTCTCCAGCACCGGGCTCCCTCGGCACTGGGGAACTCTCCTCCTCCTTCCGACGTCAGATCCGAATGCGCATGCGTCGCAAGAGTTTCCTATGGTCGGTTTGAATGCACGTGCGGCTTTTGCCACGCATGCGCATTCGGATCTGACGTCGGCAGGAGGAGGAGAGTTAAAAGAATTACTCAATGCTTTCCTATGGACGGCAGCGTCTTCTCACTGTGATTTTCATAGTGAGACTCTCGGAAGCGCCTCTAGCGGCTGTCAGTGAGACAGCCACTAGAGGCTGGATTAACCCTCAGTGAAACATAGCAGTTTCTTTGAAACTGCTATGTTTTCAGCTACAGAGTTAAAACTAGAGGGACCTGGCACCCAGACCACTTCATTGAGCTGAAGTGGTCTGGGTGCCTATAGCGGTCCTTTAAGTTTTGAGATCTTGAACTTTGCCCTCTCCCCTGCCATGTGAGGAGGTAGGGCTAGAGTGGCAGGAAGAAGAGGGCAGGGGAGAAGCCATATTCTCTGACTATGCATAAAGAAAGTGTTTCAATTATCCATTCCTGCTGGGACAGTGAAATAATAACCGGGGAAGGCTAGCGTACTGCAACTACAAGACGTTGGAGACTGTCTACTGCCCTGCTAGGAGAATTAGAAGACTTGTTATTTAATGTTCAGCTCCCTGCAGATTCTGGAACTTTCTGCAGGAGTGTGAATGAGCTCTTGCATCCTGTGAGCAGAAGGAAGAGAAAGGATTGCCATTGCTGTTCTGCTGCTGTCCTACATTCGTCTGGATCTCTGTGGGAATATCTGCAGTTACAGAAGTCACCCAAAGGTCCTGTCTCCAGAGATTGCTTCAGGATTCTCCCTTACAACTATACCTGGGTAGCGCTACCTACACTTAAGGGCCCCAACGTTGTGCACATAATTTACCGGCAGGTACCTAGGAGTTTAACTGTTCAGATGTAATTATTGATGTTATTAAGAGAAGTTTGTTGTCTGCATTCCTGCTGCTAAAGACTCTTGTGACTGTATCATTCCTACATCAGGGACTCTATCATCATTTAACATTAACCAGGAACTGCATTGTTATTTCTGCTGTTATATGTGTATTTCTTTAACTACAATACAGTGTGTATTTCCATGTCTGTAGTTATTTCATGTCTCTGAGTTATTAAGTGGAGGGCACTCATCTACTCAGTGGGGTGGGTTCCCCATAAATAGAAGTTGCACTGAGTGGAGGCACTGTGTCAGAACAAGATGTCTCGATCTCCCAACTATAGCGGAGGCTCAGGATCCCTGTCAGCGACAGAAGATGGAGTAACTGCTGCTAGCTACGGCTTGTTGCCAGAAGCAGGGCAAAAAGAGGTTACATTTGCAATTAGGTAAGCATATAGGCATACAAATGTTGCTTGAGACAGTGAACATCACATCCACGTAAAGTTTTATACAACAATATCTCAATCATTATTTTGGCCTACCCCTGTTTTTGCATAAAGGTAAAAACCAAAAGACAAAAATAAGAAAAATAAAAGAGACAATCCACTGTCAACCCACCATAAGACACCTTCCAGGTTATCCCACTATTGAATTTTTGTACTCCTCCCAAATAGCCCATTTTTTAGAAAAGGATTTCAATGAGTTATGCACCATAACCGATAATTTATCCATCAGAAAATTATCATTTATCCTACTCTTGATCTTAGTTATAGTCAGGACTTGCGTATTCTTCCATTCCACAGCCAAAAGACCTCCTTGCTGCCAGTGTGATTTTATTCACACTGAATGCCAAGGTAGATTGTCAATAGGTTTGAACAAGAGTACACCCAAGGGTCCAGGTCAAATGACCTAGGAAAGACCTGAAACAAGAACATCTTAGTGCTTTCTCAGTAAGTGTGAACCCGAGGACAATCCCACCACATGTGTATTTAAGTGCCCCGCAATCCACATTGTCTCCAGCATATATCTGTGGGAGTTTTCCCAATTTTATAGAGTCTAACCAGCGTAGTGTGCCATCTCAGTAGACTATTGAACATCTGCTCTTGCAGACCCACACAGATGGAAACCTTCCTGTCTTCCCAGGTTTCTCAATCTTGTTCTGACCCTCTACTTTCTCACACAGGGCCTCAGAGAATGTAGGACTTCTCATGTCTGACTGCCTGATACCTTCCCATATAGCATAGTATCTAATTTGCATATATCAGAAAATATATTGAGCTCAAAAAGCTGGCATCTTAAATAGTTCTTGAAAATGTAAAAGCTCATTTGTCCACTAGAGGTGCTGGAAGTGTTAGAGCCCAGCCTTTTCAATATTGGCAAAGTCCCTTGATACCATTCCCGGAGGGAACTCTCTGTTCCTCAATATTAGGGTTAGTGGAGAGGGGCAGCTAGACAAAGTAAATTTCAATCTAACCCTATCCTATAGGCTAAAAGAATGCAAGATAGCTGGGCATGAAGTTTTGATGAAAGCTATTTGGGGCTTGTCATGGCATACAAAAAATTGGGGCAAGTCAGCTCCCATTAGTCCTTACTCCGCTACAGGTGTGGCGTGCCAAAAAACAATGTGCCAATTGGGCTGCTACATAATATATATAAAGATGGGGCAGACCCAAGCCACCATGTGATCTAGGGCCATAGAGCACTTTTCTGGCCACTCTATGCCTTTTGGCCCCCAGATGAATTTATCAAAGTCAGACTGGAGGTTATTTAGCCCCCACTCTAGGGACACGAAAACATTTGAATACCTGCACATATTTGAAAGCTTTAACAAAATGTTTCCCTTTAACGCACATTTATAACCACTTACACGTCACTAGTGTAACCTGCCAATATATGAATGGGTAATTATGTTAAAGAAACAACCAGACAGATATGTATTCAGCTGAATCAGGGCTAGGTTTTGGACAAAAAAACAATCAAGATTGAACTGGATTGGATAGTTCTCCCTGAAGGCAAGTGTCACAGGATGTGTTGTGTCTCCCTGATTAAATGGGATTTATATCAACTAATTATATGGCAAGCTGGATGAACACTGTGGTTCAGAGTGATTTGATCATGTGCTTTCACTATCTGTTCATCCATCTCTCTTTAGGTCAATTTATATATTTATTTCATTTATTTTCTAGCAGCCGTTGTTCCATAGAAATTTCTCTCAAGAACAGTGACCTATTTACAAAAGTCATGCTTTTAAAAAGATAAATTATAAAAATAAAAAATAAAAATGCATTCACTGAAGTGTGATATTCATTTGTTTATAAAATATTTCCTGGGAATATGTAATGAAATTTCATAGAAAAACAACATAAAAACAGTGTAAAGACATTAAAAAAAAAAAAACATAAAGCGTAAACATTTCCATTCAGTCTGAGGAGAGCTCTATTTTTTGTCAAACCACTGAAAATTAGTTTGACGTAAACCAGGTGCACAGCAACTAAAGTCACTTTCTAAATAGCAACTACAATGAGTTGTTGTAGTTATGGTGCTTAAAGTGCCCTTAAGTTTTTTGTATTAAGTATTATTATTTATTATTATTAATATATCACCAACAAATTATGCAGTGGTATAATCCCCACCCTTGGATGTCAGTGGTTGGTGTGCTATTTAATGATATAAATAGGGGAAAATAAAAACAAAATATTGTACACCGTATGGAGTGCAAATTGAGATAAAAAGGTTAAAATCTACTCTCATTTAGTAGAGCAAATAAGGATTGCTCTATCCAACAGGTATAGGTGGATTTATCCCCACCAAGGATGTAGATGTTCGTGAGTACATCAGCAAACAAGTCCAATAAAAAAGTAATTTTATTAATAAAAAAAAAGATAAACTATAAAAGGAATAAAGTAAAATAGCTATATAAAACATTTCAAAATACACTTAACGCGTTTTGCCACTTGAATGGCTTCGCAACAAAGAAATTCCCCAGGCACAGCTTGAAAAAGACCTCTTAGGAGGTCAAAACGTTACTGTTCTTTTTTGTTTCATTAAAGCTGCCTGCGGCGTTAACACTTTGAGTGCCTGGGGAATTTCTTTGTTGCCTTGTCGTTGTGGGATTGCTGGTCCTGCTCCGGAGCACCGGGTGGCTGCTGGGATTGAGTGCGGCTCCTACCATAATTTTTGCATTCGAATGGCTTCATCCAAAGTCTTAGAGGAGACGACCAGTACTGCTTTAAATAGAAGTGTAAAATTCAAATCTAATGGTTCAATGACATCATAGTTCACATGACCTAAGCCAATTCAATGAACCAAATTTTTATTACAAAACATAAAAAAGCAAAAAAACACAATATTGTACTTCTATAGCTGTATTTTAACCTAACTGGCACAATTGTACTGCAAAACTAGCTTTATTTTAGTTAATTTGATGTAAACTTCAAAGGGGGATGGAAGTTGAAAAGGTCACAATGACACAGACGGCCGCGCCCACATGACCAGGCCAGCCAGGCAAATATATACGCTTTCCAGGCTCCGTGACATGTGAGTGCATACCTGTTATCAGTTTTATTCATACACTTTTTTTTTTTTTTTTAATTCTTTATTTTCTGTTGTGCATGAAATAACAACATGCTTACTCAGCCACGATAGCCGTTGTAAGCGGTAATAGGCATAACATACAAAACATGACCAAGTAATATACAGCACAATTTTTACATTTTGTTGAGAGAGAAAAAGTAGAGTAGGCCAAGAATCGATGTGCTTTGCTCTTATGTTTTGTTTTATCTGCCCTGTGTGCCTCGGGTTTACTGAGTAATGCTAGCTCAGGGGGCTATCCTCCCATGGTGCCCATACTTTCTGGAATTGTTTTTGCGTCCCCCTGACTCTTGCTGTCAGTTCATCCATCATATGTACCTCCCTTATTCTATTAATGATCCCCGTGAGGGGTGGAGTGGTCTGTTTGAGCCAGTCTGCTGCCACCGCTCTCCTGGCTGCTAGAGTTACCTTGTGGATGAGTTTTTGTTCGCATCTAGTCCACCCGTCAGTTGTTCTGCTGAGTAAATATAACCTTGGGTCTAGGGGGGGGGCCCTGTTCAGCACTTGGGTTAGGATCTCTCTAATTTGTTGCCAGAATCTTTGCATCAGGGGGCATTCCCACCACATGTGGATATACGTCCCTTTCTGTCCGCATCCCCTCCAACAGAAATCAGTGGGACTTTTTTCATTTGGTATAGCTTTACCGGGGTTGTGTACCAGCGAAGCATCGTTTTAATTGCTTGCTCCTGCATCGTTACGCATACTGATGATTTATGGTTGGCCTCCCAGATTTCCTGCCACTCTATTCCCTCCAGTTGTTCCCCTAGGTCCCTTTCCCAATGTTCTGTGTATGTTAAAGTTTCCCCTGCGTTAGGCATAGAGCAGAGGTGGGCGTATAGCCTAGTTATCAGGCCCGTAGGCATGCGGTCTTGCGAACATATTTGTTCGAAGAAAGTCATGGGTTTTTGGGCTGCCGCTCTAACCCAAGGGAGTTTTATAAAATCTTTTATTTGAAGGTACCGGAAAAAGTCAGCAGGCGTGAGGTGACCCCTTTGTTGCAGGGCATCGAAGGTTACGCTTTCTGAATTTTGAACTAGTTGATGTATTCGTTGCAGACCTATTCTTTCCAGATTCCTAAAATTGCGTGCCTCCATTCCGGGTGGGAATGCCCTATTCCAAAGAAAAGGCATCGGGGGGATGGGGCTGATGCCAGCCCATGTCGCTGTTGAGCTCTATCCCAAACATGGATAGAGTTTAATATGGCTGGGCATGTAACTCTAATAATTGGTCTTTTATCTTTGGGGACCCATATGAGGAGCTGAGGGATATCCGCCCCTACCATCAAGGACTCTAAGTCCACCATTTCCGTTCTCCCGGTGGCGAGTGCCATAATACTATTTGTGCTAGTTGTGTCGCCAAGTAGTAGCCATATAAATTAGGGAGACCGAGGCCCCCTCTGATTTTAGGTCTGTATAGTATGTGTCTCGAAATTCTATGGCGTTTGTGTTGCCACACAAAGTTCCCAATCGCTTGTTGCAATGGTGCTAAGTGTGTTTTAGAGAGGTGTATAGGTAATGATTGGAAGTAGAATAATATCCTGGGTAGGATGTTCATTTTGACCGCATGAATCCTCCCTATCCAGGAGATGGGCCTATCATGCCATGTCTCCAGGTCCCTGATGAGTTGTTTTATGAGTGGTGTATAGTTCTGTTGGAAAAGTTGTTCTGGGTCAGCTGTCAATTTGATGCCTAGGTATTTAATCGACTGTCATACACTTTTATTCGATATACTGCACTACATAGTTTTATTTTTCCCATATATCTACGAGAGTCACCACCACTACAAGAATCTACTGTAAGAGTCTACACTCCACCATCTACGTAGGCAGGGATCATTCCGCCCAGGCGTTCAAGTTGAAGCTACATCTTAGCTCCTAAAAAGTGTGAGTGTGAGAATATTACATATTCTGAGGAGCCTTACAATTATAGAAAGGAGATATTTAGAGGTGAAGAAGGCCTTGCTCATACAAGCTTACAATCTATGAGGTGTCTTGCCAAGGGACGCTTACTGGTAGACTTGAATGCACACCTGTACGTCCTAGTTCTAAGGTAATGATGTTACCACTGCTCTAACCAAGAGACAGTTTGATTGCCCCCAACTCATCCATGCAACTGTGCTAGTAATATTTATTCTGTTGCATGAATGCCCAGTCATAAAACCTTTCTTAGAGAAAGAGCAAAGGATTCTTTACAAACACCACTTTGACAACAATATTTATTTATCCTTCACCTTTTCCTATTTTGTATGGGATATTTGTTGTCCACAAAAAAGACACACTCTATTTGACCTATCAGTGTCTACTGAAAACTAAATACAAATATAAAAAAGAATCATTAGTGTTTTTCGTTTATATATAAATTCTTTGACAGGTTAGGAACTGCATAGATTTTTACCCAGTTGTACCTCAGAGGGACATATAAATTAGTCCAAACTGAAGGTCAAGCACTAAATGGAATTTTTGAACAAGACCCCAAAGTCCAGCACTTTCTTGACCGCTTAACCCCTTATGGACCAAACTTCTGGAATAAAAGGGAATCATGACATGTCAAACATGTCATGTGTCCTTGAGGGGTTAAAATATCCTAATACTTACCACCTTGCATTAAAAATAGAAAGACATACACTTTGTTCAAGCATCAAGTCCCAACCTTCCTTTCCACTGGAGCAATATTTCACTTTTGTTTTTTAAACAACTGCACGCGACCCTTAATTTACAATCCCTTATTGAAGTCTAATATTTTCTCGGTAGTTTTGCTTCAAGATCCAGATATTTTAGAGATACTTTAAAGACTGGTAAAAAAAAGTGAAACTCTAGAACCGGGGTAGTCAGCCTTTGGTACACCCAAGATGTTGTGGACTAAATCTCCCATGATGCTTTGCCAGAATTACGGCCGTAAGAGCATCATAGGAGAGTTGCCTACCCATGCTCTAGATAGAAAGATGAACCCTGGATAATTTTGTTTTCTAATAATAATAGCTTTACTCATGAAAAAGCAAAGCTTGTCTGAGCTACACTGTACAACTACAATCTGTAAACAACAATGTAGAAAAAAAACCAAATAAATATGTAATTAAATAGACTGCTGTAGTGTTTGGGATGGATAGATAAATTAAGTCAATCCAAGGATTTGAAAATGTGCTTGTATGTTCATAAGGGGTTTATTTACATGCTCCTTTTTAAAATGAAGTCAGGTCACTCCTACAACTTTGCAAAATTCATTAAGGAAGGTGTCATGGTGAACCTATACTACAGTTCACTTTATTTGTACTACATAAATAAATATAAGCATAATTTAGCAATTAGAAATGTTTGTCCTCATTGCCACTCTGTAACTCTACTCACAGACATTAAAGCCTTGTAGTAGGATAATGTTTATAAATGTCTTTACAAAGCATAACCCACAGAATATTAGTCAGGCTTCGAAATAGTGTGCGCTGCTTCTTGTTATAAATATAAAATTTTACACAGTGTACACAGCGCCTCCTCCTGTCTATACATGATTTAGCAAGTCAAATTTTGAAAGTCACAATGATATGTTTAATAAAAAAAATAAATCATTGCAGTTTCAGAAATCTTGAAGGACTATGGATATGCTTTATGTTGCATGGTATTCTACATACATTGAATGTATCCTCAACACAAACACAGTGTTTCCCCAAACTGCATCAATGAATGAATCAACAGGTAAGAGATGTGTTACCATTTAACCAAACTTGTTGATCAGATCTCTTTAGGTGAATATAGTGAGTTTACTGAAACAAACAATGAATACATGATTTTGCCAATATACTAACTCTGCAACATTTGAGATTTCAGACTGAAATTATTACTATTTTATCAATTTGCGCTTTTACGATTATGTGTTGTACCATTCTTTTTTCTCAGTCTATAAAACAGCAAATGGACCACGCAATGACTTAAAGGATCACTATAGTGTCAAGAAAAAAAAAATCGGTTTTCCTGATACTATAGTACCCCGAGGGTGACCTGAGGGTCCTCCTCCCGTGGTGCTGAAGGGGTTAAAACCACTTCAGTTACTCACCTTATTCCACCGCCGGGCTCCCTTACCTCTCCTCCCCCACCGACTTCAGCTCCCCGTCTGACGTCAGCGGAGCGGAATGCTTTCCTATGGACGCTCTGCATGATGGAGGCATAATATGCCTCCAGCGTTGCAGATGCGCCTCTAGTGGCTGTCCGGAAGACAGCCACTAGAGGCTGGCTTAACCCCAAATGTTTACATCTGAAGGGTTAAAACCTGAGGGACCTGGCACCCAGACCACTTCATTGAGCTGAAGTGGTCTGGGTGACTATAGTGTCCCTTTAAGCATATTTGTTAAAGGTAATATTATTGCTTTTTTTAAATGTAAAATTAATTAAATAATTTGAAGCTCCATACCAGTAAGGAGTGTAAGAGTGGAATTCACTATTTTCCCCAATCATCAGGTGTCACTAAAGGAATGGTAACGAAAGTCAGAGGAGGGTTTGGACACCTAATGGCAGTGTCATTGGCCAAACAAATTAGTAGTGGTTTTAATTTTTTCTCTTCTCCATTCTATGTTGTTGTCCAGCTTCTTATTTTTTTTAAATATTCTTTATTTAAGGTCAGATGACAAGAAGTATGTTATACAATACAAGAATATGGTAGGTTTCGCCATTTGTATTCCTTGAACTTGTTCTGTATTAGGCTCCTTCTCATTGTTCAAGGAAATGGTAGAAAATCAAATTAATCTCCAACTTACTCATGTCATAGACGAGAGACAACTGGTCTTCCTGGATTTTAAAGTTAACATTCTTGACGATGGGGAAATCACCACGTCACTATTTAGGAAACCCACGGCAACAAATAGTTTGCTTCATTGGCAGAGTTTCCATCCACATCATGTAAAAGCCAATATACCTTATGGCCAATATCTAAGAGCGAAAAGGAATTGCTCTAACCTGGAAGACTATGAAAAGGAAGCCAAGGAATTAAGAAACAGATTTAAGAGTCTGGGCTATCCTAACAGAATTTTAAAGAAAGCTTATCAAAGAACTAAAGCTGTTGATAGATCTGAGAGCCTACACAGACCTCCTAAAAATACCTCAACATCCCCAGGCGTAACTAGATTTATAGGTACATACGACAAACATGGGAACCAGGCACAACAAGTGTTTAATAGAAACTGGCCGGTAATACAGTATGGCACATGCCTCAAAAATATGATCACTTACCAACCCTCAATGACCTATCGAAGAGCAAGGAACTTGAAAGATCATCCAACACACAGCCATTTGAAACCAGCACAAATTACATCTACATGGCTCCAAACAACTAAAGGCCTTTTTAAATGTGGTCACTGTAAGGCCTGTGACTTTATTTTACCATCCAAAACGGTTTGCAACAAGAGAACATTCAAAGACATAGTTATTAATTCCTTTATTAACTGTAGCTCCACTAATGTCATCTACTTCATAACTTGTGAGTGTGGGTTACAGTATATCGGTAAAACGTACAAGCAATTATGCAGATGGATTCTACAACATATTAATTCTATCACTAATCTACATATTGATACTCCAATTGCCAAATATGTACGATTAAATCATGCATCTAAACCCAGTGTACTTAAGTTCCAGGTGATCCAAAAAATATTTCTTAATCATCGTAAAGGAGATATCAATATTTCTCTACTTAAGGCAGAGTCTCGTTGGATTTACTCATTTCAAACATTATACCCTAAAAGACTGAATGAGGAGTTTAATTTTACTCCATTCATTCACTCATAAAGTGTGGGAGTTTCTCTCTCCCCTTTTTTTCAGGTTCATATATATACAATTTCGAACCCCAATATGGCTTTTCTTTAGCTTAATACTAAGTTTTAACATCACATAATGTTAAGCTGTATATAATAAAACAGGGGATTAGGTTATGACTATGATTTCATTTCAATTTTTTCAGTCACTAATCATGACAATTATTTTCTAACATGGACAGACAGAATTATATTTGCCCTGCTTATTCTTTCCATCTGTACCAGGACACACTGGACTATTATTGGAACTGTTGGGAATTCATTTCAACAATTTGCAGCTATAATGGGTTGAGTGTGACTCTGTATTATCACAAAATATCCTGCTTAGTATATACTCAGCAGGATGATCTGTAGGAGATGATATCTCCCCTTTTACCACTCTACAGATTATGGTTACATAAGTCTCAGATAGTAACAAAGGTGTTCTCACTCCTCACTGGATACATCGGGCAATTAAGTTACCGGTAACATGGTAACATATTTGTTACAAATAAGTTGCTGAGTATTAATTTACAATGTTTCCCACCAGACCCCACCTTATGAACCACTCAAGATACTAGTCTTTAACAATTTAGCATCAAGGTATATACAGCTTCACTCTTCACTTTACTCTTTGCCAAGTATTATTTGTATTATATTACTATAACTTTTTAATTCAATTTAACATAAGGTATACGTGTATACTACTAAATTCTTCACTGCTTGCCTAGTATATTTACATTGGATTACATCACCATATTATATAGTTTTTTTGTTTCATTTAATTTATACAATTAACCTCTTTCACTGTATACCCAGCCACTTGGGGTTAACTGCTGGAAGAGCTAGGCTTCACCCCCTCCTATCGGGTCGACAAGATTAGTATCCAATCACTATGGAGGGTGGGATATTTAAATGACTGTTACACCTAGATTTGGTTCCCTTGGAAGAGCCGACATTTGGCGAAACGCGCGTCTGGACAAGATTAGCTGAGGGTGGAGGAGTTAGACAGGGACGATGTTGCAGCTGTTACTTCTCTCCTAGTTTAGCCACCCTCTTTGTTTTTATTGATATTTAGACAGTTAGCCACCTAGAATTTTTGGCTACATTTTCTTACAGCCAAGCGGTTGGGGATTTTGCTACAACGGTGGTACTGGGTGATAGGAGTCAGGGGGCTATACTTTCTGTAAATTGATACTGGTTACACTTTTACCTTTTAAAATCCTTGCAACACTGGTGCCACTACCCGATAGGGGTGACACCGGTTTGGCAAACATCTCCACTTTGTTTTTCCCCTCTGTTTTTCTATTTATCTCTATATAGCGACCCTGCTTTCTTTTTAAATAATTTTCTATTAAAAGTTATATTTTATCAATTTTTGGGTTGCTGTTACAGTACAAGAAACCTACTGGGATACTATTCAGATTTATTGTGCCCTTAAGGTTTGCTTGTACTCTCTTTGACTACAGGAAACGGAACACACTTTGCTCCTCTGCTGGTCAAGTGTAGGAAACCTCCATAAGACAAAGTAGTTCCTACTTTGTCTTAGGTTTTAAAGAAAACTAGAGCAAACAGGAATAAATGAAGAACAGATCCTGAGAGAGGGAGAGAAGAGAAATCGATTAAAGAAAGGTAAGTTCGACATGACAGTGCCGCTTTAAAGTTAACCTGGATCTTCATATGCACTTCACTCCACGGACAATCTTCCAGAGAGAATAATCATCTTATCTAAGCTCTCTCTTTCTTCAGTCATGTTTGCTTCCATATTTTTGTATGTTTCAATGTTATTGAGGCAATGAGGGTTTGTACAATTGCAAGAATATAAGCAGGAGTATAACAAAGATATAAGAGCTTTCTAAATATATAAACTTACCAAAACACTTGCCATTCCCCTCCCAAACTTGCTCTTAAAGTCATGCATGCAGAATCAAGTTATACAATGTGTGGCTTCCCCTCTACTACCACAGTAGTGTTTTCAAATAATGTTTCAAAAAACATACTGTTTTCAAATATTTTTTAGTGCTCACGTCACTTCTGCATTAAGAGAGTTAACGTAGGTTTGGTGATTCCAGATTTTCTGCCCTCAGTCTCTGGATTCTCTTCAAACAGTGGGGAGAGGATGCCATTTGTCTGCAAGAAAACCTGTACTGAGTTTTGTCCAGATTCACTAAAAGTAACAAGGTTTCTGTTAAAGGGACACTATAGGCACCCAGACCACTGCAACTCGTTGTAGTGCTCTGGATACAGTATCCCTATTGCACTTACTGCTGCAATGTTAAACACTGCAGTTCCAGAGAAACTGCAATGTTTACATTGAAGCACTAAGTCTGCCTCCAGTGGCTGTCTTCCAGACAGCCACTGAAGGCAGACTTAGTGCTTCAATGTAAACATTGCTGCTACTGGAGCACTTCCTGGATCCTAACGGACCTTTGTTCTGGTATCTGATGCTGGACATCCTCGCGCTCTGCATGAGGACATCCAGCGTCAGATTCTTCCCCATAGGAAAGCATTAATTCAGTGCTTTCCTATGGGGAGGTCTAATGCGCGCAAGGTATTTGCCACGCATGCGCATTACTGCCCGGTCATCAGCTTTGTATTACTGGCACTTATAGTATCCCTTTAACAAAAGAGACTTATCAAGCTTTCCCTTGAGAATACCTGGCTTCCTATGTGCTTTTATAGGCTAAAGATAACAAGAAGGATAAGGAAAGTTTACTCACTTACAGGGTAAAGTATAAACGTGCAGAAACATTCTATATTAGTAACATTCTGATGAAAATCACTGAATATTCATAAGAATTGCAAATCACATACTTACTAAATGCAATTCAAGGTGTATTTAGCAAATTGCATTGAATAGTCACATCTAGTTTTGAACAATTCAGCTTCTGCTAAAAATTCCACATCGCATATGAGATGGATATTTATCAAACACTGAACAACTGCACAGATTAGCTTCAAAGTGCTCCAGTAGGAAGAATGTATGCAAAATGTAATTCACACAACAGAAATCTGCAGCGTGTGCCCAGGCAGGCAGACAAATAAATGGAAATAACTGAGCCCCTTAGACCTCTAGTGCTGTTTTAATGCATTTACATGTATTTCATATTTAACCACTGGCATTTGTTTCAAATCACGAGCTACCCCCCATATTAGGACAATTACATTACAAATTCTTGGTTTGCGTTTGTGGGAGTTATTCCATCGTTACACTGTATCACTGAACGTTCTATTGCTCTCAGTGCAAGCTGTATGCAGTACACGTGGGTGTGGCGCCACCATGTGACGTGTAGGAGCCGTCAGCAAGGTGACAACGTACTCTCCCGGAAGAGGAAGTCCTGGATGACTGCTGGAGCACACAGGGGCAGCCTGGTGGGAGCTCTGCCTGCTGCTGGAGGGGTAATGAGTTGTGTATAGAGGTGGGTGTTACAGTGTGTCTGCCACTGGTGACATGTATTCCTGCTGTAGTGCAGTGCACTGTGCTGAATGTATTGCTCACACATGGCAAATATATTGACAATGCTGGGCTTTTATTGTGCTTGGGGGTTTATTATATCCCTATAATCACTCTGATATAAAGAAATATTATATACTATAGACAGCTCTTAGAATTGTAGCAACTTGGACCATGTCAATCCCTGGGGATATATTTAAATGCAGTATAGTATAAAGGTCATATAAAAAATAAATGTCATGTATGTGACTTTCTATATTAATGAATAGTATGCTATTATGATACTTTAAAGGGACACTATAGTCACCCAGACCACTTCAGCTCAACGAAGTGGTCTGGGTGCCAGGTCCCCCAGGTTTTAACCCTTCAGATGTGAAACTCCTATGTTTACATAGCAGGGTTAATCCAACCTCTAGTGCCTGTCTTCCTGACAGCCACTAGAGGCGCTTCTGCGACGTTGGATGTGAAAATCGCATCCAGCATGCAGAGCGTACATAGGAAAGCATTGAGAAATGCTTTCCTATGGACTGTTTGAATGCACTGCGCATGCACATTCGGCTCCACTCTGGAGCTGGCGGCGGGGGAGGAGAAGTCACTAGCGCCGAGGGAGGCTGGCGCTGGATTAAGGTAAGTGGCTAAAGGAGTTTTAATCCCTTCAGCCCAGCAGGAGGGGGGCCCTGAGGATTGTATAATGTCAGGAAAACGGGTTTGTTTTCCTGACACTATAGTGATCCTCTAAAATGGAGCAAGATGGAAAATATTTTCTCTTATGTTAAACTGCGAATGCCTGTCATCTTGTAATTAAAAGATAGAAAACTGAAAGGTTTTATGTAAATTATTTACTTGTCAGAGAGTTCTATATTAATCCGATAATCTCTGGAATAAAACATGCGCAGAAGTACCCATAAACCCTGTAAGGCATGTATACCACATGTCTAGCTATGACCTATCTACATATATTTAGAAAATCCATAACCACCACATTTCACTGTGGTTATTGTGCACAGAATCCTTTTCCCGCTGTGTCCCTGGTTTGTATAAAAAGGCTCAGCTTTTCCAACTCATTCCTGGTCCCTCTGCTGCGACTGAAATAATGTGGAAGGGAACCTTGCCATTATCCATCCAACTTTGGATGGCAGTGAAAGGCCACGCACACTCAAGAGGCCACCGTGATAATGCAGAAGTTTACTTGTACATTTTTTTCAAGCTGCAGCAGGGGGACCAGGCTTTAGTTGTCAGGATAAATTTGTTTTATATCTGACAGCTTAAACTGTTTCACGTAAACCAGAGGGTCTGGATCCAAATATGCATTTTACCATAACTGGTACAATGATTTGCAGTGTTTATAGGGCTTATAGCCTTCATTAAAGAGTCGCTCTAGACCGGAAGTGACATTTCTACACATTTTAATGGGTAATGTAGATTTCACCTGAGCTGTTGTCAAAATGTGTAAAGCTGTCCCTTACACTATTTATCAGCCATTGAGGGGAGGTAGGCACTTGAACAATGTGCACCATCCGCAATTCTCTGCTGTTTGGGAGATCAAGTTAAGGATTGTAGCTGCAGTGATTTGCATCATAAATTAAAAACACCAAGCACCATTATAGTTTTTCACAGTGAATTGTGGTGCTCTAAAATAAAGCAGCTTTGAAAGTATATGTATCCATCTCGGAAAATTCATACCCAGCATTTGGAATACTTTTTTAAATTCACTAATGGTAAATGAGTCCACTAGATTAAAGTATATCTTGAAATATAAAACGGTGCTGACACTTGCAGGTTAATTTAATAAACATTCTAGCACCATAAGCACTACAGATCATTGTATAGTTTATGCCGCAAGGAGTCTTTGGGTGCAGTTTCTCCATTTAAAAAAACAACCTGATTTCACACGGTTTGACAACAAACATCTCTCCCAGCCCCTAAAGTCCGGTCTCTGATCCTGCTGAGATAAAAAAATATTTTGGTTCCTCATTTTCTATTCAAATTTGGTGGTGATAGGCTGAGATTGTTGTGGGCAGCTAAACCATAACCACTACAATAAACTGTAGCAGTTTTGATGAGCAGTGTGACTAATGATATATCTATTATCAGTCAGTGGGCTTTTGATGAAGAATTGTGCAGACATCAGTATTATGTAAGAATGAGTCTTTCAGGGCACAACTGGATCTAGTCAATCCCAGTGCTATGCATTTTTCATTATGTTTTTTGTAATTAAACAGAAAATCTGGTCGATCTTTTTATACACCATTTTATATCTCCATCTTTCTTTCTACAGCTTCCGCACCAAAATGCCATTCCGATGACATCATCATCATGCTTCTGACTGCGTACTTTGTACTTGTGGGTCTGCTAGCTCTATGGGCAGTGCTGGAATTTTCTGTCTGCCACTCCAAGCCACCAGCAACAAGCAGTTCCTCTGGCAATCCAGCGTTTCGCAGTTTCCAGTATGCCTTCTACAGAGCCTACTTTCCAGCTCTAGCTGCAGACTGGCTGCAAGGCCCTTATCTGTACAAACTGTATCATCATTATCATTTCCTGGAGGGTCAGATTGCTATCATCTATGTGTGTGGTTTTGGAGCCAGTGTATTATCAGGTCTGGTAAGTGCCCCACTTACAGGTCGACTTGGGCGAAGAAAGTCCTGCATACTCTTTTGCTTTCTCTTAGCAGGGTGTTATCTGTGCAAGCTGTCACAGGACTATTTTGTTCTTCTGACCGGAAGGGTGCTGGGAGGCTTCTCCAGCTCCCTTTTGTTTTCTTCCTTTGAAGCATGGTATGGTCATGAGCATGCTGAACATCATGATTTCCCTGCTGAGTGGCTTCCTCACACCTTCTCTCAGGCAGCAACCTGGAATGGGGCTATTGCTGTAATAGCTGGGGTGACAGCAAATGCCTGCGCAGAGTGGCTTGGATTAGGACCGGCTTCACCGTCTGTGCTTGCAGTGCCACTCCTAGTATTATCTATAGCTCTGGTGGTACGTGAATGGGATGAGAATCATGGACAAAGCGCAGGCTTCACCAGGACGTGTGGTGATGGATTGCGGTGCTTGCTGAGAGACAGACGTGTACTTCTTTTGGGTGCCATTCAGGCCTTGTTTGAAAGTGTAGTTTATATTTTCATCTTTCTTTGGACCCCAGTACTAGATCCTCATAACACACCACTTGGCATTGCCTTCTCCAGTTTTATGGCAGCCAACGCAGCAGGTTCATCACTCTATCGCCTTGGTACTTCCAAAAAATATCATCTGCAACCCATGCACGTGCTGTGTCTATCTGTCCTAATGGTCTTCTTTTCTCTGTTCATGCTAACCTTCTCTACGGGTCCAGGCCAGGAACGTCCAACTGAGTCATTCCTAGCCTTCCTCCTAATCGAGTTGGCTTGTGGACTATACTTTCCAGCTATGGGATTCCTGAGACGTCGTCTGATTCCAGAAAAAGAGCAAACTGGTGTATTGAACTGGTTTAGAGTTCCTTTGAATTTACTTGCTGGACTTGGACTACTCGTACTTCATGACACTGATCACCAGACTGGCACTAGGAACATGTTCAGCTTGTGTGCTTTTACAATGTTGCTTGCTTTGCTCAGTGTAGTAAGTCTCTTTTCCTTGGTAAGAAATGACCCAGAGCTGCGTTTACCAAGTTCTGAGACAGAAGCCAGCGGACCTGAGATCTGAATAGTCAGAAGAAAATAGGTGCATGTTGGGGAACAAAAACAAAATCAGGAGAACCAAAAGGATGGCCAAAATGTTTGGCCGAGGAACTGCAAGATAACAAACATGGAAATAGGTCTTTTTGACATTATTTGAGATATGTGAAGTGTGTCATGGTGGAATTTAAATATTCTCTCCACTCCAGATAACGGTTAATGGAAGATAGAATGGAATATAGGATGTCCCACAAATTTGTTCTTTTATGTTGCCTGGACTGCACTGAAGAATTCACCATGTCCTGACCTCTACGATTATTAATGCAAATATTTAACTTGATGGGGTGGCAAAGGGGTATATGAAGGTGCGAACTGAAACTTCCTGGATTTTTTTTAAACGTTACTCGTTATTAAAATATTGTGCTAAAAGCGTATCTTTGCTCTATATGCAGCTTTATGTTTCTTTAAATCACAAAGTGTTTCTACCTGTAAGTAGTCATATGTAGCCTGTAATTTGCAAGACTGTTTTTACATTTTTTTTTTTTTATTATATACGAATAGTTGTAAACTTGTGAGAAACTCCAGAGGCTTTTTAAAATTAATGTCTCAATTTGTTAAATTTATCTAAGTGGGGAAACTCCAGACGTGTATACAGCTTTAATTTCAAACCTCCAGTGATGTCAGAAGCAGAAAGGAAGAGACCAGTTGATGGGGAGGGAGTATATATTTTTTATCTTTATTATTTTATTTGCTTGCAAAAACAAAGAAAAATACTAAATCAATGCTGTTTTTATTTATACTGTGTTAAAGGTCACAATGGCATGCTAGGTTTATTTTTTACCAACCATGTAGTCTCATGCTCCTGTTCATGTTACTTGCAACTTAATTTGAATGAACAAAGCTGTTCAGAATGTAGGCTGAAACATGTTTGCAACATTAGCCGTGTTCTGCTCATTGTCCACAACTAAGGCATTATGTATATATTTTGACACCATTTTGGGTAAACAGGGAGATATCTGATTTTTAGTTATTACTTTTCACAGAATCGTTCATCACTGTAAAAACATCAGTCCGGGAGTATCAGAGTTATTTTGAAATAATATATAGATAATCGAAAACAAATGGCATTATTGAAGGCTAAATATATTTATGTGGGTTGTTAAATGTTTACTGGGGGTGAAGTGTGCAGTTATGCATATAATATACATTACTGCTACACTTATGGGCCTTTACCTCCACCATCCTGTCCTATGCATCTTCATTCAACAATCGCTTGCACGCTGACAAAATCTTGATACCAGATGCTGTTTTGCATTAAATAGATAAAAAGAAAAATGAATATTTTCCTAAAAGATTTAATGGCTTACTTTTAGTGAGTTATTAGAATGTGGTACTACCTCCAAAGTAGCCGTTCATGTTTACGTAAATAGTATTTTTTTTTAATTTTTTTATTATTATTTTTAATACTTTTATGACGTAATTAGATCTCCTCCCAAAGAAACCAGAAACAGTGCTTGCTTGGATGGCTCATAGTCTGTCTGATCACTCTGGGATCCAGTCACTATGATAATTATAATAAGAATTATTGGTATTTATATAGCGCCTTTCAATATTAATAATTTTAACTGCCTTTGTTGATTAAGGCATGTAATCACCTGAATTGTCTCCCGAGGAGATACTGGGGGCCAATCTAGTGAACTATGAATTGATAGGATTTATTAGGGTTAGTTAGAATTAGAAATGGCCAAATGTACAGTAAACCAGGCACAACTGTGTAATCCTTTTCATACGTTTATTTTCAAACAGGGTCATGTATCAGCTCAATGAGCCTTTTAGTTGTACGTTTATGTCAGTATATTTTGCTATATTTTTTTATCTTTCTGCCCATGGCACCACGTTTCCTTCCGTAATAGAAGCAAGCTGTCCATGTTTGTACAAAGGTTAGAAATAGTGTCAAAATTAGAAGCTGAACAGAAATCAAAAATCCAAGAGACCACCTACTAAGAAGAGGCTAGTGGGAAGAAACCCAGTCTAATATTCTAGTAGCCAAACAAAAAAAACACATTTATTAATATCGACTGTTGAGCTACTAGATCAACGAGAGAGCACTTGTCTACCAAAGATATAACTGCGTCTAAGACCTGCATAAAAAGTTATCCTTGTGTTCAGGTAGGTAATAGTAGAGGACATAAAGAAGAGAAATAAACTGCTCCTACCATATAATCCAGAAACAAAGGAGCAGTAGCTCTAAAAGTAAACGGAAAAAGGGGATCCTAACATAAAGGATAATCTCTAGCAAGAGCAAGAAAGTCCTTATGAGGAGAATCATCTACCTAATGTTATACCTCTAGAGGAAAGGGAACACGAGGCATGGCTACCATCCACAACCCATCACTGGGATTCCCTGCTAGTGGGAACTGGAGATAATGGTCTAGGGGTAGCCTGAAAATCAGTACACACTCTTGTTCTTATTTACCTCGGCACCGCACAAGGCTAGTGCCTACCTGAACCAAAAGTCCCTCAAGGATAATTTCACTCAAAAGTGCATAGTGCTACCAAATGTGAATAAAGGTCACCCATAGACCACTAGCAGGGAATCTCATTGATGGGTTGTGAATAGTAGCCATGCCTCTTGTATTCCCTTTCCTCCTTCCTCTAGAGCAGTGTTTCTCAATAAGTGTTCCCTAAGAACAAAATTGGGATTCCGCGGCGATTTGCCCGTCGGCTGGCCCAAGCATTTAGGGCTATCCGATGGGTATCGCTAAACAGGTCTGGTCAGGCGCTGCAGGCGTCTAAGACCGCTACATGACCCCTCTTGTATGGGATGCTGGGAGGGAATGACAGCACTTCCTCTCAGACAGAGCGCGCCGACTGGAGGGAGAGCAGGAGCGCAGCGGGGAGTGAGTAGCTGCTGACCTGGCACACCATCCTCAGCCAGAAGCCTGCAGCAGTGAAGGAAGAAAAAAGGTAAGTTAAACATGTGTGTGTGTGTGTGTGTGTGTATATGTGTACCTGTGTCAGTGTGTATCTGCCAATGTATGTGAATCTATGTGCGTATGTGCCATTTTGTGTCTCTGCGTGTCAAACTGTATGTGTGTCAGTGTTTCTGCTAGTGTGTGTATCTGTGTCAGATAAATACACACAAAGATACACACACTGGCACATACAAACACAGATGCACCTTGACAAACACCGGCACAGATATACAAACATACACACTGTGTGTATGTTTGTGTCAGTGTGTATGCCTGTGTGTGTATATCTGTGTGTCAGATACATACACACACTGGCAGATACACACACCGGCACATACACACACCGGCACATACAAACACAGATACACACTGTGTGCCAGTGTGTGCGTAACTGTGTGTCAGATTCATACATACTGGCACATACAAACACAGATACACTTACCTTGACACACAACAGTACATACAAAAAAAAAATTATGCAACAGCGCAAATTATTTTTTTTTGGGGGGGAGGCGCATTCCAAGATGTTGATACACTATGTCAAAGTGTTCCACGGGAAAAAACAATTCGGAACCCCTGCTCTAGAGGTATAACATTAGGGAGATGATTCTCCTCATAAGGACTTTATAGCTTTTTCATCAGGGTGTCTTGATGGAGATGATCCTTTATGTTAGGATCCCCATTTTCCCTGTTTACTTTTAGAGCTACTGCTCCTTTGTTTCCTTCTGGATTCTTCACACTAGCCTCCTCTTAGTGGGTGGCCTCTGGGATTTTTGATTTTTGTTCACTTTATGTTTAAGGGTTATCCCCTACTTGTTAACCCCGTCTAGGTGAGCTCTATTCTGATAGGGGGTGGGACAAGGGTTCTGTTCCCATCTGTAAACAGGGGGAACCGGATACCACTTAGTCCCAATCTCTTGTACTCCTCTTCTTTTCTATTTATAAATGTTGAAATTTGAATCTAGACAGCATTGTGTCACAGATCGTGTCACCTCAACAAATAGTCTCTGTGAAGCAAGCAAAGATACATGACAACATTAATGTCTAACTTGACTGTATAAATTACCCCAAAAACCTAGCAAGGGTATACGTGCGTTAACTTGGTGCAGCAGAAGACAAATCTGGCAGAATTATTCACTAGAACTATAGGAAGTGCAAAGCGTTCAAAGTGTCGGCAAGTAGTGCTAAATGCTCAGTGTGTTCTAAAGTTGTGACAAAATGTGAATGGAGAAGGATGGGAGGGAGGGATATTTTATGTCATTTTAAAATATTTTATCCATACTAAATGTTGTATACGTATAGGGCAGGAGTAGGCAACACTTGGCACTCCAGATGTTGTGTACAACATCTCCCATAATGATGGCAAAGCTTCAAATGAGATATAGTCCACAATAATATGTGTGGGTGCACTTAAAGAAAAAGTGTTAAATTATTGGGGAACAAACACATAGAGGGTTATTCACTAAAGTGAGAATTCAAAGTGAATTTCAAATTTAAGGCCTAATAAGCCGAAATGAAAGTATAATTCCTTTTAAAGGAACAATCAAGCATTAGGAATACAAAGTTGTATTACTAATATTAGTGTTTCCTCATGATTTAGATTAAGGGCCCCCAGAAGGAAAAAAAACAATAAATAAAGATTTATTACTTATCTTTAGTCCCCAGGTGCATCATAGTTCTCATAGTGATGCATTGACTCATAGGAGGCTAATTGCATTTCCTAAGAACAGGCAGTGTTTGCTTAGCTGAGGCAGCAAGGACAGTCTTCTTGCAACAGAACTACTATAATATTCCCAATCATTTTCTCTTTCTCTTTCTCGTTCCCACTCTTTCTTTTTTTTCATTTAAAAAAAAATCTTAACCAAAAGCAATACTTTGTCTTGTGTATTTTTCTATGCCTGACACTGGGAAGAACTAAAGTCTTAATCCTGACAGCCGTCGCGGAATCCTCCATAGAACTCAATGCTGTACTCTTGTACATGCGCAGGGGGTACAGTAGTGACGTCTGCTGCTGGTGCTGTAGTCCCAGGAGCTGAAAAGGACCTGCCGGAGGAAGATGGCACAGCGAGGGATGGGTTCAGGTAAGTAGAAATCACCTATACCTGCACATGGCCACTGGACACGCAGCGGCGAAGTGAATGTTGGGGGTGTTTGCAAATTCTGTAAAGTCCCTGGACAACGACAGTGTAGCTTTAAGCTTGAGTGGTTCTGCTGCCTAGAATGTCCCTTTGAATTTGAAATTAACATTGAATTCCTAACAATTCTCACTTGAGAGAATAACCCTGATATTGAAAGTATCAAACAGGGCCTTCAGCATAAATGCGCAGAATCTCATAAACTGCTTGGGATTAAGCTTCTGTTATAGAATATTTTGATAGTCTATATATAAACACACTGTATGTATAATAAGTCATAACGAGTATGGTTATGAGGCACACATGTCAACAGATTTTATCTGCCAAATCAGCTAAGACTTTCGTTTGCCACTACAATCTAGAATCTTGGTTCAGTGCAATGATCTGATAAGAGGACAAAGGAGCAACTTCCACCACCTGCTTTGAGAAAAACAATTGTATCTGTGTGGGAAACATACCGACCAGTATTTTACAAGAATAATCTGCTTGTTTACAATATATTTTGACAGTGTAAATCAAATGAGAAAATCATTTATTTTTATTTTTTACTGCATATGCTTTGAGTTTACGATTTTAAATTTAAACAATATTTTTCAACAGTCATTTTCACACACAAGTCCTTTTTAACACACATATACTTTTTCTGAGTTACTCACTAAACTGTGAACTGGCAAACTGTTCACAGTTGCAAAGTTAGATCAACATTACTGAGCTGGAAATATACCAAGTTGGAAAATTTGTCCAATTCAACTATTTCGACCCATGATTTGCAAATCCCTGGTGAGTTCCTGATAATTCAGATTTAAATATTTAACCCAGTTTGTGTGCCCAGGGTTTTATAAACCCAATTACCTTTTACTCCTAAAAATGTTACTGGGGTATGAATGAATATACAGTAGTTATAAAAGTTTGTAGTGAATGTGTTCCCTGTTTCAGTGGGAACAGTTACTAGTCAATTTTACACGCTTTGTAACTACTGCAGAATAACATTAAATGGACACTAAGCACCAAAACCACCTACATCCAAATGTAGTGATTTTGGTGCACAGACTCTTGCAGTTTAACCCCTTAAGGACACACGATGGAAATATTCCGTCATGATTCCCTTTTATTTCTGAAGTTGTGTCAATATTACCATTTTTGAGAAACAACGTTTACATTTATCTGCCTGAATGCTTCTATTGGCTATCAATCAGACACACTAAATACACTTCTCTGTGCAGACCTTAAAATTATCCTATAGTGCCAGCATAACAAACCCATTTTCCTGGCACTTGAGGCTCCTGGAGCTCCCTCCTCCCTCTGGGTCCCCCTCCCGCGGGGCTGAAGGGGTCACTTATCTGAATCCAGCGCCGATGTCTCTCGGCGCTGGGTCAGGCTCCGCACATTGGACCTCCCCATAGGAAAGCATTGTTCAATGCTTTCCTTTGGGAAAAAATCTGACGCCGGAGGTCCGTGAGGACATCCAGTTACAGATAACGGACCAAAAGTCAGTTTGGATTCCGGAATCCCTCTAGTGGATGTCTGGTAGACTTCTCTGGAACTGCAATGTTTAACATTGCAGCACTAAGTGCAAAAGGGTCACAGGACCCAGACCACTTCAATTAGTTGAAGTGGTCTGGGTGTCTACAGCGTCCCTTTAAATAATTTAAAGTCTTCATGTTCTACAACATGGCACACAGCATGATGCAGTTGAACACTGTTAATGGGTGGTTTGGATTCATTGATTCTCTTTGACAAGCATCCAATTGGATACTATGTATTGGATATATAGCCAGTACGACCTCAATGCTTTTTGTCTAAAGCATTGAGTTGGCCTGAGTTCATCCGTCAGAATGATCTCAGATAAGCAGAAGCGCAAGACCAAGACAGGGACAGCGTGATTTAAGTTGTTTCACTTTTTTTTCTAACCTTTTACATGGTGCCCAAAGTTTTAAAAAGACAGAGGAATCTTCTAAGCAAAGAAACTCGACATCAGATGAAAATGTTTTTGACAATTAGTACATTTGTCTGAAATTGAATGGACGAATGCAAATTCTTACGAATGAAACGAAGAACGAATTGCTTGTTGGACGGAATTTTGTCCATGCAATTCGTTCTTTTATAACTTCGTTTTGTTACAAGGAGGGAGCTATCAACTTGCACCTTCCTCCTTGAATTTTTTAAAAATAAAAGAAGCAGTGAGCTGTGCTCCCTGCCGCTTCCTAAATCCCTCCTCCAATCTAGGGCTTTGCAGTCAGTATGACCCCAAATTAGTATAAGGGAGGTATATATCCTCTGTACTGCAAGGAGGGGCATATTTACTAAACAGCGAGCAGCCAGTGGCTGCTATAGTGTGGTTGGCCAAATAAAAATTCATAAGGTCGCATCGCAACTATTAAAATAAAAAAAAAAAAACAGATTGCAAAAAAAGCATGCCGACTGTCAGTCTCAAGATTTACCTGTCAGAGCACTCAATCAGAAAGCTCTGAATCAAATTGCTTGGCGCAGACTGAGCTTGCAAGGCTTTTCCTGCCCTGCAAGCTCAGTCTGCATGGGTGGATTTTGTATTTATTTTTTGTCAGGACTATTTCTTTCTTTTTTTTTTTGCGATTGGGTTGCAACTTGACCTTATGGGAATTTATTTTGCCTTTTTTAGTATTAGCATGACAGATTTAGGGTGAGAGTGATAAATAGGATATATTTTCTGAGGGTGGGGGTGAGTGTGTGACTAGTGGCTTGGGACCAAAAAATCCAGCCCCCCCATACTATTTAGGGCTCCCTCCAATGGGTCCCCAATAGGTGGGGTGCAGAGGGAACAATACATTCTTCCTTCCCTTATTATATAGGGCTGCCGCATATGGCCATGGATGGGGGTTGGAAAGGGACACTAAGTATTCCCCCAACCGTTCATTTTAATAGCTCCCATTTATTAGATATCCCAGCATTTCTAGCCCTTATTGATTAAGTGCCTGGGCAGCAATAGAGCACAAGCATCCTTATTTACTAATACTAAGTATTTTTAGTTGGTATTTGTGAATTTGTCTGTAAGACCAAAGTTAAGAAAACAAAGGTTTTTTCGTAATATTGGTCTTTCAGCTTCTTAGTACGTATAGATAGCTCCATAATCCTTGTGTGGGGTTACCATGAGGATAGCAAAAAAAGTTCTTTACTAAACAGCTTCATAATTTGGTACACTTAAATAGTGCAAACCCACAAGAGTGCAAATTTAGGAAGTCATCTGCTAAATGGCTGCAAGATGCAGCTGTGACATGGTTCATTCTAATGAAATTCTGAAGCGAAAATAATGGCTAAACTTTGGACTAAAATGAAAAAATGGTTTGAAGGAAATGAAAATTTCAGTGGAACCCAAGTCTTTTATTAATAAGCATATCTATGTAAAACATAGAGTTTCTTAATATTGATACAAGAAAATAGAATATTGACAGCAACTGTGAAATCATAACAGTTGTTTACATTTGTGTAGGCCATCGGCATACTGACAAACATTTAAGTAAAACTATATAAACTTATGACATTTTAATCTATACTGGACAGGTGAGCATCTGGGGCCACCATGGTGGATGTTGGCAATGATAGGTGTGTACTGTATATACATAATCCATTATCCAATGGCTCAGTGGACCTTACATGCTCCTCACCCACTCATCGTGGAGGAGAATAACTTATGAAACGTGTGAGTGAAGACAATTGTGGAAAGGGAGAGTGGCAAGTAAGAGCAACACAAAAAAGTGAGGGAGGATGAATGGAGGTGAACAATAAAATACTGAAAGGCAATGGTTTCCAAACCAGTCCTCAAGACATATGCCTATCAGCCAGGATTTAGGGATTACCCAGTTGTCAAGGTGATTTTTTTTTTTATTTCTCTAAAAACACCTAAGACACAACTAGGTAATCCATGAATCCCGGACTGGTAAGTGTGCCTTGAGGACCGGTTTGGAAGCCACTGCTGGAAGGTGAGGCTACAGTATGAGCCTAAGAAAAGAATGCACTGCCACTAAGCGTGCTGAATTACCGAGGTCATACTCATGAAATCCTCTGCCAAGGCCCCACCAACCCACAAGACCTCTATTCGGGCCCAAACCTATGTCATTATCTTCTCTCAACTTGGTTGCTCGTACTGCTGCAGCAGCTGGTGCCCCTCTTGTGACAAAACATATTCCATCCAATAAATCCACAGTGCTTTTTAACTCTCACTGAAGGTGAGTTTACCGCCAAGTCTTAAGAACTTATCTCGTGCGCATCAAAGTCACCAAGGAAGACAGATCGTAACTGCATTCAAGAGTTGTAACTCCACTGCCCATTAGGAATTTCCAGTCTGACACCCCTATGTTGGATGTGGATTTACACCTCTGGAAGGTAAGAGTTTAATATTAGGGATGCACTAAAATGAGGGGGGGTAATTTTCGGCGCATTTGGCCCATTTTCGGCAGAAGATTTCGATGCTACCCTAGTTAATATCTGTATGTGCCGTATTTCAAAGCAAAACGCTGTACATACATACTTTAGGCACCATGGCCACTTCAAATCACTGATGTGGTCATGGTGCTTGGTGTAACCTTTTTAATAAAAAATAATTTTTCCAGGTCAGTTGTTTTAGCTTAAATTTTGGCATTCAGATTTCATTTCACTCTCATTCCTTTTTAAATTAGCACTCCAAGTCCCTAAAGCACTTCAACTTGTTAAATCGCAAGTTGAAGAGAGTGTCCCATTTTTATTCACTTGATAAAAGTGCAGGTTTTTCAAGAGAAATCTACTCTTTTATAAAGTCTCCTAGTTGTACCCTCCTAGCTGTTTGATTGAACTCTAGGATGACGCACACCCAGAGTATTTAAATAAGTGCTTATTTCTTTTGAAGATGCTGTTCCACACAGTTTTGTGCCCTCTCAGAAAGCGGCTTAAGGACTCATTTGCCTAGTTTCAATTGAGCAGTATGGTTTGGGTCGGTACGTCTGGTACGCTATTTTGAGTTTTTCCATTATGAAAGTGGCACATACAACCAAACCAAACTGCGCCATTACTGGGCCCCCTTCAGATGTAGGGCCATAAGAAATTGTACGGTTAGGGCAGGGCTACTGGCATCACACTATACAATCCATTGATTGGCGGACAGGAAAACGTCAATGCTCACGACAAATGACACGCTAGGCATTTGGTCTAAACCCCGCATGGCCCCTGGCGGTCCGACTTGCAGTGGAAACACTCACCCGAATAGGCTGGACCATTCTAACCCTTCCGAACTGTACCGACCCGAACCATACTGCTCAGTGGAAACGAGGCAATAGAGAACCATTGGTTCCAATGCTTTTTCATTAGAGCGTTAATTGCTGTACATGCGCCATGCATCTCAATACTTATCTATGAGAAGCACTGGATTGGCCAGGAAATTATCTGACCCTGTCTTGTTTGTATGCTCAAATTTCTTTGTTTTCATTCTCACATGCACATCACTCACAGAAAATAATTATCTGGGATCTAATGGGCCATAAGGTATGAAAGTTTTTTTTTTATTAATTAGAACACAGTGTTTAAGGAATAAATCTCCAGTGAATTACCAATATTTCACCCTTTGGTGAATAACACTGTCAGTTTCCAGTTCACCAGTCTCCAGTCTTTAGCCAGTAACTCCACACTGAGTATTGCCAGTAACTGACCAAAAGATTTACAATTTTAGGCCAAATAACTCCAAATTCTCAAAATCATCTTTATTTCCAGCTTTTCCTCCTGATAGGGAACTATGCACTCCTAGTACTCCTTTAAAACTACATTTCCCGGCATGCCCCTGGGCTGGTCGCGCTTACTACGTCACATGATATAGCTTTGCTGGTTGGCCGCTGGGAGAATTTTGAACTGAAGCACAGGCGCGAGCCAGGCAGCGGAAGGGGATAGTGAGAGCGGTCGGTGAGAGCTGGTAACACGGCGGGGCCGGGTAGGGGGATATAATAACCGTTATCTGCTGCTTAACGACATCACTGGCAATGACTAATAATAAAACCCTCTCTGCCATTAGACAGTGCTGCCCGGCTGGCTGAATGTTTATAACCCTGACTGCCTCTATATAAGCGGCTCATAGCAATGTACATCAATGTGTGTATGTTTATATATATATATATATATATAGGGGATAATCCAGCTATCAGTGTATATAGGGGATAATCCAGCTATCAGCGTATATAGGGGATAATCCAGCTATCAGCGTATATAGGGGATAATCCAGCTATCAGCGTATATAGGGGACAGTCACTGCTATCAGCGTATATAGGGGACAGTCACTGCTATCAGCGTATATAGGGGACAGTCACTGCTATCATCGTATATAGGGGACAGTCACTGCTATCATCGTATATAGGGGACTGTCACTGCTATCATCGTATATAGGGGACTGTCACTGCTATCATCGTATATAGGGGACTGTCACTGCTATCATCGTATATAGGGGACTGTCACTGCTATCAGCGTATATAGGGGACTGTCACTGCTATCAGCGTATATAGGGGACTGTCACTGCTATCAGCGTATATAGGGGACTGTCACTGCTATCAGCGTATATAGGGGACTGTCACTGCTATCAGCGTATATAGGGGACAGTCACTGCTATCAGCGTATATAGGGGACTGTCACTGCTATCAGCGTATATAGGGGACTGTCACTGCTATCAGCGTATATAGGGGACTGTCACTGCTATCAGCGTATATAGGGGACTGTCACTGCTATCAGCGTATATAGGGGACTGTCACTGCTATCAGCGTATATAGGGGACTGTCACTGCTATCAGCGTATATAGGGGACTATCAGTGTATATAGGGGACAGTCACTGCTATCAACGTATATAGGGGACAGTCACTGCCATCAGCGCATATAGGGGATAATCCAGCTATCTGCGTATATAGGGGATAATCCAGCTATCAGCGTATATAGGGGACAGTCACTGCTATCAGCGCATATATGGTGGATAATCCAGCTATCAGCGTATATAGGGGACTGTCACTGCTATCAGCGTATATAGGGGACAGTCACTGCCATCAGCGCATATAGGGGATAATCCAGCTATCAGCGTATATAGGGGACAGTCACTGCTATCAGCGCGTATATGGTGGATAATCCAGCTATCAGCGTATATAGGGGACTGTCACTGCTATCAGCGTATATAGGGGACTGTCACTGCTATCAGCGTATACAGGGGACTGTCACTGCTATCAGCGTATATAGGGGACTGTCACTGCTATCAGCGTATATAGGGGACAGTCACTGCTATCAGCGTATATAGGGGATAATCCAGCTATCAGCGTATATAGGGGACAGTCACTGCTATCAGCGCATATATGGTGGATAATCCAGCTATCAGTGTATATAGGGGACTGTCACTGCTATCAACGTATATAGGGGATAATCCAGCTATCAGCGTATATAGGGGACAGTCACTGCCATCAGCGCATATAGGGGATAATCCAGCTATCTGCGTATATAGGGGATAATCCAGCTATCAGCGTATATAGGGGACAGTCACTGCTATCAGCGCATATATGGTGGATAATCCAGCTATCAGCGTATATAGGGGACTGTCACTGCTATCAGTGTATATAGGGGATAATCCAGCTATCAGTGTATATAGGGGATAATCCAGCTATCAGTGTATATAGGGGACTGTCAGTGCTATTAGTGTATATAGGGGACTGTCAGTGCTATCAGCGTATATAGGGGACTGTCGATGCTATCAGCGTCTGTAGGGGACTGTCGATGCTATCAGCGTCTGTAGGGGACTGTCGATGCTATCAGCGTCTGTAGGGGACTGTCGATGCTATCAGCGTCTGTAGGGGACTGTCGATGCTATCTGCGTCTGTAGGGGACTGTCGATGCTATCAGCGTCTGTAGGGGACTGTCGATGCTATCTGCGTCTGTAGGGGACTGTCACGGATATCAATTTATATAGGGGATAAATGCTGCCAGATCAGCCCAGTAACATTTCAGGACTCCTTTTTTTTTTAATTAAACTTATTTATTTCAAGATACAGGTTCTAGTAATAATACATTAACAGTAAATATGATGGCACCTGACATTACCCATGCCCTCTGTTACCCTATACCAGTGGTTCTCAACCTTTGTCACTCCATGGTGGGAATGTAGGTCTTGCTGGATGGAGATAACTAGAGCTGTATGATACAACAGCTTTGTCAAAGGTTTGTCATTACTGCTATTTATAAAATAGTAATAACAATAATCGGTTATCAGTCCCAGAGAGTGCCTGTTTCCTATAATTGTTTTTGGTTTACAACAGTGCATTTAGGTACCATAAGGTGTAACACATTCAAGCCAAAATCCCTTACTGCTTCCTTGTACAATGCACTATTTAACACACAGGAGTGCTGGCAAGTTGTATGGTAGAGCCTATGGATTTTCACAGTCTGCATTCCTTTTATTTTTTTTTATACAATTCTGTAAATCATCCTGTTTTCGTTTTTTGATTGGCAGGTGTTAATCTTTTTGATGTTTGCAGGTAAAGTGTGCAAAGAATGAATAAGATCTCAAAAAGTGCGGATTTCGTAAAACTGACATCATCTTTTGAGGCCGTAGAGAAGTTACAGTCAGATCTCAAGGTGAGTTTTGATTTGTTGGGTTCTCAAGCTTCTTTCTGTTAACTGTTCCAGAGCCTTTTCTTGCGTGGAGTCAAATGGCAGACCAATTCATGCAGGGAATCAAAGTTATGTAATTCATTCTTTTACACGTGACAGAACCACCCACCGTTGTTATGAATGCAATTGATTGGGTTTAATAGATTTGTACCAATTGACATTCAGTATAACAGAATGACTGTTTATTTACATTTAATAGATTTTTTTTTTTTTTACAAACTTGTCTTTTACGTGGTGTACTTTATCATTTGCATGACAAAATAATTAATCTTATTGCCACTTTTATTCCTGTTCTGGATTTTTTGCTTATACATTGGAAGTGATAAATATTTTGGCAACCGTAATTAAATAGGCTCATACACAGCAAATTGCAATGGCATTCTAGTAACTACATTTTATTGTGTAATTTTATGGGAGTGCATGTGATCATCTTTAGAATATGTATATTTTTGCTTTTACATGTTGTGTGGTTTCTTTTCTATAAATGTTTGGCATCTTCTCTAATTATGGTCTGTTGATAAAGATTAAAAATATGTTTGTACTATTTTGCATCTTTTCCATCAATTTGCCATTGCCGTCACTTAGATTTGATTATATTGAAATTTAACTTTAAACCAATAGAAATATGATCATTGGTAGTACTGGCCGTATTAAATTATGCATGTAACATTTTCTATTCTCTTGCTTTTCAGTCATGCCTGTCAGATGTCCCTTGTGATCAGTTGTCCTCTGATCGTCTGTCAGATCAGCGAGTGGTTTGCGATCGAGTCCTTCGAGCCTGTAACCACTGGGCTGGAGATGCATCATGCCGTGGACAGCACCTGCAGAGCCTTACCCCATTGGCAGAGATTGCGTGTCATGGATTTCGTGCCTCCACCCTCCAGAATAACTCCTTCTATTTGGAGAAGATTCTCTTTCACCTTTTGAAAAACGTATCTGCACGGGACTCATCCTATCAATCCACCATTCAATTATCGAACCTCTTGTACACATTTCTTATAAAGTGCCCTGAAGATCTGAAGGTTGGGGGAGACTACGTTGCTTTGGCTAAAAGCAGTTTTCAGTTCCTGTGGAAAGCAGCTGGAGACCAAGAACAGAAGAACAATCCCTGTGCCTGTAACCAGGAGATCTTGTGCCTAAGATTACATGCCCTGCGCTTTCTCATCCTGGTTGAACGATCTCCATCACACACAGATTCCCCTCTAACTATAGCACGTCATGTGAAATTTGTAACTATAGCTTTTGAGTCTAAGGGCAAATCATGTAGCAAGGAGGATGTCTGCTTTTTAAATAACAGTGTTGAAGATCTGTTGGTAAAGCCTTTACTAGAAGCAGGGACTCTCGCCAATCCATGGGCTCGTTGCTTAGTGGAACTGACTGTACATAGATGTCGCAGTCTTTGTAAGCGAAATTGCTTTCAGCAGGGAAAAGATGCGCTGCAACAAGCATATTCTTATTTGAAAAGTGGTGACGGATGCTGCTTAGCTGGGCTGACACTTACAAAATTTGCACTGGAGATACAGGAACAGGGTAGATCACGAGGAATTGGAAAATGTTTAGATGAGATGGCCAATGCCGTTCTCAAAGTAGATTCTTCAGGGGAAGGGTGGCTTTGTCAGGCATTGAGCGAGTGCATCCAGTTTGCTGTCTCTTGTGTGGATGGACATTTCAAATCAACTGCAGATTCCAGGACTTTGTGTCTTAAGGAGGTCTTAAACTTGGCCAGTTTCCTCAAAGCACACTACTACCTTCTAGAGAAACAAATGTCTGTGGTATGTAACTTTTTTTTTTTTTTTTATGGCTATAAAATTGAGCACTTTCTATTTGAGTAAAAAAAGTCTTTTAGAAAAATGCTAGGTCTTTCGTAATGTTATTATTTTTAGTTTTTTGCATTTTTTCAGTGCATTTGAACATTACATACATGCCAGAGGTGCCCCAACAGCAGTCCTCAGGCTCATTAGCAGGTTATACAACTGGGGTATTGGTTGAGTCAAGCACAATTTTATAATATAAAGCACAAGTCATGTCGAGTATTACTAGCGAGATTGTTTGCTTAAACATGCTGATTACGGTAGCCTAGTACTGTCGACCAAACTACACATTATGATCTTGTAGATGAGTAACAATAGTAGATACAGCGAGATACGGAGTATTACAGGCTTGGAGCATAAAAGTAGGGTTGTGTTACGTTAGCTTAGGCTTCATGTTTGGGCTATAAGTGTGGGTATCCACGGGTTTCCAGAACCTGGTTTGTGAGCATGTGGTACCTGTCAGCAGTTACTCACCCAGACTGGTATGGAACTGGGTGCTTCTAGTGTGAGTGCATCTGTCAGAGCCACTGTGTCCTAGTGCCAGTTGTGTGTTTTGGCATTGTCTGCCATGTGCCATGTTATGTACATGTAATATCGGGGGGGCACAGGACAGTCCAGCATGTCCTACTTGGGATGCGAGTCCTGGATCAGCTGATGCCCCGGCTGGTAGCAGGCTTAGGGGGTTGAGTGGCAGCAAGAGGCAGAGTTCAAGTAGTTCCTCCCTATAGCCCGGGCCATCATGAAGTCCTTCACCTGGAGGCCATGAACTTGAGTTCTTCCCTATCAGGGGACTGCCGTGGACCCTGATGGAGATTCACCGTCTCTGGCTGGAAAATGTTCCTGATTGCTGTTACATTAGACAAGCGTTTTGGGGAACAGGAAGCGTTATCTACCTAACCTCCTTATCTAACGTTCCATTTGAATAAGGTGGTGTTATTGCTGTGCTCTTCTTCTTTAGTTTTGCCCACAGAGAAGCACAGGTACCGGGTGGCTTGCGCTCTAGTAATTCAGGATGGCAGGTCTGATGTCTCATTACTGCAGAGCGCGCAGCAAGTAATGTTTTTAAATGTTTGTAACAGACAAAGCTTAGCTCTGCTACCTGGTGGCAGGTGCCCCAGTCCTGGAGCCTCCAAAGCACCTGCTAGCTTCCCTCCTACCCAGTGACTGCCTATGTGCAGTTGCAGGTAGTTTAAAATTTGGTTTTATCTACTCCCTTTCTAAGAGCATGATTGGACATTTTCAGCCCTGAATTATTATAATAAGTCACCTGAACCTTCAGTGTCTCTTTCAAGAAGAAAATGGGGATAGAGTAGAGGGGAGTTCGGCGTTCAGGGCAAAGTTAAATTGACAAGATTATGCATATATACAACGTTTGTTTATTTGTGTAGCTTCACAGAGCTCTCAATACTGAAAATATGTGAACTTTACAAAGTGTGAGTGGTGACTATAGATGTTGTACAAACTGTTTTCTTCACTTCTGTCCAGGTTCCCAAGGATGGAAGCCGTCAACTCCGATCCTTGAGACAACACCAGTTTACTGGCTTTCAGCAGTTCACTAATGCCACGTGCTCCTTCCTGCAAACTGGCAAGGTACGTACCTACTAGTACTGCTTTCATTTATTTATTTTTTCTCAGTAGTCTTTGTGAACTTGACTATATGAACAATCTAAAGCGGTGTGTTGACATACAGCCGGTTCAGCACATTGTCTGCTTGTTAGATTACATATGTAAATGTTGCCATCAAATTCTGCAATCTTTATTTTATTATTCCAGGATGTTAATTGTGATGATTTGCAACATCTCGTTGGAGTTTGCAAAGGTGTGATTTCCAGAATGCTGACCTCCCTCCGTGATCTCACTGGTCAAGATGCTGCAGAGTTTTTAAATCAAACAGGTCTGTTTCTCTGAGTAGAATGTTTGAGCTGGTGTTTCCGACCCTGTTTCTCCAGGACGATAGTTTAAACACTTCATGCATCATAACAACGTCATCTGTTATGGTGTCTTGAGGTCCTGGGCACGGTCTTGCCTAAAAGCTGCAATTTTGGCAAAAATAAACTTTATCTAATCTTCTTGTACATCGCTTTCTGTGCCTGAATCCTTTTTCTTCTTTCTTATTAAGTGTTCTTGTTTTCATAAAATACATGTAGGGGGTACTTTTACTTATGTATAGCAGTCAGGTTGACAAAACCTTGACAATTGGTGGAGCTTAAGGCAAGATTCTCTTTAATTTGCCAATCAAATGTAACCACAATTTATCAGTAAAATTATTCCCACAGAAAGGAAACTGCAGACCTCATTAGCAGAGGAAAACAAAATGGCTGCACCCAGATATTAAGGTCTAGTGCAAGGAAGAAGAGATAGCAAGTATTTATTATAATTAAAAAAAAAAAAAAGCAAGTGTCAAGGGGGAGAGTATAATCAAGATACAGGTTCCCTAAGGAAAGGAAAACCAAAAGAGAGAAAATAACATGAGGGCTACTTTTAAGGGGTTAAATAATTTACAAATGGTTTAACCCCAAAGTTATGTAAAAGCACCCATTTGCTTTGCCCCTCTTCTTCCGAACTGGACGTCGGTGATAGACTGAGCGTGTCTGCTGCCTCTCTTAACTTATCACTAACTTAAAGGATCACTATAGGCACCCAGACCACTTCAGCTTAATGAAGTGGTCTGGGTGCCAAGTCCATCTAGGTTTAACCCTGCCTGCTTCAGAAACTGCTATGTTTACATTAGGGTTAATCCAGCCTCTAGTGGCTGCGCTTCTCGCTGTGATTTTCACAGTGAGAAGACGCCAGCATGCATAGGAAAGCATTGAGAAATGCTTTCCTATGGACTGACTGCACGTGCGGCTCATGTCGCGCATGCACATTCGGCCGGTGACGTCGGAAGGAGGAGAGTCCCCAGCGCCAAGGGAGCCCGGCGCTGGAGAAAGGTGAGAATTTAACCCCTTCCTCCCACTTCAGCCTGGTGGGAGGGGGGCCATGAGGGTGGGGGGGACCTATTAACACTATAGTGCCTGAAAAAACAAGTTTGTTTTCCTGGCACTATAGTGGTCCTTTAACATTCAAAAAGTTGTGTGAGAACAGGTGTGTGTGTGTGTTATTTTATTTTTTATTTATTTTTTATTTTTTTTTAAACCAGTGCCCAGTCAACGAATTTCCCATTGAAGAAGAGGGACAGAGTAGACAGGCGGCCTCTACACAACTTTCAGGTTAAACTATTCTAAAAACGGATTAACCCTTTTACGATAAGATGGCACCATCACAACTTAAAGGACCACTATAGTGCCCTGATGGTGCCCCCACCCTCAGGGTCCCCCTACCGCTGGGCTTTGGGGAGAGGAAAGGGGTTAAAACGTACCTTTTTCCAGCGCCGGGCGGGGAGCTCTCCTCCAATCCTTCTCTTCTCCTCCCATTTGGCTGAATGCGCACGCGCGTCAAGAGCTGCGCGTGCATTCAGCCGGTCTCATAGGAAAGCATTGATAATGCTTTCCTATGGACGCTTGCGTGCTCTCACTGTGATTTTCACAGTGAGAATCACACAAGCGCCTCTAGCGGCTGTCAATGAGGCAGCCGCTAGAGGATTTGGAGGAAGGATTAACCCATTTGTAAACATAGCAGTTTCTCTGAAACTGCTATGTTTATAAAAGAAAGGGTTAATCCTAGCTGGACCTGGCACCCAGACCACTTCATTAAGCTGAAGTGGTCTGGGTGCCTAGAGTGGTCCTTTAATCAACATAGTTATAGTGCTGGAGTATCCCTTCAAGGATAAACTAATTATGTTGCATTGGGGGATATCTATAAATGGTTTGTAAGACTATGTAATGTCCTGAAGAGTCTAGGTTGAAACCAATGGCTTAAGCACTAGGTAATTAATTGTCTGTTTCCATGATAGCATCCTGTGTGCACAATGTGGCCTACTGGTTCTACAATCAGAAGAAGTATCAGGAAGCATCTGACATTGTGTCTCCACTCTGTGAGCAACTGGCATCTGCCGGTCCAGGAGGAGACCCTGACCTGTCTTCAGAACGGGTAAGCAGCAGCTACACTATACATTTCAATACATTCTGTTAGGGCTGAGCAATCTGAATGATTAAAAATCCCAAAACTTGTTCTATTAATACAGATTTGGGTAATGGTGGTGTCACGTCAAGGGTGCATAATTCATTGTTACACAATAGAAAATTTCCATTTAATGTAATTTGTGTAGTGCATATATGAATTGGTCACTTGGTTGTAAGGTCAGATGACAAAAGGGATAATGTGTAGGGGGGCATATGGTTTGCAACATGGATTGATCCTTTTGATTAATCAAACTATCTGCAGCGTGTGAGATTCTACACTTGAGATGCCTGGCTGTCAAGTTTGGATTACTTAATCTTTTTGATATGTTGATAACTAGCCTTGTGTTCAGTATCATATCCAAAAGAAACTTTTATATATAGTTTCTTACTTACCCACAGAATAATAATTAAGCCTCGTTTTTATTATATTTAGAATGGGACAAGCACAATCTTCTAATCAAGCCTAAACATGCTTTGCGTAACTTACCCATATAGGAAAGGATTGCGATGTCTGCTATATCGGGTCACAAGTAAGGAAGGTGACATATCTATAGAATGGGGGAAATGGTAACAAATTCATAGATGCAATTATTATTTCTGTGGCAAGTACATAAACGGAGATAGAACCAAATGTTTCCATTTGTATTGATGTTGGTCTGAAACACAAGGGGATGGTCACTTATTGTTTCTACAGGTCCGCCTTATCTCCACCTCTAGGCCAGGCTTGGTAATCCACAGGGTATATATCGAATTATTCTGAAATGTGTTTTGTACTTGCTGGGGGGCCAGAATCTATTTCTGAGTGAGTCACCATCTACCTTACCAGAGACCCCCCGTGCAGAGGTTTTACTTTGAAAACCTGAGTAAGTGATTAGGACTTCTGTTATTTTACCCCTTTTGTTTTTTATCTGTTGGTGTAACTAATTTGATTGTGATCTATATTTTTGAATGCACAGTGACTATTTTTTTGCTCATTATAAATATTCCTTTATTAAGTTCTGCCTTTGTCTGGTAAAGAATCACGTTACCTGAAGAGACTAATTAGTGTTTTTCAATTGCTTAGATATTGTGCTAATTTGTATTTGGTGGGTTTTTATTATTCTGTTACCTGGGGGACCAAAGCACCGCATTTATAAATTGTCTTGGTGGTGGCAGCGTTAAAATGATGATATTTTATATAATGGTTAAGTGTGGGTGGTGTTAAGAGGGATTTTGTCATTATTTCCAGTCTAGTGCAGACAAATGGTGAACTTTTAACCCTTTCACCACCACAACTACGTCCCGCACACTCTTGCAGTAGTGTGCGTTCGTGAAAGGTGGAAAAAGTAGAAAATGTATGTTGAAGAGCAGAGTATACCATACACCTAAAACACAATTACCCACTAGGAACATATCCTTTAACCCCTTAAGGACCAAACTTCTGGAATAAAAGGGAATCATGACATGTCACACATCTCATGTGTCCTTAAGGGGTTAAAACATCTAATATTTTGAGTGTTTCATAGAATTCTCTCCAGTTTGTTTTGAAAACCAGCACAGACGTAGTACCTGCCATTCAGGTGTTCCATCCATCAGGCCTGGGTAGGCAGTTTATTAAATATGGATGATAAAGGTTGTTTAGTGTCACCCTCCTTACTCCACTTTTTTTATTAAAGCGTTACATTTTAGTTTTCTGTGGTCTAGTTGATAAGGATTCACAGGCTGAAACCTGGTGCGCTACCCTAATCATAGTTCTCTTTCTAACCACATTGCTGGTTGGAATCCATGCTCAACCTTTTTGACGTTTCTGTGGGCTGGTGAAACCTACTGGCTTTCAAAAAGAAGCTGCCAGAACTACTGGCAAGAATGAGATTTTGGTCAGAAACATATTAACAATTCGCAAGGCACAGATTCACCTTGCTGGCTACCTTAGCAGGGGAAGATTGTATTTTTGGCATTCCAGTCTGGTGCAAATTTTCCTATGTTGTACCGTATTCCCAAGAATATCTTGAGCTTTTTAAACTGATTTACCTCTCAGAAAGGTCAGTGTTTGATTCAGATGATGATTCTGGACACCAGTGGATGTTTTTTTTTTTGTCCTGTCCCGAACTCCCCCCTTTAACAGTGTAGCTTCTGAGAGGAACATCTTAAAGGAACAATAAGCACCAAAACTACAAAAATCACAGCAAATAGAGCAGTTAGACTGCAGGGGTGTTAAGCTTTGTTTTAGTTCTTAGTATCCCTTTAAAACCAAAGGGGGTGTATGTTTGGCATCCTGCTAAATGCTAAGATGTTATCCACCCCAAAGATCATGATCTTTGAAATAGTTTTCTCACATTGGTGTAGAGATTTGATGATTTGACCCTCCTTTAGCCACTGTTGTAAGTGCTACGGAATCGGTTGGCACTATATAAATGCCAATAATAATTAATGAAGGTGCCATTTAACTGTGTTTGTCTGCAATCAGTTTGAAAAACGTCTGCTAGAGTGACAAAAACCGTAACATTTTGTGCATTCAAAAGTGACTGCTCCTCTTCAAAGTGTTTTTTGTTATGGGTAGAAATATAGCTGTTTTTACGTAAAGAAACACTCCAAGCAATATAATCATTGCAGCACACTGTAATAGTTAGTTACAGGAATTTTCTGCCACCTCCACCACACGCACACACTTTGGCTGAGCGCATCAACTGATTACTGGATTTCAATGAGCTAAGCGCTTCACTGCTGATATTGGCTGTGACAGAAATCTGGCATAGAGCTTACTGATTTCCCTGAGCTGTTGTACAGGCGATGAGCGGGGTTAGACTGACTCCATATAAGTCAGGCTGTCCTATAATAGGGGGCACTCTTGGCACCAGAACCACTGTAGTGTGAAGCGGTTTTTACAGCAGATTCATTTGGGAAAAGACTGGGAGGAATCTCGGGTGCCATTTAAAACTATCTTTACCTGACACACCACTCAGAAGGGAAAAGTAACATTTTTTTTGTTTTTTTCTCAAAGATCCCCTTTTAGATTTTTCTGCTATTAAATCATTCTGCTAAACATTGTTCTTTTAACATGTCACACATTAGCTACACCGTTGTTTCCGCCTGCATGTCGAGAGCTGCCGGAAGGCTGGTCAGACGGAGCTAGGACTTGCTGCAGTGACACTCTGGTTGCGAGCATTACGTGGGCAGATCCAGCAGCAAATGGCCGAACCGATCGCCCTGTGGGTCAAACTTAAAACGGAAGGCGCTAGGAATGGCAACGAGGACCTGAGACTGCAGTGAGTGATACAAGATATAATCCCACTACCTCAAATTGCATTGTAGGTTAATTTCTAAAGTGTGAAGTGCTAGGAATTCATAATAAAACACAAAATTAATTTTCAATTGTAAGTCCATTGTTAGCTGTTTTGCAGATTTATTTTCCAGTTTGGCTATTGTGCTATAAAATTTAAAATTCACTTCGAACTCCCGACAATTCACACTTTGGTGAATAACAATAATGGTGTGTATGTGCATATTAAACCTTCCTGTTCATGTTTGCTGCACTTTCTTTCCTAACATGGTTTGAACTTTGTTTAATTAAAGTACTCTGAAAGATGGATTTGGTGATCATCCAGTAGATCCAGAGCTGATGGTTTCCCTGCTTGCTGAAGAAATTAAAGGATACAAGTGTGCCCATGGAGACACTGGTCAGGAGCGTTATAACACAATCTGTGATCTGCTTGAGCTGTGCAGTGAGAGCAGCAGCCTAGAGCATCACCGGCCCTTATTCCTGCTTGAGCTTGCTCAGGTTTTGTGCTATCATGACTACACTGGGCAGACAGACTGGTAAGAACTGATTTTACTCATCTACTCCTACAGAAAGTGAACATTAATACTGGTGTATGAATTATGGATCGACCAATATAACTTTTCCAGAGGTGATGCCGATTATCGGCCACCTTTTGAGCCAGTGCTGATAACCAGTGAAAATATTCTTTACATTTAACATTTTGAAAAAGCTACACAAATCTGGCATTAACTGAACTTGCTGACAGAAATCACACTCCTATCACTCTCAGGTAGCCAGTACATTCTGGGATCACTAAGAGACCACAGCATGTACAATGCAGTTACCAGTAGCAATCTCACTACTATCACGATCATGCAGCAAGCCCGGTACATTATAGTAAATTATTCACTTTCAGACGTCCCTGCCTTCTGCTGAGCTCTGCATGCATGGGCTCACATGACGTCAGGTCGGAAATGTGGCGTCTTACTGGCTGTTTGCTGGCGTTTCCTGTTGCGTAACACAGCATGCTGTGACAGGGACAAGTGTGTAAGATATTGGTAAATTCAGACTGATGTTGAATTATCAGAATTATGCCAAATTTCTGCTCTGATAATCGTTAAATTATAATCAGTCTATCCCTAGTATAAATACATGGCTTTTTCCTACCTAAAATGAGTCTTGATTTAATCTACAAGTGTTCATTTTTTCTATAGATGGGTATCACTGAATACTGTAATATTCCTTATATATTGATATTATATATCTACCTATAGAAATACTATATCTATAGGTCTCTATATCTATCTTTGTGTGTGTATATGTATGTAAGTTACTTATCACTGCAAGCCATACCATATCTTCCTTGATGAATTTCTACTTGCCACTTGCAAGACGTGTGTGTGTGTGTGTGTGTATATATATATATATATATATATATATATATGTGTGTATGTATGTATATATGTATATATATATATATATATACACACATAATTTCGTACTATCGGATGTGCAGATTTGTACATAGAATAAAAATATTTAACTGATTTCCAGTATCTGTAGATCTATGCATCGTGTGGTCATTCAGCTTGCACATTAATGAAGTAAAAAACTTACAAATTAATGCAATTCTTGATTCTTTTAACTAGAAAATAAGTATCTTTTTGGGGGGTTATTGACTGTAATATTCTGTAGCGAACATCTTTAAAAAAAAAAAAAAAAACCCATGGAAAGTTCTTTAATTATATACCTGTATATATTTCCAACAGCATTTGTCAAGTCCTGATTATTTAGCAAGAAATCATATCTATATCTATACTATATTCATGATAGCTGGGTTCTGCAGTGCCATTTATTGGAGCCATCGGTTTCCAAGATAATATTAATGCGGAAAATCCAACACAATCGGTACCCTCAATGTTTCTTCATGTAATACTGATCTGTATCGGCTCTTTACGTGTAGAAGCTATAGATTTATTAAAGGATAATAGCTTGACTTTACCTAACTCTCATATTGCTATTTTAGTTCTGCTTTAGATGCTGTCCAGGAATCTCTCAGTCTCTTGAATTCTTCAGACCATTCTAAAATTGACGAGCGCCTGCTGGACATTAAAGCCCAGGCTCTTCTCTGGCAGTATATCTGCACCCTGGAAGCAAACATGCAAGAAGTAAGGAATGTAATGTAGACAGGAGTCTCGATTCAGCATTGTGTCTCTATCCAATAGAGAAATAAAACCTTTTTAAAAAGTATTTGTAATTGCATGTATATATTTTCTTGGGTAAACCTACAGCCGTCATGTTTTCTTACTTTTTGTTTTGTTTGTTTTTTTTTTTTTTTTTTTTTTTTTTTATTGAATACAGCAGGCAGACAAATTGCTTTCTAATATGCAATATCTAATTTTGTGTTTGTGTATTTTTTTTCTTTAAAGTGCCAACATATTTTTTTAGTGTATAATAGGAAGCATTGTGATGCATGGTGTTCTTTCATAGAAAGCTGTGGTTTGGCAATGGTAAATCTGTCTTGTGTATGGTGGATAAAAGTATGAAGCATTGAATAGAAACCTGTTCATCAATCCTCTCACACGTGCATGTTGACCAACTTTGACATTTGCTATGCCATGTATATGGATCCAGGAAGATGTCTACATAGCTAGTGTGTTTTATTTGTAGAGTATGGAGGAGCAGCAACGAAAAGCAAAGTTTGACAGTCAGCGGAATGGGATAGAGTATGAACCCAATGACCTTAACTATGAAGACAAGCTCCTAGATGACCAGTCTGTCCAAGAAGGAATTTGTTTCACATTGGCGGGAGAGACCGGTAAACACAAATCATTATATAACTATGGACTGCTAGAGTTTGTGATAATCTTGGTAACTGTTTTAAAAAGTCACGGTTGAGTATATTTTACCTAAAAATGAAAAAAATAGTGTTGGCTTTGATTAAGGCTCTTCCTAGCAGATGATACTTGCCACAATTACCCATATCTTTAGATATATTTGGCTATATTAAGATTTGCCTATCCCTTGCTTTTCAAGGAATTCAACTGCTTACTTATTCTCCATTTGATAGGACCCATGAAAAGTTTGGAAGAAGCTTTGAATCTGTGGCAGTCTGTCCTATCAGGCCTAAAAGCTCCACTACTATATAATGCAGAACAAACTGTGTTCTCCTTGCATCTGCTAGGGTCAATTTTCCGTTTGATGGGTAAGGTAAGTACATTTAAAGAAAAAGTGGAGACCATAAAATGATGTTGGTGATTTTGGTAGTTGAAGTAATTAAATATGCATTGGATCATGGCTTACCTCCTCACCTGTACCATCTACTTTTTTAACCTTTTGTGTAGCCTCTACAGTCCATACAGGCGTTCCAGCTTGCTTGTCATCTGTGCAGTTCCATCGGAGATCACATTAGGCATGTAGGAGCTCTCTGTCAGCTGACAAAACTGCTTTTCTATTTGGAAAGTCCTACATCTGGCCAGGTATGTAATAATCCCATTTTCCTGTATTCTGCTTCAAAAGGTGGATGGAATAAAATTCAAGCATGTTCATAAAAGGCAAAAATGAAAAACTCTATGCAATGATTCAATCCATTGGCAAAAATAGAGAACTTTTTTGTTTGTTTTTTTAATTTAATTTTTTATTTGAATTTGAGTGGTCTGCACAATATTTTCAGATACTAATATTTTGACTGAAAAGTGTCAAATACTTTCTTGCCACCTGACCTTTTAGACTTTAGACGTACTGGAAATTGTGCAGTTTCTGCTGTAGGCATTTGAATCACCAAAGAGTTTCCACCAGTTATTATAAATACAAGTCTTCATTTATATTTGTCCACAGATCACACTAGAGGAAGCAGAAAATGTGTTAAAAAGTGCAGACTCTGCTACAGAGACCTACACCCTGGCTGAGCTGACCTGCAAGCTCCTTCGGAGTCATCTCTTCCGGGTGACACACAAGGTATGCGCCAGTATACCCAATGTACTACTTGAGCTTGATTTTCGTATGAAGTAATGTTTGTGTATCACTATTCGTTCTTGTTTTACATTGACAAAACATGTTTAATCTGTCCAGGTTGTGGAAGGAGTTGGAAGTCTTATGGATGTTCTTCAGCATCCTTTGCTACAGAAATCATCGAAGGCCTGCTACCTTTTAAAGGTCCAAGCCCTGCAAGAGCTCTCAATGTTCTTGAGACTTCCACCAATGCTTCTGCCTCAGGATATTTTCAAGCAGCTCAGTAACCATGGTAAGTTAATGAGGTAGTGTGAACATAGTATCATAAAAAAAAAAAAGCCTTTATATGGGATCCCACCAATGATTGGGAGGGCCCCAGGATGGTTAAAAGGAACATGTAGACACTTACCTTTCCACTCCCCCACCACAATTACATTAGACAGGCCCACCTCTGTTGCTCTACAGTAACCGTGCTGGATAGGGAGTTTCCATAGCAACAATATAGCATGTGTTGAGCAAAAGGAAAAAAAAATTTTTTACATTTTTTTTTTTTTTTCAAATTGCAAGCTACTTTTCCTTATTTATAATTTTTTTTTTTCAATAATTCACATGGGGACAAAATACACCACTAAACAAATAGAATGACACAGCCATGTTCAACCGTTCCAAAAGTAGCTTTAAAGTCTATACCTTTTAATCTTTGTAATTTTTTATTTTTTTTTTTTTATTTTTTTAGGTGGCCACAACCCAGAGACTGCTTTGACTGAAGCCCACAAGTTACTTCGAAGCATTGTTCTTCTTCTTCTTGGAAAGGATCTGTTGTCCTCTTCTAAGGCTCCGTCAGTGTCACGTTTTGTGGATAATGGTATGTGATCGATTTGGTATTGGAGATGGATATGTTCTGATACGAGAGGCTGGTCTATGTGCAGACTTGTGACTGAGTTACTTCATATTTATTATGTAGGAGATAACCTCCTTCAGAAGTGGCAAGTACTTGCAGACCTTCTAAGTTGCTCCCAGGATCTCATCACCACCCTGTGCCGTATGGGCAGTGTTTCAGATGCCAAATCCTACTGCCTTGAAGGACTTCGGCTAGCTAAAAATCTGCAAAGTATGCGCCTGTAAGTATTTATAATCGTGTGAAATCTCTAGTAGTGCGATTTCAGAAAGCCATTTTTAATAAAGAGGATGATTCAATTTACTTGCAAGCCATGATTATGTGAGTCCTGTGATCAGTATTTATCACCAGAAACAGTGCTAGTCTATCGCCAATCCTTTTTTCTCACCCTTAGATATTCTATCAATTTCTGCTTCATGAATTGCATATACAAGCAGAGTTAGGTCTTAAATCGCTAGATACTCTCCATTTGGAGGTCAACTGTGGTAGGCAACCATCTATAAATGGTCATTTGCTTACCTTGCACTTTTTATTACACAGTGGCTTTTGCATTTTACACCATTGTTTACCAAACGATGCACAGATTAAGATGGCAGCTGCATTATAGTGTCATTAAACGTTGGCATGCATGGGGAAAGTCTTGGCATATTTGGTTTCCCTGTCAGGCTTCTAATCTTTTAAGAATCATTTTCTGAATGAGATTATTATATTAAACTGTCCCCTGCTTAATTAGCTGTGCAGATTTCTTGGTAAGAAAAGCTGAGTTGGAGACCCTACGCGCAGAAAATCAGCTCAGTGAAGATGATCTGCAGTACGTTGTGTTCTTAATGGAGTCCTGCACAGGTAATTACTAGAATATTAAAGGGGCACCACCTTCCTCCACACACGCTTATTTTTTATTTTTTTTTAAATTCTCATGTATTACAGAAGCAACTCATCCAATCTCATTCCTTGTTATATATTACCCCCAAATTGGAGAAAGGTACATATTTTAAACTCTCCACAACAGGTTATGTCCGTTTTTGTTCTACTTCCAGCCTTCTAGTGACATTTTGTACTTTTTAAGTTATGTAACTTGGCAGCTTCGTTTATTTCTTTTTTTATGAACATAGGAAATTGAAGAGGGGAAACTATTATGTCAGACTGGGGGATTGACATAGAACCACAGACACTAGTAATTGCTTAAATAATTTGTTTAACTGTAATGAAGAGGAAAAAGGAAAACTAAAACTAGGAGCTCCTGGCTCATAGTGTTTAGGATGTTCCTTTAATTGATTTTCTCATGTCTTATAGTTTTATTCTATTTTCTTCTATCAGATTTCACTTCAAAAACTCAAAAGAAAGAAATAAAGATACAACCGTCCAAGGGGAAAAAGCCCAAAAATAGGAATGTTGGATTGATACCTGAAAGTCCTCCAAATGAAGATTTTTTGAAAAGTGTCCAATTCCAGTATGTAGACACCAGAGACGTGTTGAATCCCCCTGCCTCTCCTACACCTGCAACTTTACCCAAGAAGACTTTCCCATGCTTTGTGTCTCATGATAAAGACTGTACATGTTCCCTTTGTTCTGATCTAGTATTGTCTCTGCTCTGTACTCGGTGGATGGTTGCTCAGGCTGAAAACGATCCTCGAAGCCTAGCATTACTGAAGTTAGCCCTACAGCGGTGCCAGTCAATAACGCATCGTTTTTCTAGAGTCGTGCAAGCTCTCTTAAAAGAAGACTCAAAATTTGCAATTGGTATGACAGATGAGATCGTTGCTCGAATTTACTTTGCTATGGTATCACTGAGCCCCCCAGCTAAGTTATCTGAACGAACACTAGAGGATGGTCTGAATTTTCTGTCATCCCGCCCACCTAATTTCCCCAAGTATTGGAGGGCAGGACTTCTACTGGCTAAAGCACTGAATTCCACTTACAGGCTAGCTACAAGTCATGCAGGTTGCATTACAGATCTCTTCATGCAAGTATGGGGCTGGCAACCTCAGCGACACAGAAGAAAAGATCCTGATCGCAGCTATAAGTGCATGACCGCGACGCCAAGTATTACCTTAAGCAAGGTGAAAGATACTGAGAAGGTTGCAGGAGATAATCAAACCATCCTCTCTATGGAGGGTGCAGATTCTGAGAGCTTGCTTTTGCCCACCAGACCTCCAACAACTCCTCTACGTAAAGACCATCTACCAACACCGTTGAAACCTGTGGTCTCCACCCAAGTGAAAAAAGGCAGTGTAACTATTTATAATGAAGAGTCTCCTGTGCCAGAATTGCTGCCTAAAGCACCAAGAAGGCGCCAAACAAGGGCTGTCATAAAGGTATCTGTTCTTTAGCCCTACACATGTATGGTAAACTCTAAATATCATGAGACATTGTACAATGCCAACAATACTGATTGCTTTTCTAAAGTATGAACACACAAATCTGGGAGATTATACTGCCTAGAAAGACATGGGGTGATAAGCATAATGTCTTGGGCAAAACCATAGCAATGTTACAATGATGACCTGACAATTGATCAATTTGTACAAGTTTGCCATTTTCCAGAACTCGGTTCACTAGACAGATGAACTAGATTATTTTGTCAACTGTGTATTTTAACTAAACAGGTTGTGGTATGTGAATGGTTTGCCAAAGCTGAGCAAAAGGGGAAAAAAGTGTGCAAATAGATAATTATATTTTGCCTTTAAATTATACTTTATTTTTCTCACTTCACTAAATGAATGCCTCAGTGGTAGCTTCCAATGTATTTGTTCCTATCGGAAAACCATTCCTTATGTGTGTTGTGATAAAGGCAGCTTCACTTGTGCTGTTGTAAATGCTACACTGTGGGGTATTGTACAGCAGTCTGTCCTTTTTTTGAAGTGTGATGAAAATACTGCACAATTTTAAGAATTTTTATAATGCTTCTCCAACTAGAGCATGGGTCACAAAAGTTAGATCCCCAGATGTTGTAGATTCCCTGATGAAAGCTGTATTTTTAAAACATCTGGGGATCCACCTTTTGGGCACCCCTGAATTACAGAATACTGGAATATTAGTTTGGTAGCATTTTTTTCACTAGTTGCACAGTAAGCCCATTGAATACAAAACTCTACATACACTCTTAAACCGTTGGGACTAGTTTCTTTAAATTACGATACTCTTATAAGAGATTGGTTGCAGCATGGGAAGCATTAGTTCAGAGTTTAGAAGGTAGGCTGTGGTATGTGAGGATGGACGGTCAACCGACTCCCAGGCTGGACAATATTTGTGTAGACTTGCAGTGTCCGTGTTCAGGATGTCTGTGCCAAGGTGTGAAGCACCCCCAGCCCTGGGCTTGTCTAAGAGGTGACACCTTGTTACCACAGACCGGGTAACTTATGGAACCCAATTCCTTCCTGGTTAGGAAACTGTGTACGGCCCGAAGTATCGTCTAGAGCAGCATTTCCCAATTGGGGTTCCGCCAAAAATTTTAAAGTAAAATGGGCGAGGCAGCAGTGGGCAGTGATCTCCCTGCTCAGCGCCCTCACGCGCACAGCAGTGATGCTGGAGCCGGAATATGACGTGGCTCCAGCATCACTAAGAGGCGCACGAGGGAGCTATGGAGGGAGATCACTGCTCCCTTGCCAGCCGCTCAGCAGCCCCACTGGACCCCAGGGACTGCATGCTTAGCACAGCAGCCCTACCGGACCCCAGGGACCGCATGCTTAGCACAGCAGCCCCACTGGACCCAATGGACCGCTGGCTTAGCACAGCAGCCCCACTGGACCCCAGGGACCACACACTCAGCCCAGCAGCCCCAGGGACATAGAGACACCATGCCAGCACTCCGAAAGTTACGGTGGGGACTGGGTGGAGTAAAAAAAATTTTAAATAAATTGTACGTCTGTTAGGGAGTTTGTATATGTGTGTATGTGAGTGTATGTGTGTTTGTCAGTGAGAGTGTGTGTGTCTGAGTGTGTATGTGTCAAGGTTTGTGTATGTCACTGTGTATATCTAAGTGTGTATCTGAGTGTCAATGAGAGTGTATGTGTGTGTATATTTGTAAGTGTGTATCGGAGTGTGTATCTGTCTGTCTGTGTGTCAATACATATACACACAGATACACACTGACATAGATATACACACCTTGACATACAAACACAGATACAAACACAGATACACACACCTTAACACACCGATAAATACGCACGTCAAAACACCCGGTGAAACCGGAGGCCATCATTCCAAGAGCTGCCAAAGCTCACTCCACGTGTTATGGGATGACTGCAGCTTCAAAATCGCAGGATTCCTCAAGTAACAGGCACAAAGCCCTTGGGCCATTGGAGAGCTAAGGAGCCCCCTTAGCCTGCAACCTGCTCACGTGGTAGTAAGGCCCCCCCCCGTCTGCCTTTTTTTTTTTTTTTTGCTTTAACATTTTAGAACACTCAGGCTCTGTCCTATAGGATGCAATTATGTGCAAATGCCTTATAAATCAATGCAAAAATACATGTATGCCATAGTCACACCCTGCACTTCTACAACACTATACAGACCGTAATAGGTCAAAGTTATAGGTTGCAGTACCCTGTCTATTACAACTGTTAGGGGTTGGTCATGTAACCCTGTTTTCCTTCCAAAACGACTTGCTTTATGTTGGAATAAGGCACATATACTTTATTTCATTCTGATGGCTTTTTTGCTCTGTATTATATAGGCAAAAGTAGTGACAGTGAAAAACGGTTGCATACATCTACATCTGTGAATAAAATAGTCTACAAGTGTCTAAAAATATCTACAGATACACGATTATAGACTGTCTAATATAGATTGCAAGACAAGGATACCATAATATGATAAAACTTTATTTATACTGTGTTTCTGTAAAGGCTGAAACATTTATATTTTTTAAACTTTCAACATTCTGGTATTTATACACAAAACTGCTCTTTTGTCATACCATTTTATGGTGAACTATGTATAAATATATTTATTTTTCACCCCTTGTTTTTGTTATGGTCAGTTTAAATTAATTCAAGTCTTTTCCAGGTTGACTTTAGTGACAGTGACTTGGAAATGCCAGATAACGACCCAGATCAACAGATCAGAAACAAAAAAACAAGTTGTGCTAAATCTGGCGTACGAGGAAGGGGAACTAGAAAAAGTAAAGCGCTTCTGGGAACCTCAGACTCTGAAGAAGAGGAGGTAAGCTTGAAAAGTAAACCCAGGAGAGGAAGACCCAGCACAAAGAAAGCTCAGAAAGAGACTAGCCCTTCTGGTCTACAGAGAAGACGCCAACCGGGAAAAACTGAGAGGGCTCCAAAAGAAATCGAGATGTTGAGATGCATAAAGGAGGAACCAGAGTACTTCCTGGATGACAGCATTGAAGAGCTGCGGGCTTCTGACACCGAAGAGAGAAAACCAGCACGGGGTAAGATAAACTATCAGCATCTCATATTCTTGGCTATTACTTCTGGGTTTTATGCATATTTTCAAAAGATCCCAGATTATGATGTTGCCACTTGCAATACGGTCACCCTGGGGCTGCAGGCAAAGGTACGTTTTACTTACCTGAGGGTGTCTCTCATTGCCGCTATGTCCATCCAATGGATCATCTTTAGCTCTTGACGCTTTATCTGCCAGGAGCCAACGTCAATGCTGTATTGGTATCATCAGTATACCAATTGTGTGAAAATGGAAAAACCGGAGTGGAGCAGTATAGTAAAACCGTTTAGGTGATAAACCCAAAACAAATAGACTGTGAAAAACAAAAGTTGTTGTAATTATATTTAATGGTCAGTAGATTGCTCCAGTTCGACACCACTCACAGCAGTATATGAAAGGAAACGTATAAACAGAGATAATAGTGTAGACTGCTGGAAAATGAGTATATGTTTAAAACATCATATGTTTAATATACCGAGATTTCCATAAAAGTACCCATATAATTAGGCTACGGAAATCTAACATAAATTTCAGTCATATTGTGACAGCTCAATTGTTTTATCCAGTAAAGTGCAAATGAATTTATAAAAAAAAAAAAAAATCTGTGAAAATAAACACACTGTCTGTGTTTATCACAGATTTTTTTTTTTTTTTTAAAGGGACACTATAGTCACCAGAACTACTACAGCTTAATGTAGTTGTTCTGGTGAGTAGAATCATTGTATGCAAGCATTTTTATGCAAAAACAGTGTTTACGTTGTCCCTAGGGACACCTCCAAGTGGCCACATCTCTGATGGCCACTGGAGGTGCTTCCTGGCTCAGTGCTGCAGAGTAGGCAGCACTGCCGTTCAGTGTCTCCACACTCTGCATGGGGACGCTGAATTCAATTCTGAGAAGGTGCTGATTGGCCAAAACAATGTTTGGCCCCGCTTCCTTGCCCATATGGAAGCATTGGATTGGCTAAAAGTGTTGGCTAAAGGGTTCCCAACAGTATAGTGTTCCTTTTAATAAATTAATTTGCTCTTTACTGGATAAAACAATTGAGCTGTCACTATTTGACTGAAATTTTATAGCCTAATTATATGGGTACTTTCATGGGAATCTCGGTATTTTAAACATATGATGTTTTAAACGTATATACATTTTCCACCGGTCTGCACTATTATCTGTGTTTATATATTTCCTTTCATATACGCTGTGAGTTGTGTCGAACTGGGACCATCTACTGACCAGTGAGTATAATTACAACAACTTTTCTTTTTCACAGTCTATATTTGTTTTGGATTTATCACCTAAACTGTTTTACTATACTGCTCCACTCATGTTTATACATGTTCTCTTGATTTTGCTTTGTGTGTTGGGGATCAACATATGAGTGTCAGCAGCATTTAGAAATTATATGACTACAATTCATACCAACTCTAAGTTGTAAAAAAATTATTTTTAGAGCGCTCCAAAATGAAACAAGAATAATTTTGGTATAACCTTTTGTAATCTGATTTCCTTTTCTTTTATAGGCAGCCGGAAAGGACAGAGGACCTCCAAGAAAGAAGCAAGAACAGAAACACGCTGTGAAATTCTAAGAAGGGATGTTGGAGCAGAGCAGCAGAGCTCACCTATGGATATGAAAGTGCCTCATACTGATCCAAACCTATTTAGCCTTACAGGACTTTCATCGCCTGTACTGGGTACTTTTAGTAAGTAGGTTATTAGGGGCTGGCCTTCCTCTACCTGGATACGTAGTGTGTTTAAAGAGACACTACACTGTTCAAATACAAAAATAAAAATCACTGTTTAGTAGTGTGACGATACAGCCCTAGCGTCTCTGTTAACGAAAGCACAACAGTTCAGACACTCTATCGTCTGTGGGTATTCTTTTTACATAACCTGCACCGTTAACTGCTCCAAATAAATGCTAGGACTCCTCTTTGGTAGCGTATGCATTGGCAATGCAGGGTATACTGCATGGGTATCTGGTTACTATAGTCTATTCATCTAGTCCTTTGGCAATACTCTAATTAGTAATTACTCTATAGAGGACAATGAAAAGCAATATCCTGTGAGAACTCAATGAAGAGACATGTGCTTCTTCTTAGCAACTCAAAAGAACTTGGCTTATTGTAGAAACAGCCAGCTTGCATAGATCACAGCATACAGTAAACTCACACATGGGAACCCAGAACACACAGGAAAGCACTGACTACAATGTTATTCATTACACTAATTCTCACCCCTCTCTGTGCTAGTCCACCCTAACAACAAAATGTTATCTTGATTGGACCTACTATCCATTCATAGCAATCTGTGAATACATGAATACTTTGCTGGGGTAGATAACGTGCGATTTCAAGTGTAGACTTACTGACTCCATACAAAATACATTTCACTCTGACAATGCAACCCACATACGTCTATTTAATTCTACATATCGTCATTAGGAGTATATCTAAAACCAGCTTGCAAAAATTGCAGTTGCCTTGTCTGAAGCACTTTCATTTTATCCTAACCTAGACTTTGTGTCTGACTGATCATAGATTGCTCAATGCAGCTTCAATGAGAAGTCTTTGCAAGACAGATGCTCTGGACAATTCCATGCCTCTTCAGGTTTGCAACAAACCAGGAAGAAACAGGATCGGTTGTCTGACAGCCAGGGCTCTGACGGGGTTCAGTTATAAAAGTGCCAATTTCTACGGAAATCTGCAATTTTTGTAAAACAAAGCATTTCAGCAATAAATAGTGCTTTAGAGGTCTGGAGTGTGCCCCAAAGCACACCCAAACCTGGTTTATCCACTATAGGAGGATGCTGAGATTGTCCTGTATCTTGGTGATCCTTTCATTTAATAATAATTACTGTCTTTTCAGGTACATCTGACCTGGATTCCATCTCCTCTCTTCTCAGAGAGTCATTAGAATCTGTAGCTCATTTCCCTCCAAGCATCCTATATTCCCGGCTATGCCGACTCTTGGCATTGTGCACTGGAGGACAGGATCCATACCTTACTGCACTTCTGGTTAGCGAGTCCGTTTCCATCACGTTGCGGCACCAACTCAACAGTGACATTCACCGGAAGCTGCGGTGAGTCCTCATGGCTTCATATGTGATGCCATACTTTTTTACTCTTTTGACTTGGTAATTGATAATATCCATTAAATGCACAGTGCTGTACTTTATCATCCGTGTTGCCAAATTGTCCCTAAAGTTAAGGCATTGTGCTTGGATATGACTTTATTTAATAGCATAGTTATGTTAGTCACCAAGGCAACTTTCATATTTATAAATGTTATAACGCGAAGATGACTTGCTTTACTTGCTATGCATCCTGAAAGTATTTCGTTTTAAACCCTATTTATTGTAATTGCAAAATGTATTTTTATTATATAGGTTTTAGGTTTTTTTGACAAAAAAAGACCGTATACAAAACATAAAAGCAACAACTCTTTGCTAGTATTGTATTAAAGGCCCAACGTGTTACTTATAATTGGAGTTGAAAATAGGTGTGTGTGTGTGTGTGTGTACACGGTTGCAGCCTATATGCATCTGTCCTATCTTGCATTGCGCAAGTCCTTGATAAGCTGGAGCTAATGTGAATTCATTAAATGTTTAAAAAGATGTGTAACGAATACAGTGTCCTGGGTATGAAAGGAATCCCCATATCAGGTTGCAAAATAACAAAGAATGTATGTGTAGAAAGTAGAATGATTTTATTTTTATTTATTTATTTTTTTTTTTTTAAATGTTATTTTGATAATTAGGTATTTTATCTATTTAAATTGTCTTATTGTGCAATGCAATAAATAATTGAAATTTGGTTTTTTTGCTACAGTCTTGAGTTAGTTTTACAACTTTATATGTTAACAAAGACGAGAACAGCAATATTTTACATACCGGTAAATTGTTAAACACTACAAATAGTGAAATATGAATCTGCACAATCCCATCATTTAGTATACAACATATAAACCCTGTACCTAAAATTAAGAAAGAATGGAAATGTGCCATATAAGATTGGGTTATAGCGTTCACATTTATTCAATGTAGCAAGTAAGGTTTTGGTGATTTAATGCTGACAACGTCCTCTTTTTCGTGGGAGAGGTTCAAGAGTGCATCCAAAAGTCTGTGACTTTGCTTGGGGGAATGTCCAGAGCTAGGGTAGTGGAGTTTTAAAATTCTGCAGTAGAATCTGCATGGCCCTGGTTAAAAAGCTTGTTCTGTATAGTTTGATATTAATGCATGATATGTTTGGAAGACTGTATGTTACTGGAAAAGTGACTGGTGTGAATTGATGGATTTATCCAACTAAATTGTATTCATTTAATCAAATGTAAAAGGCTGACTTAACACTACCAGGAATCAAACCTGCTGTTTCAACAGGTAGACTCTACAGCTACAATATACTTGCCTGTGAGGCTCATCATTATTTCATCATTTTCTCCTCTAGGAAATTAAGAAAGGGATGTTCAGGGGACCTAACAGACCAGTTTCAATGTCTTAATCTGAAAGATCAGAAGGACTCCAAGGTCCAGCATCTGTCTGATCTAGAGGAGCTCTTTAGATTCCCAAAGCAGCCACTGGACACAGAGCGTTTCAGAGAACAACTTCAACACATTCCTGGGGGTATGTGTTTCTCAAACTTTGATTAATGATTGTAGAATGTTGTAAGAAGTGTGAGGATTGATTCTACCCTGTGTTACAGATACGGCAGTATGTATACTGACACTGGCAGACTCTCAGTCAAGGAGACCTGGTGATCATCTTCTCCTCACCAGACTAGAACATGGAAGCCCACCAGTAAATATACAGATACCCACTGCTCATCTCAAGGTAACCTGTCATTTTCATTCATTCTGGATAATAAGCATAGAAAGAATGATTTTCATTATTTTTGCAGACAAACAAGGTTCGATTTGATGGTTTGGAGGGGTTTTCATTTATTTATTTTTATTACAGAGGGTCCCCTAAATTGGTATTTTTGTTCCAGATGTCCATGAGTTCGGCATTGCTAGAATTTGATGATATTCAGAAGCAGCAAAAGATAATTAACAATTTAACAGAAAAAAAGGAGTGGTGGGAAGGGCGCATGGAGTTGGACAGTCGTATGAAGGTAAGAAAAGACCTCTTGTGGTGGATTAATCTTATGTAAAATATCACTTATATACGCTGCAAATTGCGAAGCATCAATCAATTTCTAATGCAATACAGTTTCCCTTATTCCTTCCCTCACCAACTTTCCAATTTTGTGGAATTGGAACTAGATTCTGACTATATGATTCTCATATACAAAAAGATAAGTCCTGCGCTCACTCCCATCACTCCTGGGCGGCAGCAATGACCACAGTACACATCAGCTTCAATACATACAGTAAAAAACAAAGAAAGTTAGATTCTTACTATATGATTGTCATAGTATGATTTTCATAGTATTTCTTCCATGTACAGACTTTGATCCAGTTACTTGAACAGATCCTGGGCTGTTGGAAGGTCCTGCTCATGCCCCCCTGTTCTGTCGCTTCTGTAGCAGTGGAGTCTTGCAAGCTGTCTAGGGTTTTGCCAGAGTGTGGCTTTAAGGATTTAGACCCAGCACTTCTGAAGGTATACATAGCAATCACAATGTGTGGCCTTTTAATTTATTTTATATAAATATTTGTTTCCTCCTTTACACACTTCCATCTCATTTTCTTACAGGCTTTCCTGGGGGGCAGCCATCTTCTGACTCCTCGGCTCATCCAGTCCTTCATGCAAGGCTTTTGTCTGTCACAGCCAGAGAGGGCTCAGGAAATACTTCAAGGAGCAGTGGAGGGGCTTACATTCTGCACTGAGAACACTAAAGGACATGTAGTGCTTGTTTTGGACAAGGTGACCTAAAATGGGGCCCACCCTGCTCATCCTCATTCCTGTACAATATTTGAATGGTTTAACAAGGCTAAAACCTTGAGCTGAATTGTAAAAATGCAGGCCTAGATTTTCACTAGCTAGTGTCTAATTGATATGTATTTGTCCAGTAGACGCCAAAATAACCAGATTATTGCAGTAATGATTTATTTTTTTTATTTTTTATTATAGGACTTTCATTGCATATGGCAGTACGCCGGTTATTATGGCATTATATATTTATTAATCATATATGCATTCTATGTGCTTTGATAGGAAGTGCTGAGTGAATGATTTTGGTTTATTTTCTCTCTTGTCCTGAAACAAACCTCTGTTACTTTCACCCAGCTTCTCCAAAAACTTCCATGGGAAAGTATCCCCTGTTTGATGAGTAGATCTGTCACTCGACTTCCATCCTTGAACTTCCTGCTAAGTTATGGCTTGATCAAAAAGGTGAGAAAAATACTTAATTTTGCCAGCAGCCTGTGTTATCAGCACATGCTTATTGTATTCTGGTGAGTATAGTCTGCTCCTTCAGGCTTTTAGCAGTTCTGAGAAAAGACCGTGCTTACATAAAAGCCCAGAGATATCTCCACTGGCCACTCCACAGACTGCTACTAGAGGTGCTTCATGAGGCAGTGCTGCAGTACTGCCGTTTAGCTGAACTTTTATTTTTCTCATAGAGATGCATTCATTCAATGCATATCTATGAGGAGATGTGGATTGGCCAGGGCTGTGTATTTATTGTGCTGGCTTTGCCCCTGATCTGCCTCCTTGACAAGCTCAGCCAATCCAATGCTTTCCTATGGGAAAGCATTATGATTGGCTCAGGTCATCATTTCTGATGTCAGCCCAGGAGGGAAGAGCCAGCAGCAGACTGGAATAAAGGTAAGGTTTTACTATATTTATTGAGGTAAGAGGGGGGCCATGTTTTTACCACTATAGGGTCAGGAATACATGTTTTCCTTTAATGCACAGACTGAAATATTCTAGGTATGGCTGTGATGTAGCTGCTATGATTTGTAGAACATAAGAAAGGTGTATCACGATTGTAAGGAGGGAATGCAAAATAAACAAAGGTGCCACAAATGAAACTCAACTCTGTGTGGGTATCCTTTACTGGGAAGTTGATGGTTCCTACTAGTTCTCCAGTTATCTCCACAGTAATCTTAACCTAATTCATAACAAAATCCTAGCACAGCCATTTAATAATGTATTACTGGAGAGAAAATGTAACTAGGAGATAAAAGTATCTACTATGTGGTTGAAACACTGTGCAGGAGGGAAGAGAGAACAGTGACTGTGTACAGATACATGCACTAGTTACTAGATGGCATTGTTGCCTGATATTGAAAGGGTTATATGTTAAAACACTAAATATGCTGAAAACAAAGAGAACGAGAGTAGGAGTGCACTTGAAGACAGCAGTTCAGCACAAGACAAATACGCTCAGAGATCTTGTGGAGAGGAAAAAAGAATAAACACAGGAAGGTCTAACTGAAGAAGCAGGAGCAGTCAGTGTGGCAGGTGTGTGTGTTCTATCACATACCTTAACTCAGGGAAACGTTGAGCCTACTGATACTGTAAAAACATAGTTGTAAATATTTCAAATTGCCCTTTCCGGTTTCCAACTGCCTCTCTGTGTAACAAAGCCCAGTTCTAGTCAGTGATTGTCATATGTTAAAGTGACTGCTGCTTAGCTGCTCTATATATCTTTAATACCTCGGTTCTCTGCTGGAGTGAAACCTACTACATTGAAGAGCGCATTAAATGATTAATTCTCCTCCCCCCCTCCCAGCCCCTCCATGTGTCTCTTCCCCCATCATTAGACTAGGTTATATTTCCCCCATGCAACACTGTTTCTACCATATTGGATACTTGCATTTTCACTCCAGTAATACATTGTTGAATGACTGTACTAGGATTTTGTTATAACCTAGTGTATTGTAGAGATATCTATTCTAAGATAGCTGGAGAAAAAAAATAGAAACCTCAGAATCCAAGTAAAGGGTACTACAGTGTTTTGTGTGTGGCACCTAGCATTCCCTCCCAATTATTATACACTATACTACTTTGGATATTTGGAGTTTTCCTCAGTAAGGAGGGGAAGGATAGCTTTGTTAATCTTACTCTTAGTGTGCTTTAGAAATTATTTGTACAATGAACATGTTTGTGTTTTAGAGAGAGACTTTGGTTCAGTTATTATTCTCACTAAAGTGAGAATTCAAAGTGAATTTCAAATGTAAGGTCAAAGCAGTCAAACTGGAAGCATAGCTAAATTAAATGCTAATCCAAACATAGTTATTAGTTATTTACTAAAGTGAAAATGCAATCCTATTTATGAGCATTCTTCTTCTCATTCTGCAGCACCAGCCTCAGATGACCCTTGTTCGAGGTGTTGAACCCAAGCAAACCTTCTATGTCCTAAACCCCCATGCAAATCTTCCAGGCACCGAAGAGCGATTTAGGGACTGGTTTAAAAAGTGAGCATAAGCATGAATTTGTTTGAATTGACTGAATATTTGATTTTGCAAAGTTACTGATTTACAGAGGAAAAAGATACAGGTCTGTGTGCCCTGACTAAACCATTACTACAATGAAATCTGTAGAGAGGACCAAGCTAGAATCTGCCATCTATTTTCGCCTAAAGTCATCTTTCTGTTGGAATTGCATTCAAATGAGGTTACCCTTCATTTTTCACTCTGAGCAACCAATTTTTAAAAATCGTTTTTAGTACAGAAACGTTTTTTTTATCATTCAAAGTTTGCTGACTTGTAGAACTACAACTGATGCTTTACATGCCTTTTAGAATGCTTTTAGTATGACAAAGCATCATAAAAACTGTAGGGTCTGGGGGTCTACTTTTTGGGCATCCCTGCTTTAGATAATCCAGGTGAGTACAATCGGATGGGAATAAGCTATAAAATGTCCTCCATGTAGACACATATCAGCTTTTGTTCCTATGAGACCTATTTAAGGATCTGTTTAGAACTAGTAATGCCATAATATGAGGCCTGCAATGTATACATAAGTTCAGTCCTACACCGCATTGGGTAATTTGTGTGTGTGTGTTTAGTTTTAGGGTTTTATAGGATTTGCATTTAATCCATGTGTCACGAGCCTAACCTGTTCCTGGACAGTTTTCTACTAATGGCACAAGTGAGCAAACTTGATTTGTCTTCATATTTAGTAGGTGCGCAACCTAAGGCATACCTTGTCCATCCTTTGCTACGCATTTTTGTTTTGCTCAAATGAAGAATCCCTGAACTAGTTGCTGTTCTAGATGGTTAATATATTTACTAATGGTCCATTTTGAAAACCATTTCACCTGCTATACAACACTGACCTTGGAATTTTTATTCTAGTGAACCTGGCTGGAAAGGAGTGATTCGATGTGCTCCGAAACCTGAGCAGCTGGAGTACGCACTGACAAAACAAGATCTATACGTGTAAGCATGAGTTCAGAGAATGTGTTACGGTTTTGTTCCATAAAGCCAACTCTCTTACCATGTACTGTGCTACCTTTACAGCTATGTTGGACATGGAGCAGGTGCTCACTTCTTGGATATCCAGACCCTGCAGCGCTTGGACTGTAATGCTGTTGTATTGCTCTTTGGGTGCAGTAGTGCTGCACTAGCTGTTCGAGGAGATCTGGAAGCAACAGGAATTGTCCTTAAATATCTTATGGCAGGATGGTAAGATAACTTACTTACGTGGTAGAGGTTAACACTGTGAAGGAGTTTAAGCATGCGTGGGATAGGCATAAGGCTATCCTAACTATAAGATAAGACAAGGGACTAATGAAAGTATTTAGAAAATTGGGCAGACTAGATGGGCCGAATGGTTCTTATCTGCCGTCACATTCTATGTTTATTGATGATCTAATTCACTAAACACTAGCTAGTTCCTCTACGGAACATAGTTGTCTTTTGACAAAACTTGTGAAGGGTTTAAGACTGTTGGCTTTCTAACAATTGGTGTAAGCAAAGAGTTTGATACAGCAATTCAAACATTGAATATGAAGCAGTCATAAATTTATTAAAAGAAAAATAATCAAAAAGGTGGCTAAGAAGCTTGCATCTAGTTGATTTATTTATGCATGAGATGCATGTCTCTGTTCTTACGGCTGTTGTGTTTGTTAAAGATCTGTATTGGATAACTGATTTCTTACAGGGCTCACTAAAAATAAGCTAACATGATATAATCCACGATCACGTACAGGTCTAATGTACATATGGATAGCTTGATACTGAGGTTATATTCATTGCCTACATCATTTTGTTTATATATAACCATTAATAATTTGCAGCAGCTTTCCTGAGACATGTTTTTGAAAAGAATAATTCAAACCCACCATGTCCTTTAATCTGCTAAATATTACAGCCCTCAACACCCATTCGTTTGACTGTTTTTTCTCTTTGCTTTATTTGCAGTCCTCTGATTCTTGGGAACCTGTGGGACGTCACAGACCGTGAAATCGATCGTTACACAGTGGCATTCTTGCAGAGCTGGCTTAAGGCTGGGCCCCGTGCACCCCTCCTAAAACATCTGTCGGAGTCCCGCCAGGCACCCAAGTTGAGATACATAATTGGGGCAGCACCCGTGGCTTATGGCTTACCTGTGTCTCTCCGGTGACCTGATTTTAGCAAAACAATGAATAAAGTGCTTATTAATTTATTGCTCTTTTAATATGCTATGCAAGTTGTACACCACTTGAATGAAGATGTTCCAAGTGATCAGTAACATTACTGAGATCTGAGACTTTGTGCACACGAGGATGTGTTACTGTTAAATTACATTTAGGTGGATTGCAGCCTGTTCTCTGAATTGTATTTTCTTTTATTTATTACTTCAGTAGCTGAATGATCAGATTATTGGCTTCGATGAAGGAATTTGTATTTAATATGGGAAATCTATGCAGGCATTGGGGCAGATTAATTTACAGGCAGTATGGGAGAACTTAACACTGCTCCCCAGTCCTGAATTCACAGCATTGTCTGACATCTACCACTTTCTATTATCATAGGAAATATGGGAGAGGGGGGCGGGGGGTAAAACTTCTAGATTTGTACATGGGGTAAAATGCACATATATTTATTGTTTGATTTTAATAATTTGAACACAGATATACTCATCTTAAATAGTTTTATACCTATTGAAAAACATTACAATTGTATATTTTATGAAGCCGTTCATTGCAGAACTAAAAGGATTTTGTTTGTTTATAAATGTGTAATAAAGGGGTTGTGTTTACTGCGGTTTTATTTATTTATAGCATCAAATGTGTCTATACAGAAGGATTGTGTATAGGAAGGAAATGAACGGAGACCTAACTAGCCACACCGTCTGAGGTTGGCCCTATGATTTAGCAGCGGTACTAAAAGTTTAAATCTGAAATACGTAACCTGACAACAATGGCCACACAGTTCTCATGCCATCACACTGAAGTGTTCTGGTGGTAAACCAGTCCTTGTGAGAGAATAGTTAATATTGGGGGTTTTAGTGGTATCCTAAGCAGTTGTGAAAATCAAAGCATTTAGGGCCGGTAAAGGTGAATTTTATTAACACTGGCTTCTCATTCCCAATCTTTTCACAAGGATCCAATGTGGCGAATACGCTCCTCTACCACCATATCCAAAATATGGGGATGATATACTGACTCTTTAATCACATTTTAGCTCTGTCATTTCTAAACCAGATTGATAGATCCTTAGAGCATTCAATTTTAATTCAGTCTGGTTCAGGGTGAACTTTTAAACACATCCCACTTCCTTTCTTTTGTCAGAAACATTTCTGGAACTTTTTTGGGGGTGGGGGGGGGGGTTCTGAGCCCAATTCATGATGGGAATATCACAATAGATGTGCCTCAATCTTGATTTATTAGCCCACATGGATCTTAACTTATTAAAGGGACACAACAGGCACTCGGGTAACTTTATCTCATTGGTCCTGCAATGTAAAACATAGCAGTTTTAGAGAAACTGCAAAGATTACCTTGCAAGACTAAAACTAGACAGCCACTAGAGGCATTGCCTGGATCAGATCGCCTAAGTGACACGCTCTGCTTGAGGACATCCAGCGTCTGTGAAATCCCCATAGGAAATCATCCCTGTTTTCAGTGTACCTACACTTTTTTATGGTTTGGTTTTAGAATGTATGTACTTAAAACATTTATTGGGGTTGGTTTTGCTCTCTTTGGTTATCACTTTCTCGTTTTCTGGTTCAGCCCATCTAACTGCCTTTTTGCATGGATTATTGGCTTTCTTATATAGGATGGCATTGATTTGCCTGCTTTAAATGCCCTTTTCTTATTTTTAATTTATTGGTTTACCTTTTCACTAAGTCACAATGGCTTCAATTTGTTTTTTATATGTATTACCCAATGGTCTATACTTAAGTGTACCATTCTAATATTTTGTTTTGAAAATAATCCATTTATCACCAGTGCTTTATTTCTTTCACTAGTTTGAATTTCTAATTGAAATTGTTTTTTTGTTGTTTTTTTTAAATAGTTTTTTCAAAAGACACCATATTGTGATCACTATTTTCTACCTGCTCCCCTAGTTGCATGTTTGTCAGAAGATCAAAATTGTTTGTTAAAACCAGACAAGCGTCCTTTCTAGTTGGTGTTTGTACCAGTTGTGACATGGTGTCCTTTAAAGGTTCAAAAACCTTTTTATTCTCCTTGCTGAATGACTAGTCCCTCTCTCCCAATTTAGGTTCAGGTAACTAAAATTGCTAATAATGAACGTGTTAACTAGATGTGCAGCTTTCCCAATTTGCTCAAACAGCTGTTCTTTCTATATCAGATCAATATGAACGTTAGGTGTTTAATAACATACCCCAACAAAAGTTGATTTCCAGTCTTTTGCCCCAAGCAGATGTCTACCCATAAAGCTTCCACATGTTCCTCGTCACATTTTACTTGCTTAATATATTACTTTAACTCATGCTTGACATACAAACCTATTCCACCACCTTTTGTGTTTTTTTTTTTTTTTTTTTCGTTTTTTTTCTCTATCCTACCTAAATGTGTAACCATTTAGGTTTACTGCCCAGTCATGTATCTCATCCCACCATGTTTCCGATATACTATTATGTCCTATTGCTTAGTGTATGCTCTTGCCTCTGGACCCCGTTTTGTTGTTTGTATTAGTAAACATAATATCCTGAGTCTTTTGTACTTTGTGACTTTATATTACTACATAGCTCCTCTGTTCTGATGTTCCTCTCCCTCATATCCACCCCCTTGTGCTGAGCTAAAGCCTCTCTTTTCTGCCTATCACAATTTTGTAGATTTGTGTCCACGTCCCCTACCACTAGTTTAAGTCTCATCAACCTTGTATCCATCCTGTCCCCCAGCAAAACAGATCCTCTTCCATTTTAGGTGCAATCCATCACAGCTATAAATATTGTACCCAGGTGCAAAATCAGCTCACTGCTCTAAAAAGCCAAAATCCTACTTCCTGCACCATGACTTTAGCCATGCATTACCCTCCCAAGTCTCCTGTTGCCTTTCTACTGCGGTGTGCGGCACATGTAATATTTCTGAAAATACTACCTTGGGGTTTTCTTTCAAATTCATTAAACTTTAGGACCCTCCATTTTCGCTCTGACTTTGTCATTGGTACAAATATGATCCATAACATCCGGGTCATCCTTGGCCCCTTTGGTTGAGACCGGCAGCTTACTCTACTCTTTTAAGGGGAAACTATACTTTTCTCTGGCACTATAGCTTCCCATTTGTCAAGGCCCCACCATGTGGTGCAGAGGGGTGCTAACCCCTTCTGTCACTTACCTGCATTCAGTGCTGATGTGCCTCGGCACTGACTTGGCTCCTCCCCCGCTAGCAGGGGAGACCTAATGCGCATGCGTGGAAATGACCTTGCTCGCATTAGGATTTCCCCATAGGAAAGCATTATTCAGCCACTAAAGGAGGAGTTAAGCTTAGCAGGTAATTATTGAAGTTTATAAAAAAAAAATGAAATAATGACATGGTCAGGGTTAAGGATGATGGTAGTTTGCACCCAGACAACTTCAATGAGCTGAAGTGATCGGGGTGCTTACAGTGTCCCGTTAATAATAGTCCCCTACCACCACAATCTTTCGAGCCTTTCTAACGTTCTTTTGTTTAGAGTAGGGGTTCCCAACACAGTCCTCAACTACCCACTATCAATCCAGGATTTAGGGATTACCCTGTTGTGTCTAAAAACACCTTAGACACAACTGGATAATCCCTAAATCCTGGACTGGTAGGGGGTACTTGAGGACTGGGTTAGGAACCACTGGTTTAGAGCATCAGCTAACCACTCTCAACCCATGATTTCAATTGTGTGTACACATTTGCACAACCTTAGTTCAGGGCTAATTGATGCCCCAATGATGCTGCCGAAGGTGGCGTAACTCTGGCAGCAGAAGGGTTAATCTTGTAACTCTGGCAGCAGAAGGGTTAAGTGCTGCACATACAGGCTCCCTGACCAATTCAAATCGCTTAAGTGGTGATGTGCTTTGTGTGACCCTTGAAAGGGACACTATAGGCACCCAGACCACATCATCTCAATGAAGCTGTCTGGGTGCCACATTCCTCTAGTTTTAAACCTGCAAAAGAAAACATTGCTTCAATGCCGAAACAACAATGTTTATATTACAGGTTTTACAAGCCTCAATTGGCTGTCTAGTGAAACGGCTATTTCAGTCATGTTCGTGTAGTGTGGTATTTTGATGCTCATGTGCATTAGCCTTCCAATGGCAAAATATCGGGTTGGTCAAGAGCATCGACCTTCATGATGTCAGCCAAGAGTGTGTGCCACTACGATGGAGACCGATGAGGGCTGAAAGGTATGTAAAACTCACCTTTCTCACAAACTATAGCGTTAGGAATACAAACATTTAATTCCTAACACTATAGTGTTCTTTTTAGTGGTTAGCAAATCTATGTATGTTTACTGGCAATGTGCAATCAGGGATAGGCTGAAACTGCCGGCGTCTATATCCGGTTTTCCAGGATATTATTTGTGCCCCCTTTTCTCATATTCACTAAGCAAATCCGGTGGGTTGCCAGCACTTTAAGAGTCGACCACAGAATCAGCCCGTAGCGAGGAAACGATGACAGCCTGTTGTTTCCTCCCTGATTCACAGAGAACCGCACAGGAGGACTGGAGGTAGGAGGCAGTACCAGTACAGGCAGCATGGGAAAAAAGGAGAGGCTGGAGTGAGCTGCTACTGCTTGCTCACTCACATCAGCCTCAGCCAGAGTTCCAGGACACTAAGGTAACATGATGGTGGCTGAAAATATATAAAGTGTGTGTCAAGGTGTTCATACATGTAGATGGTGAAGAGCCACCTCCCTGAAATGCATTTTTCCAAGTTGGGATGTATGCAAATGTGATCTGTACACCTATCTATATATATATATATATATAACTACTAATATGCCAAATGTAACAAATTATCCCAGTGTATAACATGGATAAAGCTACTTAGCTTGCAGCTTCCCAAGGTCCCTTTCCTGTTGGTAACTGCATACAAATATGATACAATATAGAAATTAGGATACAACCACGTATCTAAGGGGGAAAAAAAGGATAACAATTAATAGTGCAACACTGTTGATAATCAAAGAGTGGTGCCCCCACTAATTGTGGCACTCAGACTCCAAATGTTTAAGGCACCTTAAGGTTGCCTTCTCTCTGTGGGAGGTCAGGATCCTCTGCTAATCTGCCAAAGTATGAGGACCAGCACCATATTATAAAGCAAGAATGCCACTAGAATCCCAGCAATGTTTATTATTCTTGGCGTTCTGACTGTGGAGTGTTAAGCTTCCAATATTCTTCACTAGGCCGGCTGAACCTAAGGGAACACGTGACTCATCCAAACGCCCAGTCCGCCTCCAGTAACCGACAGCTGCTACCATAGAGATTTGTCACAGGGCAAGAGAAGCACTTGCAGCGGATAGAGCGGCACTGCCGTAGAGTTACCGTAAAGCGCCCCTGGAAAGGAGACTTTCTTCCTCCGGCAAGATGGCGCAGACGATGAATATTACCGACCTCTCGCTGCAGCAGTTGGAGGGGTTGAAAAGCCAGCTGGACCAGGTATATGGCCGTAACGTGTACTCAGTGCGGTGTCATTCCAGCCCCAGCCGTATGAGTGTATATGAGCGAGCGGGCAGGCAGATAGCCCTGTGTGTGAGTGCCGTACAGCACGCCCTGGCTGCCCTGCAATGAGCACATGCTTACTCTGTTCAAGTTACAGGAGAATAACAGTCACAAAATAATGTGTACCTAATGCATTAAGATTTATTTTATTTGTATTTTATTTCTAAGCACCAAAGTACATTAACCCCTTAAGGACCAAACTTCTGGAATAAAGGGGAATCATGACATGTCACACATGTCATGTGTCCTTAAGGGGTTAAAGCCTATTGATAGTTTATGGTGCAGGCAGTCTTCAGATTCTGCCTTTTGTTTTCTGTCAAAGGTGTTAATTTATGAAAGGGGAACAGTCAACTAGTCCCTGGCACAAAAGGGGATTATATCTCTGGATATGCTGTGGTCATGGTGTTTGGAGAAACCCTTTAATATGTATTTGCGAGTTGTGAAAAAAAAAAACATTTTTTTTTTTAGAAACAATCATTTCTTTGTACTGCAACTGGACACCTCCATCTTGGTTACCTGTTAAGTTATCTCTCTCTCCATTGCACCAGGAAGTTGGTATAAAGAAAGTATGCAGAAATTAAACAGTGGAGGTTATGTATAAAAACTGTTGTGTTCTGAAGTGCTAAATGTGGGGCTGTTGCCATAGGAACCAGCAGGCACATTGCATTGGTGACACCGTCCCTCTTCTGCTTTTCGGAACAGATGCGTTTTTTTTTTTTTCATAACTGTTAATGTTTCTCCTCATGTGGAAAGTGTGCCTGGACTGAAGTGTTTTAATTTACCTTTACATAAAAAAAGAGTTAAACGTTTTATAGGTGATTTTCAATGTTTTATTCATTGTTGTAGTTTCCATAGAAGTGATCATTCCACTTTAACTTTTTTGTGTCTGTCGACATACCCTATATGAGGGCAGTCCATTTTGCTATTATGAAGTGAGTGCCGCCAATTGCAGCAAGACATAACTATTACCGGATTTCTCACTAGTGAGGCAATCCAGCAATAGCCTCATATCATTGGTGGTTAGTGGCAATATTACTAGGTTATTGCTGGACGTATCAAGCAAGAAACGTCAAGCAGTAGTATTTCAAAGCCTGCCACTTGCATCAGAGCTCTGTAACAGCAGAGCTTCTTAACTCCCAAACACCACATCCTTCTATGTTTTACCTAGTTAATCAGTAAATATTATTTGTATAGCACAGAGTTATTTAATGAATATTTGTGATTGCTTCAGGAAGTGGAGTTCTTGTCTTCGTCCATCGCTCAGTTAAAAGTGGTACAGACCAAGTATGTGGAAGCCAAGGAGTGTCTGAATGTGTTGAATAAGAATAATGAAGGTGAGTGATCCTTCGTAATCAGATCCTTCTACTGAATGTATCCTAATAACTGTCCATCTTTTTAACGGTGTTTACATCTCTTGCAGGAAAAGCCATACTTGTTCCTCTGACAAACTCTGTATCCTTTTTCCATTGGAGCAGTGTTATCCAGTTACTATTTAAAGCATATTTAGCAGATACCCCATATATTTTATTTGCAGTGTGGTAGTCCAGGACTACAGAGGAAGGTATTTTTTACTTTCTTGAATATGTACCTTTCTTGAACATATATATCTCTGTGTTGTAAGTAAATCTTGCCCTAAAGAACAAATCATTGCATTTGGAGATGACTAACAAATCGATTTGTTTGTACATAGATTAACACGTATTTGATTTGTTCAGTGCAGTTGAAAGATATTTGTGCAGAAGTCTAATAACCGCACACCCAACATGTAAACTGTTTTGTTGAAGATTCTGTATTTGTATATACGGTAGTTTAGATTTTGAAGTAATTTGGAGGCCACATTCTGTTTTTGTGCTTGGATTTTCTTCTTAACTCATCTTGCCATGCAGATGTATGTGCCTGGAACTCTGAATGATGTGGCAAAGGTGCTGATAGATGTGGGCACCGGATATTATGTTGAAAAGGTGAGTACTGCTTACCTGCATCTCGCGTTTCATTTAAAGGCCAGCACTGTGCAACGTTGATTAAGCTCGTTTGAGCGGGGTCCTCTCCAACCTATCGTTCTTGTAAGTGTTTTTTTTTTTTTAATTGTCCTATTTATAGTTAAATCCCCCCTCTCATAATATTGTAAAGCGCTACGGAATCTGTTGGCGCTATGTAAATGATGATAATAATAATATGAACACTTATTAAATAACCATGTGACTATCAGAGTAAAATTTAGTTGATTTGCACGTTGTTGTAATATATATATTTTTTTAATATAATTTTTTTCTGTGGTCTCTTGCATATTTTAGAATACAGTAAATTATGGTTGATTCTTATTAAGGGGCCATATTGCAGTTTTGCTCACCTATATTTCTGATCTGTCTTTTTTTTTTTTTTTCTATTCTCAAATCTGTTTCCTCAGACTGTAAATGATGCCAAAGATTTCTTCAAAAGGAAGATAGATTTTCTTACAAAGCAAATTGAGAAGATTCAACCAGCTCTGCAAGAGAAGCATTCAATGAAGCAAGGTGAGTTAGGATCTCACCTATATTGGTAACTTGCCATGATAGCTATATTCTATTCTTCCTCCACTACCCTTAAGTCCCAGCTTGTTATTATGACCAGTCATGTTATGGATATTTATGGTCTCTGTATTCAGTGACCAACAAAGTGGGTTTAATAGCCTAGTTTAGAAAAATATGGAAATAAAATATAACAAAAAAAGGATTGCTGGTCTTCATGTGGAAGTTGCGAAGCACAAAAAATTGGCCAGTGTATACGTGGTGTTGGGAGATAAAGTTGGAAAGTTTACAGAATAGCATTTCTCTTCGGTATCAATATGAGTGGGGGTGGACAAATGGCTGCAGCTTAAATGACCACTATAGTGCCCTGAGGGTGCCCCCTCCCGCCGGGCTCTGGGGAGAGGAAGGGGTTAAACTTACCTCTTTCTCCAGCGCCGGGCGGGAGCTCTCCTCTCCTCCCTCTTCTCCTCCTCTTCGGCTGAATGCGCATGCGCGGCAGGAGCCGTGCGCGCATTCAGCCAGTCCATAGGAAAGCTTTCACAGTGAGAAGCACGCAAGCGCCTCTAGCGGCTGTCAAGAGACAGCCACTGGAGGCTGGATTAACCCATTTATAAACATAGCTGTTTCTCTGAAACGGCTATGTTTATTAAAAAAAAAAAAAGGGGTTAACCCTAGCTGGACCTGGCACCCAGACCACTTCATTAAGCTGAAGTGGTCTGGGTGCCTATAGTGGCTCTTTAAGTAAATTGAAAAGTAGTGCTCCTTTACACATATTGGAAGCATAGTTATATTTGCTTGTAGTGTCCCTTTATAAATGTGTATGATGAGTAATGAAATATAAATTGATTATTGTTATGACCTACAGAAGCAGTTGGGGGTGGTGGGGAGTTGTTTGTACATACTTCCCCTCCACGTAAAACAGCTGATTTATTTTTCTGTGATTTGAGTAATTCAGTGTTTTGCATTCTTAAACCTTTAATAGTTAAATGGACACTATAGGTAGCCATACCACTTCATCTCATTGAAGTGGTCTGGGTGAGAGTCTGGGACCTCGGTGCTGAAAACAGGGAGGGGTGGAAGACCTAATTAGGGACAGGTCATACTATAGCATTAGTCAGTTTTGTATTCCCAACGCCAGAGGGTTCATTTAGTGGGACACTGTTGGTATTATCATAACTACAGTTTCAGGTAGTGTGTATTGTGCAAAGAGGCTAGCATAATTGTTTAAAATTCGTCCAGGGACCCATTGTCCATAATGATAATGCTGCATTTACACAATACCCATATGAATTCTGTCCAAACTGGACTGCAGTGATAGGCTGAGAGTGCTGGAGGCAGGCATGTCTACTGTCCATCGTCCATTCAGTTTAAAGCTACCTCAGACACTCAAAGGGTTCATACTGTTTGCCAATGCTGTTATTGTGCCAATTGTTCTAAAATGTGAGCAACTTTGAATGTCTTATTTCTGTGCTTGTATTTTCCAGCTGTCATCGAAATGATGAGCATAAAAATCCAACAGCTGTCAGCAGCTCAAGCTGGGACATCCAAGGCTTAGGTCAAGCTCCAAAAATGCTTCTCCTTAGAACTTCTCTGTGCAGAGCAGGAACGGCTCACTGCATTTGAGGAGTGAAGGCTGATTACTGATGGCACTGGCCTAATTTGTCAATGCAGTAAAAAAAACAAAAAACCTTTCTGCTACAGGCATCAGCCAAGTGGTTAATCACAAACTACAGCTTCCTCAACAAAGGAGTTAACTTATTATGTTCTTTTTGTCATGTGTTATTTTTTTATTCCAAACATAAAAAGCATTGAAATGAAATGTCTGTTTCCTTTTACTTTTTGATTTCATGTTCAGTTTGATTTTACACTTGCCTTGCAGACGAATTTACTGAACTCACAAGAACTGCAACATCATAATTCTAATTTAAGAGGCTGTCCATCAAATTCAGTCTTTCACGCATAAATGTTCCTGTTGTTGCTGCAAAAGAAGGCAAAAAACAGATTTTAGATGCAATTTAGTTTGCCACAAATAGACCGATTTAATTCTTCACTCTCAAAAAGATAGATTTCTCTTTTAGATCCTCAAGCTCTCTTATCCCACATTGAATATGGTTTTTAATAAACTGTACAGAATCTGACAGATTGACCTTTTTAGACACAGAATTCCATGTGTTCTTACTGTAAAGAACCCTTCCCTCTGCTATAGGTGAAATCTCACTTCGTTATCTTTTGACTTATTGTACAGTTCTATTAATGAACAGATTACAGAGCACTTTTGTATATTCTTATCCATTCTAACATGTTAGTTGTAAATAAGCTCAGGTTTTCTATTTTTTTTTTTAAACTAAGATCATCAATTCCCCTTATTATATTTGTAATTTCCCTCTTATAATGATTAGGTTTTAACTTGAGCAGATTATGCTATGGGTTAATAAATCATGTTCCATGAGGAATATAGTTGACAAATGTTCTAACTGTAACAATGTAGCTTCATAAGTGTTGCGGTAGACCAGGGGTAGGCAACCTACGGCACTAGTGCCATGCACGGCACTCGAGGGGTCTTTACATGGCACTCAAGGCTGCTAGAGCCAAGCAGGCTCTGGCCTATCAGGAGTCTCAGTGAAACTTCAGATATCTGCTAATACGAAAAGGTGGTGAAGGACAATCCTCAATTTATGCATTGCAGAATGTAGAGTAAGTGATCTCAAATCACTTCCTCCAAGCACTTGTGAATGGGAATCCACACTGTAGTAGAGCATACACAATACCATAAACTACTAATGAACATATACAATATAATAGCTCATATACGCACAAATACAACGATACAAAGCAATTACAGTAAAAATAACACAAGCAGAATACGGCAGCATACACACCTCAATTTAAAAAAATAGGACCGGCACACTACGGGACATCACAATCCTATATCGGCACAGTGCTGCTAAAAGGTTGCCTACCCCTGCAGTAGACTTTGAACAAATCAATAAATACCTAAATTCTGCTTGAGCAATCTCATTTCTAGCAGCTAAATATCCCTGTCCTAATACTAAGTTGTACCTTCACCTTCCTGATTTTTACATTGAAACTAAATGCTAGCATTACTGTGGAACCAAACTCCTATTTCCCATACTATGTAATCAATAAAACAGCTGCAGAAGAACAGTGTATAGCTATAAAAAAAAACAAAAAAAAAACACGAACAAATTTAAAGTGTTTTGTTTTTCCATTTACATTATAGCTGATTTCCAATGGACCCGATGCAATATTATTATTATTGGTAGTGATATAGTGCCAACTTATTCTTCCGCGCTTTGCAATATTCTGAACGGGGGGAGATTTAGCAATAAATGAGACATTTACAGGATACAGGAACAATGGGTAAGCTCGAACGAGCTTACAGTCTAAAGATTATATAACGTGTGTATCTATGGAGGTGATTTATAAAACTGGCACAGCTATTTTCACTCCATATTTTTTCTTTTGATACTGTAATTGAATATATAACACAATATTAAATATGAATGAAATATTTAGAAAATGGAAAAATAAGGAGAAAAAACAAATTGCTGAAACTAATGCACATAAAGAAAACTAACTTAAAATAGATTCACTAATGAGTTCTGATTGCTAAAATGCCCAATATGTCTAAAATGTGAATTATTTTTTTTTAGACGTTATAAAACAAATACTGCAAGGAGTGAATTACAGTTTTAAAGCTACAATTTCGCAAAATTTGTTATGCTGAGATTACATATTTTATAGTAGTCACAAAATGAAAAACATTTACGTAAATGTATATATTTGTAGAAAGTACATCCCCAGGCTATTTAATTTAAACATTTTGACACTTCTCATTTAACCATTTTATCACAAAGCTTTAAGTGAAGTTGAATCACACACATGCTCCTGCATGCTCTTAACAGAGCAGGAGTTACGGAATTCTAAATTAAACAGACTGTGCAATAAAAGAATACCTGCCAGCTTCCTTGTCCCTGCAAGTGGAACACAGGTGGGAGGGTGTAGAAAGAGGCGGATCAGTGACATGAATAGTGTCACTGGCAATGCCCATAGCGGCCAGACTGCCTGTCAACCCCACAAGAGACGTATCATGAAAGCTGGAAGTGCACTCAGCTCCTCACTAGGGAACGTTGCTTTGTAGTTCCTGGTCCAAATAAATTGCCTTAAAAATTGGAAACTATTGGAGTGCCTTGATCATTTTCTGCAAAACCCCACAAGAGAGACCTGGATGGAAGGGAGAGAGACATGAATAGAAAGGGCAAGAGAGACGATGGGAAGAGAAACATAGAGGGAAGAGAGACGGGGAAGTGGGGTGCAGTCTGGTGCTATGGAAAGGGGCAGTAAGAGAAAAGGTGCAAAGAACATCAGACAGTTTGAAAGTGCACGTGCATGTGTGTCCCTGTCCGTGTGTATTTAAGTCTCTATATTTGTCTGTGAGTGTATGCGCCAGGGTGTTAATGTGTCTGCGTACAGGTGGTCCTCACTGAACAATTTGTTTCATGTAAGTCGTAAAAATGGTACCTAGTCGGTAAGTGAGGACTGCCTGTATATGTTTAACTGCACTGATGTGCTTGTGTGTGTGGATGATTGGAGGTGAGGGGTAGGGGCAGCATTTGTGTCTTGGATCCAGGCAGCACAATGTTTTGGGCTGGTTCTGGCTGAGAATTCACCAGGGAATTTTACATATTAGGACAAAACTGAGCTGAAAAAACATATATGACTGATAAGATTTTTTTCTGTTCAAGTATTTAGCCCACAATTTGCAAATCCCGATAATTCACAGTTTAGTAAATAACCTACCAGTGAAGAACAGATTGGGTAAAGTCTAAACATTTTTAAGCTGTGACTTAAATTTTAAAATTCTTCGCAGATTTTCCATTTACTGAATAACTGTTTTATCCGTTCTGTTTCCCTTATTTGAACTACTACTATGCAGTGTGTTTTATTATTACTGTCCAAACATGTATTTATTACCAGTTGTATTGTCTACCGCTTGTCATACCTCCCAACATTTCAAATGGACAAAGTGTGACACTTTCAGCGGTGTGACTAGGAGCAGGGCTGCTGTGAAAAACTATTGGTGACTTGCTAAAACCAATTTAGGCAACAAAAATTTAATTTAGAACATGGAATGTAATTTAAAACATGGAATGTAATTTAGAACATGGAATGTAATTTAAAACATGGAATGTAATTTAGAACATGGAATGTAATTTAGAACATGAAGCATGTCTCATATCTACATAGACTGATTTCTAAACACATTCATTGCAGTTTAAGGACACATTACTTGTGTCAAATATGGAGTTCTTGGAAAAAGGGGGGGCATGAAGGCAGGACAAGACAGGGACTATTCCTATCACATATGGACACTAGGGAGAGATGTATCAGTGTGTTTCCATGGAGACAGTAGGCTCCGGAAGTGCAGAGTGCGGCTACGTATTGTCTCCGGCCGCTCTTCCTGCCCGCAATACTTGGTTCCACATGGTGTTTCGGGGCCTGCATTCCCGCACGCTGCAGTTGCTTTCCCTGTACTGTGTGAGCGCCCGCGCTGCCGCCTCCTCCTCGGCTCTCTTGATGCCTGAAGACCCAAAGCGCCCACGGAGGGAGGAGCGACTCATGGCGCCCAAAATCGGAACTCACAACGGGACTTTCCATTGCGACGAGGCGCTGGCGTGCTACCTGCTGAAGACGCTGGAGCCTTACAGGGTGGGGGATCTCAGGGCAGCCTTCACAGCCTGGGCTGGGGGGCCAGGTCATGGGGAGCCACCTGCTGTGGCCTACAGCACCATGAGGCCTTGGAGTGCATCATGGGAAGTGTAGTTGCAGTCCCAAAGGTTACATGTGGCTGGGAAATAGGCCATGATTCTCCATTCACTGCTTGACAGGGCGTTGCTCAGTAGCTCTGGGCTAAAATTATGAGCATCTATGGGCGCAGCCATTGTACTAAGCTCTGTCCTGGCACAAGCATGGCATGGTTAGGACCTTATGAGAGGGCTTTATGGTGTCTTTTGTTGAATGCATGTTATTGGTGGGGGGTTCCCTATTCAGAATAACTGCGTTCTGAAATGGAACTGCAGCAGCATATGTTTGAATCTTCCATAGTTTATATACAGGTAAAGTGTGCATACATTATGTCAGATAAATACAGTGTGATTGTTGTAAAGGTAGTGCAGTAGTGATGCTGAGCTGTTAATTAGTTTTTGTATCATTATTATAAAATTAAATGTATTATTTATGTAAGAACTAAAAACCAGCTTGTGTATTTTGGATCTAAATAATTCTCCTGGCCAAGTTGTCAGATATTGGTTTTCAGTTCTCTTTGCTGCTTATCAAATAAACCTGCACTTGCTTCTTCTTTTTACATTTTGTGAGGTGTGTGTGTGTTCCAATGGTGCTTTATGATAAACTATCTTCGCTTTCACATTTATTAGAATGCAGAGATTGTGAGGACCCGGGATCCTCAGCTTTTGGCCCAGTGTGATGTTGTAGTGGATGTGGGTGGCGAGTATGACCCAGGCCGCCATCGCTATGACCACCATCAGAGGTTAGTTTTGCTCCTGATCTTCATCACAAAATGTAAATTTCACGCCCGCAATTAGAATATATTTCCAGCTTTAGAAAACACCATATAGTGAATTTGTTGGGCTTTTACTTGCGTTTATCCAGAGATCTATACGGTAGATAACGGGGAAATCCGATTTATATTATAAGCTGCACCACTGAGATTTCAGAAATCAAGAACAATCCAATCCAAATAGAACGCTTTACTGTAGCATTTAAAAGTTAGACACAGAGACCAGTATGAAGTACGATTTGATCCACCACTACATAAGGTGTCTGACTTTCATATGCTATAATAAAGCTGGTAAAGTTTTCTATTTGGACTGAATTGTTTTTGATTGCAGAGTTCTCCATGGTGTAGCTTGTGATCAAATTAATTTTGCCTCTTGCTCTGTTTAGTCGTCTTTCAAATGTATTTTTTTTTTTTTCTCATTTTAAAATTCTACAGATCATTCTCAGAAAGCATGCACAGCTTGTGCCCTGACAAGCCATGGGTCACTAAAATGAGCAGTGCTGGTCTTGTCTATGCACACTTTGGATCTCAGATAATTGCTACCCTGTTAAATACAGAAGAGGATGACCCCATTATCCCTGTATTGTATGACAAAGTAAGTAGCGTTCGGCTCCAAAACTAATGGAATAATAATGCATAAACGTAACTGCTTTATTTCACATATCAAATGAACTAATGCAATCTAAAAACCTTTATTTTGCATATTAATCATTTCCTGAATAATATTTTAAAGGAATGTTCTAAGCACCATGGTCACTACATCATACTGCTGCTGCTGCTGTTGTTATGGTGCCCTGGTGACCCCAATGTAAGTAGTCAATTTGTTAAGTAATGGTTTGATTTCTTAACTGGGATCTGCTGAGCCATCTCTCTGCCTTCTTTCAGCAGCATGTAAGGCCTGCACTGTATGGCTTGGGGTAAGAGCTAATGGAGGTTCCCAGCAGGAGCTTCCACCTGAGAGGAGACAGGGGAGAGCACCAATTAGGCCCCATGTGAGAAGTCAAACCTTTACTCATTGGTTTCACTACTTCTGTGGGGAAATCAGGGCACATCTGGCACTATAACCATTACAGTGCGCTTAAGTGGTTATGGTGCTTGAAGTGTTCCTTTAATGATGGCAAAGTAAGTGGTGTTATAACATCATCAATTTGGCACTTTCTCATCCTATCCTTCTGTGGTTAGCCCTATCCTTTTCATTAAGGTAACAACATGTGTTGATTGTCTAGTGTCAGATCCAGATATCACGTGTCACAAATCATTCCTGCATAGATCCATCATATTCTGCCAATTCCAGTAAGTAAAGGGTTTGACATTCCTAAATAACTGCAACCTTTCATGAGACATAAATACTGGCAATCACGTGTCACCAGAAGTGAACTTTTTTGTTTCATTCAATATCTCATCGTCACTCAGAACATGCAAATGTTCTTAGTCCTGTAATTCTGAATCCTCCCATATACTTTTATTGTATTTTCTTGTTTTTGAATGAATTCTAATGGGACATTTTTTTTTTTTTAATGCATTTGTAAGTTTTGTATTGCTTTAGGTTTAATAATGTATGGGAATTAATGAATTGCCCTCTTGTTAATCAGATGTATGAAAACTTTGTTGAAGAAATAGATGCAATTGATAATGGCATATCCCAGTGTGATTGTGAGCAGCGCTACTCCATATCGAGCAACCTAAGCGCACGTGTCGGCCATCTTAACCCACGTTGGAATGAACCTGACCAAGACACAGAGGTAATGCCTGAGCTTTTGCCAGCCCTTCTGTAAACAGTCATGTTTGCTTGGTATTTTAAATTTAGTAATTAATTCCAATGTGACATCAAATATTACAGCACGCAGACTTATAGATCTAGTCTATACATTGTTTTTGAAGCTAGTATATTGATTATAAGTATACTTTCCTGATTGTGAATGGTCATCCACATGGACTATCAGTATTAATTTAGGAGAAAATATTTATAATTTTTACTAACCAACATATGACATTTAAACATTATTTGCTCCAATTTATGTCTAGTGCATCTGCCCTGCATATTGACCATTATAGGTGGGATTTGTCTAGGCTTTATCACACACATTGCACAAAGCTCTTGGCTCATAAAACCTTCTTATTGCAGAGTGGCTTTAGAAGGGCAATGGAATTGACTGGTATAGAATTTGTTTCCCGGCTGGATTTTTATCATCGATCCTGGCTGCCAGCTCGTGCTCTTGTGGAGGAAGCAATCAGGACCAGATTCCAGGTAGCAACATGGTGGTGAACTTGAACATAACATGTTCCATAAAGTGGCCTCTTGATACTGGAAATTGTAAAATTGCTGGTGCTAGTTCAACAATTTAATCAAAGTCACTGATGGGCTCACATTCAAACCACAGGCAGGTGTCCCTACTACTGATATGATTTGTTCTGTTTCTATTCCAGGTGGATAATAGTGGTGAAGTTATTGTTCTAGCTCAAGGGGGCTGTCCCTGGAAGGAGCATCTTTTTACGCTGGAGAAGGAGATGGGTCTGGAGAAACAGATCAAGTATGTCCTGTATCCTGATCAGAGTGCCCAGTGGAGAATACAGTGTGTCCCACTAGGCCCCAACACTTTCCAGAATCGGTTAGTAAACTTGTATAATATCTCATTAATTCCAGTTATTTAGAAGCCTTTTTCTTTTTTAAACCTTTTATTAAATATTGCATATGGTTCATAAAACAGAAAATCTAGGTATACTGACCATAGTTTTTGTTCCAGGATAGATCCATAGCAGCAGCATAATAGGGTTAGCCGAGTGGGTGTAGCTAACCCTATTGTGGTGCTGCCATAGTTTAACCATGACTGTAGGAGTGACATCACCCGATTAAAATTCCCATACTGTTTGAAAGCAGGGGGTGTGCATTGGCACATTTTAGCACTAGTGAGTAGAAATTCACTCCTAGTCCTACCATGGACCATCCAGACTTGTGGTGGCAAATAACTTTTAAGGCTTGGCTAGTAGTGAAGGAGTTTAAATAGTAACCTTTGAGCCCAAAAGTCCAAGTTTTGAAAGAATACTAACTGAAACATTCACCAATTCTCCGAACCTTGGAATGTTCATTAATTGAGAACTCTACGGGACCCCCTTGGGTAGGCCTGAATATTGTGTAGAAGGGTTGGACTTTGAGTAGAAATAGTAAAGTCAAAGGGACGTTTAAGAGAAATGTTACTGAAATGTGATGAGTAGGAGGGAATATGGCAGTATGGGGTAAGATCCGCTGTTCTTGCCCCAACCTACAGTAGAGTATGGTTACTGCATCTCTCGTGCAGAAGGAACTTGCTGGCATTTCGGATCTTGACTTCCTGTACGGGTGGGACCAGTCTGATATGCTTCAGATATATTCTCTCTGTAATGGCACAAGTGAGCAAAAACTGTTTTGAGACCTTAGCGGGGATGTACTGAAGGGCAAGCTATCAGGTCTCTCTAAGCTTTTGTCCGTTCTCATATTTTCTTATTTTTTGCTTTAGTGCATTAACTTGGCTCACCCCAAGTTAAAAGTGTAATCTAAACATGGACCCCGTGCTCGCTGTGCCTAGAGGGATATCAGCTACACCTCACTAGTCCTGGGGTTGCTGTATCTCTTGTGCAGAGGGAATGAACTTGCTGGCATTTCGAATCTGGACTGCCTGTACAGTTGGGACCAGTCTATGTTTCAGATATGTTTTCTCTGTAATGGCACAAGTGAGCAAAAACTATTTTGAGATCGGAGTGGGGATGTACTGAATGGCAAGCTATAGAGTCTCTCCAAGCTTTTGTCTGTTCCCAGAGTTCTCATCCTTTCTACTTTAGGCATGGGTAGATAGGAAGAGCCCTATTATTGCTGCATATGCATTTATATGGAGTTCAAGGTTTCCAGTTTTATTTATTTTGACTAGGCTTTGAAGACAGTTGACAAAATAATTGCAAGTTTTATTTAATGACCCACATTATTTTTGTCACTTGTCCACAATTCCTGATGATGTGATTAACCCCAGTGTATGAGGATCTAGTTTAATCTGAATGGCCTATATTTCCCTTTTAGGCTGTCTCTGCCAGAGGACTGGCGTGGTCTGCGCTCTGATGACCTCTCCTCTGTCAGTGGGATTCAAGGGTGTATCTTCGTCCATGCCAGTGGGTTCATCGGTGGAAATGAGACTCAGGGAGGTGCTCAGGAGATGGCGCGAAAAGCACTAACATCCTAGACACGGATCACTTCTAGCAATTGATTTCTGAAGTTTAACCAAGACTTTTCGCAGCTATGTGACAAAGCACTTCTACTCTGGCAGATTGTATTTATACCATGTGACATCAGTAAATATTTTTGTATTCAATATATGTTAGTCATTTTGTAACTTGACCTGGGAATGGACCAAACCACGGCAGCTTGGCCAGCTTTATCAGGCTAAGATTTTCTCATCAAAACTGCATCTTTGTGATGTGTCTCCCTGGCCGTACCTGTTTTTAGTGACCAGGAATCTGACTCAACTTGAGGAGATGTATGTTATTCACTGGGTACATAACTAAGTTTAAAGGCCCACTCCAAGCACAGCATTATGCTTATGGTGCTGGTGCGTTTCCATAGTAAGCAGACTGTTTTCAAGAACGGTTTGACGACTCAACTAGAGTCTACTGGATGTCCGTTGCCACTTCTCGTGGACATTTCTGTTCTGACGCTCACGTCCCCAGTGATGGAGATACACTCACCCAGTTGTCAAGCCATCACTATTTGGCCCATGTCAAATTCACTCAAATCTTTTTGCTTGCCCATTTTTCTGCTTCCAACATATAAAAAGAAAAAACTGACAGGTGCCATTTTACGGATATCAATATTGTTCACTTCACTTGTCAGTGGTTTTAATGTTGTGGCTGATCAGTGTATATATCGTATGGGATAAGAATAATGTCCACATTTCACAGTGCTGTACTAGTAAAAAGATAAAGGTACAATACATCTGATACCTTAGTAAAATTGACATACAAATACAGGAGCAGTTGAGGGATGTTTTCCTGTGGGAACTTACAATCAATATGGATAGGAGAGGTAACAAAAGTTGTTAAGGTGAGATGTGTTAATACACTCGGATATGAGGTCATTTATTGGTTATATAGTGGAATCCATTTGTTGAGTGGTATGCTTCTCTGAACAAGAATGTCTTTATGAAGCACTTGGAGGTTTGTCAAACGAGGAAAGTCTGACAGCACGTGTCACAAGAAGTGAAAATAGAAGATGCAAGGAGCAGGCCATTGTTAAATCTTACTGGATAGGTTGGAGTATATTTGTTTAGTTAGGAAGTTACTGGGGAGTGTGTAGTAAGGGCGTTGTAGGTCAGGTAGGAGAGAATTTTGAATAGGATTCTGCTGTGAATGGGGAGCCAGTGAAGACTCGGAGGCTGAACCACCTATGGAGTGCGCTCCTTTAGTATGGGAAGATAAAGTGGAGGAAGTCTCTTTAAAGGACCACTATAGTGCCAGGAAAACACTTGTTTTCCTGGCACTAGAGGGTATCTAGGGGGGGAGTAAGGGGTTAAATCTTACCTGTTTCCCCCCACCGGGCTCCCTCGGCACGGAACTCTCCTCCTTTTCGCTGTCATCGGCTGAATGCGCGGCAAAGGCCGCGCATATTCAGCCAGTCTCATAGGAAAGCATTCTCAATGCTTTCCTATGGACGCTGGCGTCTTCTCACTGTGAAAATCAGTGAGAAACGCGGAAGCGCCTCTAGCGGCTGTCAATGAGAGCCACTAGAGGCTGAATTAACCCATATGTAAACATAGCAGTTTCTCTTTTTTACCTTTTTAAAGCTTATTTTAAAACTTTTTTTTATCGTTAACCCCTAGTTAGCCTAACACCCAATTCCCCACTAACTTCCACCCATCCCAGCTAGCAAAATATATAATTTTTACATATTTAAATTAATAAAATAAAAATCAGATGACATTAAAATGTATGCCCTGCCAATTGATCACTGTAGTTAGTGATCAATTGGCAGGGAAGGGGTTAATTTTATTAAAGCGGAGGGGGTTAATTTAATACACGCACACACGCACACACACACACACGATCAGCAGCACTGATCCGTCTCCCTGCACTTCACACAGAACCCGGAAGTGCAGGGAGGCGGAAGGTGAGTATACTGAGCACATGTGCAGCCTGTCAGAGCGAGAACTGGTGCTGGGGCAGCCCGATCGGGTGCTCCTGGTCTGCCTCTAATACAGAGGCAGACCGGAGCACCGTTAACCCCGCAATCGTGGCGATCTGGAGTTAACTTTTAGTAAATTACGGAAATTTTCCGTCAACGGTCCTTAACTGAGAAGGACAAAGTTGATGGAAAATTTCTGTCTGCAGTCAGGAGGGGTTAATCAAAAACACAATTTCCATGGCTATCAATTTTATGATTACAGATATGGCAACATTATGTTCCCACCCTTCTATAGGGGTTGTGGAGACAGTTATACAGGCTGGCTAATTTAAAAAAAACAAAACAAAAGCATAATACAAATATGAAAAATTAAGCCCTGTGCTGAAACGCCCACTACTCCTGGGCATAATTTATGTTTGAATTTGCTTTTGTATGGCACTGCCATGTTACAGTGCTGCCGCTCATCCCATTTGTTCCCTATTAAGGGTTAATAAAATTATCCCTCTCGATCTCACATATTTTACTCTTAAGCTAAAAACAACGTGAATTGTTACTGTAGGACTCCCCTAAGAGGTTTTGCATTTACATTAAAGGGACACTCCGGGCACCCAGACCCCTTCTGCCCATTGGAGTGGCCTGAGTGCCAACTCCCATCACCCTGCAAGTGTAATTATTGCTGTTTTTATAAACTGCAATAATTACCATGCAGGGTTAAGTCCTCCTCTAGTGGCTGCCATTGGCAGGGGAGGAGCCTGACCCAGCGCCGAGGGACATCAGTGCTGGATTCAGATAAGTCACTGAAGGGGTTTGTTTTTCTGGCACTGGAGAGTCCCTTTAATTTTGTATTTTCTTTTATTACCATTGTACTGGCAAACAATCACCAGTGAAAGAATAGATCAAATTATACTCTTACGTGCATGCTGCTTCCAGGTCGGCTCAGTGATATGAGCAAAAAAACTGAATGAGAACTAGCAAAAGCTCTGTAACTAGCTCTCAGTTGTGCCATTAGATTGGAGACCTATACCACTGGGATATCAGCCAGATCCCAGTCACATAGGCAACCCGGTGCCTAAATGCCAGGAGGTCCCCTCTGCAAACGTATTTACAATCCTACATGATTGTTTTGGCTTTATTAGAGCCTCATTAGTGAGGCTTAGCCATTAGTCTTCTAGGCACAGTAAGAGAGGGATTCATGCCTTGTTTAACACTAGGGTCTTTGGGAGACCCTAGTGATAAGCTTTTATGCCATTCCAGAATTCATAAGAACAGCAGGGGCTGCTTTATCTTTAGCACAGAGGGTACTTGCCATCATTTTGGCAGTGGACTGCCCTTGAGTATAAGATCAATACGACGTGCAGTGGAACTTTAGTCAGAAGCATTATTTGGTTTGCTTCATATCACTGACCTGCAACGACTGGTTTATACATTTATGGGGATTATAGTGCTGGTGTAAGTTATAATTATCACTGAATTTATACTTCAGTCAGCAAACAGACAAAAAAAACCCAGTATATTTACAAAGTATTTATTTTCATGGCAAGGGCCCTTTAAACCCTGCCTCTGCAGACTGTAACCAGTATCCATACACTAGATTGACAACATTTATTTCCCACTTGAACTTGGTCAAGTGACAGACCTCTTCAGAATTAAATATATTTCTAAAAATGTCTTCCTAAGCAACTGAATAAAACAGGCACACCGTAATCAAATTCACTTCACCCATAATTGTTATGGTACATTTTACACAGAGACGTACATTTTGCGCATCTTTTTAAGAACCAGTATACAGCGTAGTGTTGTGTTTGGATTGTTAAAACAAGTCAAAGACAATAGTTCATTATCCGCCCTGCAAATCACGACTCTGTGAAAAGTGTTGGTGTTGAGATGGAGATGTTGGCGTTACCCGCTAATACGGTGCTGGTCTCTGGGTTGAAACGTGGGAACTGAGCATTCACAAAGTAGAAAGGAATGTGTGAGACACGGCCAGAGCTCCACAGCTGAAAACAAGAAAACAAGGAAAATGATTAACAGGTTTAAGCCATCAAGAGCAGTGTTGCAGCTGCGGTAGACTACAAGGCTGAGCTACATCAGAAAGATTGCGCAGCAGCTGTAGTGAGAATGGGTAGCCATCAGCATGGTAGTTCTCTGAATAAATTTAAAAAGGGTAGGAGTGAATGTTTTTCCTATAGCAGGCATAGTACTTCTCAAAAATAAAAAAAATTACACTTGCATTATCTTCTGCTTGGTGTATTACCATGACCTACATGCAAATGACCTCCATCCTAATTTTGTAGCTTGCATAGATGTTGCCTAGAGACGAACTGCTTAGAGCTGTGTGGCTGGATAATAGGGAAGGGACTAATTGCAGGAGATAGACAAAAAAAACAGTAATCAACTTACGCAAAGGAAAAGCTTATCTATAACTAGTCATGAGAATGACTATATGTCAAGGTGTAAGTAAACATGCCAAACCTAAAAAAATTAAAAGTAAAAATGCGTAAATATAAAATCCTTAGTTTTAAACACTTTACCGTAGACAGCAAGGCGCCCTTCTTGAAGCATTGGTTAAACTGTACAAGTTGTGGAGTCTCTCCTTCCTTCCCATGAATGAAGCCACTGCAGAAACAAATATACGTGTTTTATGTGTCTGCTGCAGAAATTCATCTTGGCAACACTGTATTAGTCATATTAATGCTTTGTTCTCCATTAAAACTACATTATGTATTAGAACACCTTGAACGCCAAGATTACCTCCAGAACTCTTTCTGTATCGTGAACCATGGCCCTAGGTGGCTTATCATGAAATCACTCCATGCAAGCTCACGTGGTCTTAAAGGACCACTATAGTGCCAGGAAAACAAACTCATTTTCCTGGCACTATACGGTCCTTACGTCCCCCACACCCTCAGGGTCCCACTCTCGCCGGGCTGAAGGGGTTAAACAATTACCCTTCTCCAGCGTCGGGCTCCCCCGGCGCTGGGGAACTCTCCTCCCTCTTCCGATGTCAGCGCCAAATGCGCATGTGCAGCACGAGCCGCGCACGCATTCAATCAGTCCATCGGAAAGCATTTCTCAATGCTTTCCTATGGACGTAAGCGTCTTTTCACTGTGATTTTCACAGTGAGAAGCGCCTCTAGCGGCTGTCAATGAGACAGCCACTAGAGGCTGGATTAACCCTAGTGTAAACATAGCAGTTTCTCTGAAACTGCTATGTTTACAGCAGCAGGGTTAACCCTAGATGGACCTGGCATCCAGCCAACTTCATTGAGCTGAAGTGGTCTGAGTGCCTATAGTAGTCCCTTAAATACCTAATGAGCACCCGTTAACCTCATACCACAATGAGTTTGAATCTTGCAAATTATTAGTCTGCATCTTTCTTTTTCAAGAGAGAGTAAAACCTTCTAACACCATCAATGTAAACTCTTGCTAATGTTATAATAAACTAAACTTAACTGTACACGGCACAATCCATGTCGGATGGCTTTGTTTGTCAACATTAGATGCTTGCGAACTACATCTGGCAAAATTCTCCACCACCAGTCTAAAGTCTTTCTAATCTTCATGGGATATGAAATTCACTACCATCTAACCTGTCAAGGTGAGTCATCACTGCGGTGATATCAAGAAGATAATATTGTATTACGGTGTAAGATTTGCTTCCCTTTTTGTGGCACAATTGGCATTTGCTTCAAACAGGTTGTTTTTTTCGGATCAACGGCATAAAACAGTGTGTTTAAAAGGTTGAACTTGACTTGAGACTTTTTTCAAACTAGATTAATGTAATTAGTATCAAACGGGATCAGTCACTTTAAACTCACCTTTTTCTTTATTTCTGATCTGTTTCTTTTTAAATATAAGAACGTAAGGGACTTTGTCTTATGTATTTCTACTACGCTTGACAATTGTGCCAAAAGGATGGAGTTTAACGCAAGCTCCCCTTCCTTAGTCAATCTAACAAAGGATGAAGCTCGCCTTACACCCCATTTGTCAAGATTGCCAAGTGTAGGAAAAAATACATAAGACAAAGTAATCCCTCTTTTGTCTTATGTTTTAAACAGAAATAGATCAGAAATGAAGTATCGATTCTGAAAGGGGAAGAGAAGAGGAAACAATAGGAGAAAGGGAACTGACTGAGCCACTTTAACGATACTCACATACAAAGCGCTGGTTTTGTACATACCATGGGAGAAGCTCAAAAATGGGGCTATTTCTTGTCCTGAAAACTGCAATTAACGTCAGGTTCGATTCACTCTCAGGGTTCCCTATAATACACAAGAATGTTCAGCATATTCCAAAACATGTAAAGATCCCTTTAATAAATGTCCTGCTGAAAGATGTACAAGAATGGAAGAGGACCTTTCAGTATGACAGCAAGTCTCTCTCCACTTGGATCCCAAGCCATTGAGTGTATCTCTCCCCCAATTCTGCAAAAGATGATATATGTATGTTTAGAAGGAAACGGAGGCAGTAAATTTTTTCTTACAAAGTTGTTCAGATTAATAGGCGCTCACCTGATATCGCCACTTTCGGTCTCAAATATTGTTTCTGAGACATCAGCAACCACGGTAGCACTCTGACTCCCTCCAACACAGCCCTGCATCTGTCCTGCCAAACATATAACATGGACATTGTTTAATCTCTGATGCAGTGCTACCATCACATGTAATACAGCATCTTTTAACCATGACATTCACTCCGTAACCAAAGGGGTTACATGGTCATAACAGCAAAAGGGTGCTCTACTAAGTACTAAAGCTGCTCGCCATGAAGAGGTTGAATCATTTTAAAACTGGAGGTCATTATAAGTTGCATATTCAGCTGAATTTGGGGAAACCACTTGAAGAATTTGTTGTGTTGAGCCATCTTAATTGCTTGTGTTTAATTTGTTCATTGCCAACAGCTGAAAGCCTATACATTTTTACAATAAACCTGATTTTCAATGGGGGTTGAATAATAATAATAATGATTACAATTGTATGTTAAATATCTCATTTATTTTCTTCAAATTTTTACTTACCATTACAGACTGTAAAGGATAAACTGTATATCACAGATTCTCCCTTAACTGCAAAAAGCAGGCGGCTGCCATCTGGGCTCCAGCATCCAGTCTGTAATATAGACACAATGTCACAAAGTAAAAAAATAAAACACAATTATAACATTACTTGGCAAAGATATTTCACAACATACCTGGCAGCGACCCTGAAGTGTTGGCCATCGCTCACATGTCCACGTCTGAGATTCCCAAACCCTGCAAGACACAAAACCTGTCTAATTAAACCTTGTATATGATGTATGTAAAACCTCCCCCTATCCCCCCCCCCCCCAAAAAAAAATAAAAAAAAAAAAATAATAAAATCACTGACTGACCCATATTTATACGTCCAACCCTACATTTAAATGACTAGGTGTCTCAGCCCTCACCTAAAGACAGCAGATGGTGTTGCTGCCAATACTTTACTGCCATCGGGAGACCAAGAAAGGAAGGTCACCCCTCCTCCACCAACTCTCTGTAGTGGCACACAGCTCTCTGTGGGGACATCCCAAACCTGCAAAACGTCATGATTATTAACTCAAACGCATATATAAAATTGTTCATAAATTGGTTTTCAAACATTCTAACACTGAATAAAGAATCTCTGCAGCCCATCCTCAATGAAAAGTTATAGATAAGGCAGACACCCCACCACACAAACTCAGATCAGCAATGGGCAATTGTGATTGGCTGACATCATCAACTGACTGCTCCCAGCCTATCACTGCTCACCACAAGCATAGAGGGGATAAGCTGCAGGCACCCAGAGATCCTCATTAAGTGTCAAACATTTTGAAAATGAAGTGTGAGCCAGTGCCAAGGCCTTCCAGACACCATAAGTAATTCAGTCAGGTGAGAAATACAGAAGTCAAAAAAGATTATGGTTCTTAGTCAGACCCAGGCAACATTTTACTAATTAATGCCGACGAGTGGTTAGGCATTTTTAAATTACGTTCCAATGGTAATGCAGATAAAACCTGCACCACAGGCGTGCCTTGAGGACAAATAATGTAGACTAACCTTACAACTACCACCAAGTCAGGCCGGCAGAATATATATACACGATTGTGCTAAGCAAATTGCTACACCCTGTTCCAAATTATTATGCAAATTATTTTTTTCTAATTTACCTAAATAATTGATGTAAATAACAGTCAGCATAATTCTCATGTTATCAACTATTAGGAGTACAATTCAAATTTCATTGAACAAACCTCCTAATGATAACAGTATTTTTTTAAACATAAAAAACTTACACAATGCACTGTTCCAAATTATTACGCACAGTAAGTTTCAAAACACTTTATAGGTTGTAAAGAACTGAAAATTGTCATTTGTTGTGTTTGCAGCATATTTACTGAAATCAAAAGCTATTTTAATCAAACTTATAACAACAGTTTGACTTTTTAAACATTTTAACAGGTCACGTTACATTTTAACATAGGACCCCTTATTTGATAGCAGCTTCACAAGTCTTGCATCCATTGAACTTGTGAGTTTTTGGACAGTTTCTGCTTGAATTTGTTTGCAAGATGTCAGAATAGCCTCCCAGAGCTGCTGTTTGGATGTAAACTGCCTCCCACCCTCATAGATCTTCTGCTTGAGGATGCTGCAAAGGTTCTCAATAGGATTGAGGTCAGGGGAGGATGGAGGCCACACCATGTCTTTCTCTCCTTTAATCCCCATAGCAGCCATTGATGCAGATGTATTCTTTGCAGCATGAGATGGTGCATTGTCATGCATGAAGATGCTTTTATTATGGAAAGCATAGTTCTTCCTTCTGTACCAGGGAAGAAAGTGGTCAGTCAGAAACTCCACATACTTTGCAGAGGTCATCTTTACACCTTTGGAGACCCTAAAGGGGCCGACCAGCTCTCTTCCTATGATTCCGGCCCGAAACATGACTCCACCACCGCCTTGCTGACGTCGCAGCCTTGTTGGAACAGGGTGGCCGTCCACCAACCATCCACTACTCCATCCATCTGGACCATCCAGGGTTGCACAGCACTCATCAGTGAACAGGACTGTTTGAAAATTAGTCTTCATGTACTTTTTCTGCCCAATGCAGCCGTTTCTGCTTGTGAGCATTGGTTAGTGGTGGCCGAATAGAAGGTTTATGCACAGTTGCAAGACTCTGGAGGACTCTACACCTTGATGTCCGTGGGACTCCAGAGGCACCAGCAGCTTCAAATATCTGTTTGCTGCTATGTAATGGTATTTTAGCAGCTGCACTCGATCCGATGCATGGATCTGGCAGAAATCTTCCTCAATGTGCCTTTATCTGCACGAACCCGTCTGTGCTCTGAATCAGCCACAAATCTCTTAATAGTGCTATGATGACGCTTATGTTTTCGTGAAATATCTAATGTTTTCATACCTCGTCCAAGGCATTGAACTATTTCACTCTTTTCAGCAGCAGAGAGATCCTTTTTCTTCCCCATATTGCATGAAAATGGTGCTCTGCTTAATAATGTGGAACACCCTCCGTTAGTAGTTTTTCCTTAAATTGGGCTCACCTGGCAATCTAATTATCACAGGTGTGCGAGATTGTTTTCAGTGATCAAAAGAGCCCTGAGACACAATGCCATCCATGAGTTAAACTGAAAAACAAAATATTTAACCCCTTAAGGACGGAGCCAAATGTACACGTTGTGAACGAAACAAAATGTAAACAAAACCTGGCATTTGCGCTACATGTCTGTCCAACCGTAATACACCTCTTTCATAGTAAATGCACCCACCCTTATTATATATCATTTTATTCAGGGGAAACAGGGCTTTCATTTAATATCAAATATTTAGCTATGAAACATAATTTAATATGAAAAAAAATGGGAGAAAATAATTATTTTTTTATTTTTTAGTTCTACATGACATTTTAAAGGTCAGTGTCATAATACTGTTTGCTTTTACTGCAATAAAATACACATATTTGTATTCAGTAAAGTCTCACGTGTAAGACAGTACCCCCTATGTACAGGTTTTATGGCGTTTTGGGAAGTTACAGGGTCAAATATAGCACGTTACATTTGAAATTGAAATTCGCCAGATTGGTTACGTTGCCTTTGAGACTGTATAGTAGCCGGGAATGAAATTTACACCCATAATGGCATACCATTTGCAATAGTAGACAACCCAAGGTATTGCAAATGGGGTATGTCCAGTCTTTTTTAGTAGCCATTTGGTCACAAACACTGGCCAAAGTTAGCGTTAGTATCTGTTTGTGTGAAAAATGCCAAAAAATGCCAATTTTGGCCAGTGTTTGTGACTAAGTGGCTACTAAAAAAGACTGGACATACCCTGTTTGCAATACCTTGGGTTGTCTACTATTGCAAATGGTATGCCATCATAGGGGTAATTTTCATTCTTGGGCTACCATAGGGTCTCAAAGGCAACGTAACCAATCTGGCGAATTTTAATGTGAAAAAACTGAAACGCAAGCCTTATATTTGACGCTGTAACTTTTGAAAACACCATAAAACCTGTACATGAGGGGTACTGTTGTACTCGGGAGACTTCGCTGAACACAAATATTTGTGTTTCAAAACAGTAAAAAGTATTGCAGCAATAATATCATCCGTGTAAGTGCTGTTTGTGCGTGAAAAATGCAAAAAACTTCACTTTTACTGGCGATATCATTGTTGTAATACATTTTACTGTTTTGAAACACTAATATTTGTGTTCAGCGAAGTCTCCCGAGTAAAACAGTACCCCCAATTTACAGGTTTTATGGTGTCTTGGAAAGTTATAGGGTTAAATATAGTGCTAGCAAATTAAATTCCCTATACTTTCGGCATGGGTTGTCAGGCAGGTCCCGCTAATTGTAATTAATTAGGATACCTAATTATGTAAAAATATTACATAAATATATGTGTAGAATTAACATATGTATATATATATATACATATGTGTATATATACATATATATAATTTTTTAAAATATTTTTATTTATATATAGGTGTATATATTTAGTGATATATATGTATATATTTATGTATATAGATATATATATTATTTCGTTCTACGTGTATTTTGATATAAATATATATATATATTAATATCACAATACAGTTAGAACGAAATAACAAAACATCTATATATTTTTTTATTATTTATTTTTAATTTTTTAAATTTTTTTTTTACGTATTTACATTTTTTTATATTATATATATATATATATATAACAATAATTATATATATATATTTAATCAGTATTAGTCTACGTGTAATTTGATAGTAATATATATATAAATAATTATATATATTAATATTTAAATACACTTCGTGTATGTGTAAATGTGTGTATTATATATATATATATATATATACACATACATACTTAGATCATATATATATATATATATATATATATATATATATATATATATATATATATAATATATATGATCTAAGTATATTTTATATGTAACTGTAATTTTTTTTTTTTTTAACTAATATTTTATTTGTTTTACAGGAGAGGGGGCAGAGACAGTGTCAGCCAGTGATTTTACATCACTGGCTGACACACAGGATCAGTGATCACAGTGACTGCCTGTCACTGTGATCACCTCCTGCAGATTGGGTAATTGGCCACAGGGGGGAGTGCCTGGGTGGTACAAGCACTCCCCCCTTCCAATCTGCAGGGGGATCTGTGTGCCAGTTACATGTGTCAGCCAATAGGCTGACACATGTAACACTGATCGCAGTGACAGGCTGTCACTGCGATCAGAGCGCTCTGAGATCGCAGTGACAGCCTGTCACTGCGATCTCAGAGTTAGCAGATCGCGGTCACTGACCCCAGGGGGACTGCCTGGGGGGCCAGGTAAGTCCCCCGACCGCGATCTGTACGGGGTAGCCGCTGGCCACGTGTGTCAGCCGATTTGAAATCGGCTGACACACGTTAAAAACTGATCGCAGTGACAGCCTGTCACTGCGATCAGTGACTGCAGATCGCGGTCATCGGCCACAGGGGGGGTTGCCTGGGGGGCCGCGCATCCCCCCCGACCGCGATCTGCAGCGGGCGACTAGCGCCGGCCACTAAAGTGAGGGCGTACTATTACGCCCGCCGGCGTTTAGAGCCGGCTCCTGCAGGGCGTAATAGTACGCCCTCCGTCCTTAAGGGGTTAATCTTTGTGACACTTAAATAGAATTTACATAATAATTTGGAACAGAGTGTAGTAAATATACTTAGATAAAAAAAAAAAAAAAAAAGATTTTGTAATCTATTGAATTTGGCCATCCTGAACTTTACTGCTTTGCAATCAAAATGCTGCCTGCATGAAATACAGTGTGCATTTGAAACCAATTTCTACTTAAAAGCGATCCACGGCAAGCAGGGTTTAACTGATTTTCACTAGCGTTCTGCTGAGGTTATCCCAAAAGCTGTGCATTAAAGGCAAAGCATTTTGTATGGTGACATCTGTGTTTAAGAAGAGAGCAAGGCAAAAGAACCTTTATACTCACCAACATAGCAGTGTCTACTGGAGAGGCAGAGAGTAACACACTACCACTAGGGGACCAACACACGCTGGTGACAGGACTGTGCCCTGGGTGTGAGAGTATCTGAGCACAACCAGAGGAAGGCCTGAGTGTACAAAGAAAAAGGCATAGTTCACACTGGAATAGTGATAGTCAAATATGTTTAATTACTATTTGTTTTTGATTGCACCAAGCTTTACATGTAACTTTAAAGGTCAATGTTCCATGTCACTGCTAGTATATTTAAATTCTCAAACTTTCCCACTCCCCACAATTGACACTCACATTTGAATTTTATCATCAGTAATATCCAATATATATTTTTAACTGTAGTACTAAAAAGCTCTCTGCAATCTAAAAACTAAACACTAGATGTCACTATAACATTAGCAATACACTTGAAATCATTTGCTCTAAAAATAAATAAATAAAAAATAAAATAAAAAAATCTTGAGAGTAAAAAGCATTTACCTTGTGGATAGGGAAGTAGGGTCTACATGCCATACCAGCACACAACTTTGACAAGCCACAGCCAAGATGGATGCACAGAGGGGTTTCCATGCCATACTAGCTACATCCTTCTGCAGTCGATGCTTTAATGTGGGAATAGTCGGGCTGTAAAGGAGAACATAATAAAATATGCTGAGATGGAATACTGCATTCTAGTATATATACACAGGATACAAATTAAATATGGCTAATGTTCAACTAACCGAGAGAGAGGCACTGGGGAATAAGAAGGAGGTTGGGACATATGGACTGGTACTGAGGGAACTAAAATAGTTTCTACTGCGTTTTCCACAGTGCCAATCCATCCCACTATACATAGATAGATTTAGCAGATTTGTCATTTCAAGCCAGCGTTTGTCTTCCAAGCATCACTCACCTTCCTGAAGTATAAACCCGAATGGAGTCATCAAGAAGAGCAAGGGCAAATTTGTTGGTATGTGGATGCCAAGCAAAGGCACGGAGTGAGCAGCCAGCCCTAAAAGAACAAAGTGAAGAAATAAGATTACAATTTTTTTTTTAGGTTTTGTTTATATTTGTTTAAAAGGGATACTGTAGTCATCAAAACAACTTTAGCCTTATGAAGCAATTTTAGTGTATAGATCATCCAGTCTCATGATCAATTCTCTGCCATCCATAGCCACACAGTTCATTCAAAAAATGGTTTCACTTTTAAATCAGATGTTAACTTGCTTTATACATTTTTACTTCCTGCTCTGTATACCGAACTTTAATCACACACACACGATGCTCCTTTAGGGTCTATGTAAAATGCAGTGACATTAAGTTATATGTTTACCTGTAATCCAGCGCCGAGCAAAGGTCTTTCACACCCCGTCTGGCTGCATCACTCTTCACCTCCGTTGTCCAATTAAATGCCTCTCATAGCCATTTTACCGGCTCAGAGTGCACAAATAACGAAATTAACCGTTCCCCTTGCAGGCACTGACTGCAAGGGTTGAAGCTCACTACGTATGTTGCCAGCATGCAGTGTGCGCTGACAGATGTAAAATATGCATAGAATTAACACTAGGCAGCTCGAACAGAGTTAAGGGCTCTCAAAGTCATGTGTGACGGGGCAATAACTAGCATAAGGTACAAAACTAGATTACTCTAGATATACAGCATTTTTAAGCAGTAATTCTGCACATACAGAATCCTACCACCATGACCATTTTAAATTACTGAAGTAGTCAGAAGTAGTCATAGTGGTTAGAATAATTCTTTAAATGCAAGGTTAATGGTCTTTAGTAAAGCAGCACTCACCAGTCAAGAGCCTGAGAAAATTCTGCTGTGAGATCCTCACTTTTCATCTGTGGAGAGAAAAAGGTGTATATTATTCAATTATGTAAATTAATTAAAACCATCCATCAAAGATCAACTCATTCTGCACGCATAGACTTTGGGCTGCGTAATATGTTAGCATATACTAATATCAAGGATTTAGAATACAAATAAAATGCTGTGCATCATTTCAAATTTATTTTAAGCAATGCTGAACTTCCATGTTGTCTAGATGGAAACATCTCTAACAAGTAAGATACCCTACAAGATTCATTTCCCAAAACAAGTTTTTTATTAAAATTATTGTTATCTGGGAGAGAGTAGTAGTGAAGTACAACGCACACAGATTTTACAACCCAATAACACCCAATCAAAATGTAAAAATTAACAGTATGATTTGTGCACTCACAACAGGAAAACTTACGGTGAGATGAGGAAATAATGACCCATGGAAAGCTGAAGCCAGGCGACAAACAGCAAGGGACCAACTAGAAAAGCGAACCAGCAAAGGGGGTACTGTAAAATAGAATACAAGGGAATGAAGTGATGGTGCAATATCTCACACCTGTCCTAGTCACACTACTGCTATAAGAAAATGACCAATTAGTGAAAAGTTTGAATATCATCATTACTAATCTATATTTGTTTGAAAACACCAAATACACTAAAAATACTACTAGATCTGATTCTACATATGTACTAAATGGCAGGGCTCAACATTTCTGCCTTACGGTTAGAACTTTCTATGAAACATAGAATGTGACGGCAGATAAGAACCATTCGGACCATCTAGTCTGCCCAATTTTCTAAATACTTTCATTAGTCCCTGGCCTTATCTTATAGTTAGGATGCCTATCCCACGCATGCTTAAACTCCTTTACTGTGTTAACCTCTACCAAGGTTATTCCATGCATCCACTACCCTCTCAGTAAAGTAATACTTCCTGATATTATTTTTAAACCTTTGCCCCTCTAATTTAAGACAATGTCCTCTTGTTGTGGTAGTTTTTCCTTCTTTTAAATATAGTCTCCTCCTTTACTGTGTTGATTCCCTTTATGTATTTAAATGTTTCTATCATACACCCCCTTCACCCCTGCGTCTTGTCTTTTCTCTAAGCTATACATGTTAAGTTCCTTTAACCTTTACTTGTATCCATGAACCAGTTTTGTAGCCCTTCTCTGAACTCTCTCTAAAGTATCAATATCCATCTGGAAATATGGTCTCCAGTACTGCGTACAATACGCCAAGTGAGGTCTCACCAGTGTTCTGTACAATGGCATGAGCACTTCCCTCTTACTACTGCTAATATCTCTGCCTATACAACCAAGCATTCTGCTAGCATTTCCTGCTGCTCTATTACACTGTCTGCCTACCTTCATCTGAAATAATTACCCCTAACTCCCTTTCCTCAGATGTTGAGGTTAAGACTATCAAGACTACTATTCTATACTCTGCCCCCCAGTGACTGTGCCATTTATCTACCAGGCTTGCAGGGGTGAGTAACTTTTACATCTGTCTATAACACAGAAGTGGGCATGTTAAGCCCTGCTACATGGTATATTTTTTTGAATGGAAAAAAAGCTTGAGGTGTTGTGTGTACAAATAATAGCAGATTAATTCTAGCATTATATCAAATAAGTCAATCACAAGTCAAAGGAAGCAATGAAGAAACCTGTACAGTGTCCATAAGAGCTCAATGAATTCTTCTTGTAAGCAGCACATGGATAAATCAAATGTCTAATAATGCAGCCTTGGCTATCAGTTGATTACATGTATTCACTATAGCACAATTAATTTGATTTTAGTAACTAGCTCATGAAAAGTAAGTAATGGAAGAGCATTATACACAGCATACCTTTATAAAATAAATCTTGTGACTGAAGAAGAATATACAGGTATGATTGTGTGGCACTAAGAAGCAATTTAAATAAATAACTCAAATCCGACATTCTCTTTGTATGCATCATTACTTCATTATTCAATAAGCCAGGAATTTCATCAAGTGACCGGCTAAACTGTCAATGTTAGGGTAAAATAGCTAGATAGAGAGGCTGCTTTTGGTTTACAATGCTTCTATTTTTCCTGGATAACCACCCCTGGCTTAGAGAATAACCCTGATTGTGCACACAAGCAGCAAAACGTTATGTACAAACTGAATTTATATGCAAAACATAAGACCTACATAAACAATTACAGTCTTTAAAAGATCACTAAAAAAAATAAAGTTACAGATTTCAAATGTACGCATCTCTCAAGCTGAATTTCTGTCTTTATAATATGGCATGAGTTTTTGTGATATTTTGTGTTTACTATACATTTTACCTTCCTCCTCAGAACTGGACATCTCTTCTAGTAGCCCTGAGAGCCCCATTTGATGCCTGGAAAATACAACATTTAAAAATGTCATAACTGACCAGAGATTGGTGTCTGCACTGGGTGCTGTGCCAGGGTACTCACCATGCATTTAAACAGCGTTTCAAGATACCTTCCCTGTGATGGATAAATGCTGCTTTGCTGCTCAGTTCAAAGCGACCAGGAGCCTTTACTGTTTCTAAAGGAATCATAACTTCTTGGATATCGACTAACTGCAACACAAGAAGTAGAAACGGCAATAAGAGAGTTTTTGATTATTATGGACAGATTAATACTTGGTTAAACACATTGAAAACACACTATGTGGAAACTCGAGTCAAAAGGATAATATTGTCAAAAAGAATATAACAGCAACAACCATTGACATACGGTCCACCGACTTCTGATGAGTTGTGAGCCACGTGTGCATCATAGAAAACACCCTTTGAGGACCACTATCAATAATAGTTTTTTGAACGGGGGTGGAACTTGCATTTGCCAGATAAACTGCTTGGTCATTCTTCTGCATTCAGTAGTTCTTGCTCACTGCTTTAAGCACTCGCTCAAAATGGATGGGGGAATTCTCATAGAAAAGTATTTAATTCAGTGTTTTTTCTGTGAGTATTATTACCATAGAAGCTTTGGCTTGGCTAGGAGATTATCACATTTAAATTAAGCGGCTTGGGTCCTCTCAATTTAAACCACTGCAATTTTGAAGAAATAGTAATGCTTACCTTGAAGGGTTAAACACACCTCCAGTGGCTGTTACACTGACAGCCATTGAACGCGCTTCTGCTGCAAAGAGAGTTAAACTCGGTCATGTGACTTTGCAGAGCCCAATATGAAAGCATTCATTTACTGCTTTCCTATGTGGAAGTTAGGAAGCGAGCACTGCGTTTGCCACGCATACACATCAGGTCTAGAATGCTCCTCTATGAAAAAAAAAATGGATTATCACGAGGCCATGACTCCATCATGACATACGTTGAGATGGAGAGGAGCACCAAGTGAGCCCTGTCACTGGAAAAATATAAATAAAAAAATTTAAAAAGCTTAATTTTGGAGGCGGAGCTTGACGGCAGAACCAAGCAGACGCATGTTAGATGAGCTCCATGGCTATACAGCTAAAATTGGTGCTTTCCTGTATCCCAGACACCAAAAAACTATACCCCACGACCCACAATCATAATGGGGAGAAAAACAAAGAAACAAAAGTCAAAGACAAGACAGGGGTCAGTATCGGGGATTTATTCTGCCAGGCGCGTACGGCCTCAAAATGGCTGCCGACCTCGAGGGCTACCTTGACTCCTCTGAGGATTTCTTCAGGATGAGGCCACGGGCAGCTTAGCCCTTGTGGGACCTCAACAGTTGTCATCAAGTTCAGGAGACATGGGACCGGTAACAACTGCAATTTTAAAAACAATGTTGGGAGACTTACAGAGGACTCTCCAGGTGGACGAAGATCAGCTGCGCGCAAATCTCATAGGCCATCAACACGGTGGAGGCAACCTCCACACACCAAACACAAGAAATCACAGAGCTCCGATAAGAGGTACGGGCACTTAAACTGCAGCAAGCCAAACGTGAGCAATGCTACGCTGCAATGGAGGACGCAAGACGACGAAATAATTTTAAAATCCGCTGAGTCACAGAAGATATACCCTAAGGCGGCTCATCTGAGGAAATCCCATACCTTTTAAAGCGGCTCATCGGAGCCTTACTGGCACCTAAACAGGCCAGAAACATCAGCTTCGAGTCAGCCTTCCGGATCCCCAAACCTCACAGAGCGCCAGAGACAGCCCCCCGAAACCTAGTGGTTCGGTTCAGGAACTCTCAAAGGGTCTGCCACCTACAGCTTTGAAAATATGGCCATGTCTTTTTATACATAGGACTCTGCAGCCATTCACCACACTGCTCAGAAACCACCACATTAAATACCACTGGCGCTCACTGCGTGCACTGCATATAACGCACAACAACCAGGTCCACTTCATCTCCGACCTCCAAGAAGCGGCCACTCGGACTACCAACCTGCGGTTTCAAGTTACATATGTTCCTACTCCAAGTAGAGTTCTTTTGTTTATGTTCTTACTATGCTCTGTAACTCCATACATAGCAAAACAGGCCCTACTGACATATAGGAGTATTCCCTCAACCCCCTCCACCTCCAAGATGAGATCAGAAATTCCTAGAAGAATAGTGAAATGGGAGGTGTACTAAACCGCAATATCACACAAAGTGCCAAGATTACGCCAGGTTATCTAGGCAGCCCCAATAGCATCGGGATCAACTCGGACGCAACCCGCACACACGACTCAAATACAGGGGCCCAAGCTACTCCACCTTGTTAATTAGCAGTCTCTATAGTTACCTAAGGGCTTAACGTCACTCGTTGCACACACGATGGACCTTTATTGACCAGACCCAAACTATGACCACTCGACACTGACCAAGCAACATAAAATAAAACCCCCTCCTCTCAAGAAAAGCCCACTCGTGACAGTATACACTGTAACAAGTATGTAAAGATTGTATGTGTACCTTGTTTTATGACTATATCGAACCTCTCATGCTTGTGAGCAGGGTACAAATAAAGATTTTTTTTTTTTTTTTTTAAAAGCTTACATTTTTGCACACATGGGGGAGAGCTATATAACAAGGGACTCGGACACTGAAGCATTAGGGATACAAACCTGCATTATTAATGCTTTGGTGTTCCTTTAAGTGTATAAACATTTTAATATGTCCCAAATAGAGCGGAAGGAAAAGTTGGAAGTCAGACTACCGCATCAGGACATGGTTCACAAGATTTATCAATGTTCAGATTTGGGAAAAAAGCCTCCAAATGAATATCCACTGGATTGTAGCCTATCTGGATGCAACTGAACATCTGAATTCCAGATGCTGATGCAGAAAAACTCTAGACTGGATTGTTATACTTCAAACCATGGAGAGGGTATATGCACCAAAACCACTTTATTAAGATAAAGTGTCCCTTTAACTATAAAGTTACAAAACAAACAAGCAAGGCATTGTGTTATATTGCAGAAATATAAAAGACATTACGAATGTTATAAAATTACCTGATCACGAAAGGCTGAGGGTGGACTTTCATAAACCATGCCTGGTACCATCTCATTATTAAACTCGTACAGTGTAAGTTCACCATGAGGCAGTGGAGCCGGAAACAAACCCAGCGAGCACATATTGACAGGCAGAAAAATCTGTAGAAAAACAGTATATTTATGTGTAACACAGTTTGAGTCATGTTCTGCAATGAAGATAACATACATATTTATACATTAAACGGTATTCTGCAGTCACTATGGCATGGAGGAGAGGATTTCAGATATACCAGTATCTGCAATCTAGCTCATTCAGAGAGACCTACTGTATTGTCTGAATTTTAGGATATGAAACCAACACTAATTATTGTTTAATCTGTATCAAACAGTTTAATCTATATCTAACACTTATGCATTGGATCTCATATTTGTTATGAAGTTTTTGAAGTAACAAAACTAATATAAAGGATTTTTTTTTTTTTTGATATGGCACATCTCTCTCAGGGATGCCATCATATGGTACTTCAGCTGCTTTAAACTACATTTACCATGATGCTTTGCCCCATCACATGGGCAAAATGTAATCCTCAGTCTCTGGTGTAGCCATGGACCCTTAGCCACCTGCTTTATCACCCACACCCCTGCAATGTATGATTTCCTCTATCTATGGTATAAACACACTGCTCCATGATAAATCATAGGAGGCACAGAGGTGGCCTCACCTAAAAATCCAACATTCAGAAAACGCGCGTCCGTTTCGACGAGTACTCACATGGGACAATTTCCGTGTCGGGTCAAGGAACGGGGAGCCGGATGTGCGTCGCAAAGCATCACGGGACTTGTAGTTGTTTTTCTGCTTATTCTGTAGCACTATGTGGTTATGCATTTTAGAGAATGGGTTCTCTAACCTGGGGTACATTCCAGGGCTATAAACTCCAAACTGATAATCAATCCCTAAATATATATATATATAACGGAATGGGGAAGGTGAAGTTTAATCAATAAATAAGTCCCTGCTGGACTAGTTATTCACTACAGTGTGAATTGTAAATGGGTTTCTTTACTAAAGTGAATTATTACAGGGCTATTCACTAAAGTAAGATTTAATACCAACCTAGCTGAACTGGAAGAATGTTTCCAGTTTAGTTATTTTTATCTCCAACCCGTTTGGGGGGCATTTCCTGTGTAAAATGCCCTATTGATACCGGAGAAACTGACGGAAGCAAAGCACAGAGAGATGGACACAGGTTTCTTCATGAAGGAAGATATTCTTTATTGGATCACCGATCGGGACTCAGAGGGACTAATGTCACCAAAAATACAGCAAGTTCTGAGCCCTGAACAATAGTGCAGGCTCCCTATATAGGCACATAACTCCTCCCATATTAAGCTCCACCCGCACATTCTCTTGACCAATCATTACAAATAAGAATTAACTTCCTGCTTGACCGCATGGCTTGTCCAGCACAATGGAGGAGGGGAATACTACATCCTGTATTCTTGCACATGCTCCGTACACTACTGATCGTATCTTGCCTCGTGCAACCAACTGATCGATACGTCAGCATATGCACGTACACATGCCACGTGGTAATCTCGGCCTACTAAATTTATTTTTACCGAGATTCCACCACATTCCCCCCTTTGATGCCTCTTGATATTTTACAATTACTTGAGGCATCACTTAACCTTGGTTTGCATACACCACAAGTTACCTTTGAACCAGACCAGACTTATCCTATGATGTGAATCTTCAACACTCGTCTTCCTGCATTGGTTCTCCCTGATCTAGAGCCTTATATTTATAAATTGCCATTATCTGTGCAGCAGCCTTCCTCTCTGCTATATTTTCTATCAGGCTTTGCACAGACCTAACTACTAAGGGTATAAGACACGGCAGGAGTAGACACAACATTAAAATCAGTAGGACTCCACCTACCACTGCCTTAAGCCCTCCAAACCACTCATACCAGCTACCAAACCAACTACTTGGATTGTACCCTTTCCATACCTGAGTAGGCACATGCGCTAGTTTAACCATATGGCTAGTAAGCTCAGCTATTGCTTGCCCTTCGTCATCTATTTGAAGACAGCAATTGCTCAGGTTAAACTTCCCACATACACCTCCCTCTACTGCCAAAAGATAATCCAAGGCTAATCTATTTTGGTAAACTGCTGTCCTCATCCTGGTATTATGCTTCGCTAGAAGATTGAGCGCTTGTGATGTCTCGTTAGTAATGATCTCAACCACCGCCTGTAACCTTATAATGCGGTTGAGCATATAAATAGGGGTTCTATAACCAAAGGTACCATCCTCTGCCCACGTGGCTGGCCCATAATAATCTATAATACGCTGGGGAGGCCATTCATTATCTTCCCAGGCACCTATCTCTATGGGTCCCCTTTTCTTCCTATGATTCACATCATACACTTTAACACCTAAAGTCTCACCTGTTTCAATAGGCAACAAGAAGAAGGATGGTTTTAACATACCCAACACACATGCCCCTTCCCAGTCCTGTGGTAACTCCGAATAGGCCTTCTTACCACAGATCCAGTACAAATTCGCTGGGGCTCTCCAGTTAGATGTGATGGATAGATCAAACCATACGTCCTTTAAATTGGCATATCTTGCAAACGGGTTAGATGGTTCTGAGACATTTGAAGCCGACCACCAAGTTGTATTCTTTGTATCATCATCATAAGCTTTTTGCCCTAGACAAGTTAATTCTCCTACAGAAGTATTATACATCATTCCTTTCCTCGCTATGCAAACATAACCTATGATGGAGGTCTTCAATCTCCACTCAGATTTACCTCTAACACTCATATGATAGTCGGCTTGTGTAGATATTAATTGGTCAACTGCCTCAGAACCGGACATTACCTCCTTTGCTTCCCAAGGCCATTGGTCTCCCATGTTAGTACCTCCACACACATAGCAGTTGGTAACATTAAGACTACCGGCAATACTCTCGGCTAAATCAATGAACAAGTTTTAGCATTATGGGGGATCTTATTATCTATGCTCATCTCTTCATAAAAGGAATGGTATACTTGATGAGTTTGGGAGGTTACCGTATCAGTCTCTATCCCTATAAACAATATTGTCCCAGGGTCTAAACCCGTCCCATATATTTGAAACCCAAATAAATTACCATATTTATCTAAGAACTTGTCAGGGTTATTTATAAGTATATGGATTGGATTGCATTCCATAGACTTACAATATGGATTAGTAGGCAACTTAGTCACAATCATGTCCTTGTCTGCTGTCTGTCCCCAAGTCGCCCACCCCACACAAGACCAATATGGGCAGAAGTTATAATCTCTATTTGGGCATCTTGGACTTACATATTTATTTTTACTACTGGGACAAATATATTTATCGTTAGACCCATACGTCCTCTCCCATCTAAGATCCCCACATACATTCCACGGCTTTCTACCACTTGATATTGCTTTACACGCATCAAATAGCAGAGCACCTGAAGAATATACGGATTTTAATACCGTCTTATTAATTAGGGTCCCCTGAGAATCTCCATTTCTGAGAGTCAACCAAATTGTACGGGGTTGATACTCAGGACTGAAGCACTTAGGTTCTCCTACTCCTAAATGACACACACTATATTCTATATTTAAGTATCTACATCTTGATACATCTCCTTTACACTCATATTGCGAATGCCAAATTAGGGTCTGGGATATATGGTTACCTGTTCTTGTAGTCTTAATGCATACCTCACAGCTAGGAGTGTTGGTACCTCTACCTTCCTGAATATAAAAATACACATAAATAAACATTATTAAAAATACATCTTTCGTCGTCATCCTCAGTCTTCGTCCGTGCGAAGGCACCTCAGCTTCCAGGATGTAAGGACTGCAGGGAATGGAGTTCTGCTCGTCTTCACAGGGGTCCCCTCAAGACTTTCCCTGACTTATACACTCGTTGGTGAGTGGACAGGCTTTATTATGGCCTTCTCACTCACTTACCAAGTCTCTGAAACAATAAAATTTGTAATCTACAAGGTTCCTCGTCACTCCGACTGAGTCGTGCGTTTTAACCGGATCTTGCAGGGATTCTCTGGATTTGCTGTAACTTGCCAGGAATCGGCTGCTGCTGGTTTAACCCTGGAGTGATGTATCCACGGAGCCACTTCGGCTACTTTTATCGCTGTAGGGTAGACAGAAGAACAACATAAGGACCTCTCCACTTGGGCCCTAACGGCACATTATTCCACTCTTTAATCCACACTTGGTCGCCTGGGTGGTAACTATGAATTGGGGGATAAATATTCACAGGTAATCTATCTTGTACCCATTTCTGTACCTCCTCCATAGTCTTACCCAACTCTACAACCTGCTGCCGGGTAATTCCTTCTCCCAACTGACTCAAATCCCCCCTTTAGTTACCAAGCACGGGAGGTGGTCGCCCGTACATGATTTCAAAAGGAGAGAGGCCCATCCTTCTGGTAGGTGTACTACGGATTCGCAATAGAGCTATGAGCAAGAGAACATTCCACTTAAGTTGGGTTTCCTGACACATTTTAGCCAACTGATTCTTAATAGTTCTATTCATTCTCTCTACCTTACCAGAACTCTGGGGTCTATATGCCGTATGAAGCCTCCACTTTATACCAAGCATATGAGTCAATTGTTGTAGGCACTGATGAACAAAAGCTGGACCATTGTCCGATCCTATAGAGCAGGGTAGTCCATATCGGGGTATTATTTCTCGTAGCAGGAATCTCACGACTTCTCCTGCTTTCTCTGTACGAGTAGGACATGCTTCTACCCAGCCTGAATAGGTGCACACCACTACCAGCAGGTAGCGATGTCCACCCGATTTAGGCATCACTGTATAGTCAATTTGTAAATCGGACATGGGAAGTCCCCCCATAAACTGGACTCCTGGTGGCTTTACTGGTCCTTGTCTTGCATTATTTTTAGCACACGTTACACATCTACGTACAATGGCCTGAGTCAAGTTGGACAATCTTGGTATGTAGAAATGTTTTCTGAGAGATTCTTCTGTACTGTCTCTCCCAGAATGTGTCCCGTTATGATAGTTTTGGACAATTTCTACCGCTAGTGATGCTGGAATAACTATTCTTCCATCTTCTAACTGATACCATTTGTTCTCCAAATACTTTCCAGGTTCAGTCCTTAACCACTCCTCTTCTTGAGCTGTATAAATTGGAGTCCATTGAGACAGTGGAGTTGGTATAAGAGCAGCTATATGCCCCACATATTCCTGTCTTCCTGATTCAGCAGCACGCTTAGCTGCACTATCTGCCATCCGATTCCCTTTGGTTACATCACCATCTCCTCTCAGATGCGCCCGACAATGTATAATACCGACTTCTTTCGGCTCCCACACTGCTTCCAATAGTTGTAGGATCTCAGCTGCGTATTTGATTTCTTTGCCTTCTGAATTCAATAGTCCTCTTTCTTTATACAAAGCTCCGTGGGCATGAGTGGTTAAAAACGCATACTTGGAGTCCGTGTAGATGTTCACTCTTAAACCTTCAGCCAATTGTAACGCTCGTGTCAGTGCTATCAATTCTGCCTTTTGTGCTGATGTTCCTTTTGCCAGTGGCCGAGCTTCTATCACCTTGTCTATCGTTGTTACTGCATATCCTGCATAGCGGATCCCTTCTTTTACATAACTACTGCCGTCGGTGTAATATTGAACATCAGGGTTCTGGATGGGAAAATCACGAAGATCTGGTCTACTTGAAAATACTTCATCCATTACTTCCAAACAATCATGTTGACTTTCGTAGGTTGTGGCAAAAGGGTA